TGGCCCCACATTCAGACCTGTTATTACTGGGGGGTGAACCCCCCCCCAATCCATATTTGTGGGGCTCTACCTGCTACTGGACCATAATAATGGACGTGTGACACCATTGTGGGCTGGGTGACCCCCTCCCTCTGGCAACATGGCTACCTATGAGTACCCTGCTGGCTCTACGGCGTCCTGTAAGATTAATGCTGAGGATGACCCCCTCCTGCTTCCTATACTAATGCTCCGGCAATGTCCTGCTAGTATCATACCGAGGGGGTACCCCTCCTGCAGTCTGCACTGCTGAACCTGCAGCGTCCCGGTATTCCCATAAAAGAGGGTACCCCTCCCACTGATTGAGCTTCTGTTCTTACAGTGCCCTGCAATACGCAGATACTGAGGGTGACCCCCTCCTGTGGACTACTCTGCTGGACCTACAAGGTCCCGTTATGACCATATTGAGGGTGACCCCCTCTCGCTGACTACACTGCTGGGTGTACAGACCTCTATGATACCACACTGAGGGTGACCCCCTCTTACCTACAGCACTGCTGGATCTGTAATGCCCGGTTCTGGTTATGAGGGTGACCCCCTCCTGCCGTCTACACTGCTGGACCGGCAATGTCTGGTTACTTTATTATACGGCTAACCACTTCGGCACTACTGTACCTACAGTGTCCGATTATGTTCAGACTGAGGGTGACCCCCTCCTCTGCTGGCTTATACTGCATGGTATGCTTGTGCTTGTTGGGTGACCCCCTCTTGCACGCTGGGTGACCCCCAGCTCGCCGCACCACTGTACCTACAGTGTCAGATTATGTTCAGACTGAGGGTGACCCCCTCCCCTGCTGGCCTATACTGCATGGTATGCTTGTGCATGTTGGGTGACCCCCTCTTGCACGCTGGGTGACCCCCAGCTGGCCACACCAGGTATCATTCCGACAGTGTTACCTCTATGGCAGTTGTGCAATCACGGCTGAAGGACAAATCTCCCGTACCCAGAAGGTCACTTGGCCTGTCCTCTTGCCGCCCCGCTGACCTCACTGCCAGAAACCATCGGTACCCTACGGGTTCACTCCACCGGCCAGCCTAGACGCTACAGCAAGCACCCCTGGTACCCGTTGGCTAACGGATGGATTCATCAAGTGGATCAGTCTTCATGACGGAGTCCGGAAAGGGCACCGCAAACACCTGACACGGGGTTTGCACTCTATCTGGGACTAACCAGTGGATGTCGGTGACACGCGGACACAGATGTTTCCTCGGGACGAACGGTGCGTTACCGCTTGGAAAGCGGAGAAGACTAAATTCCCACTGGGAATGGACCGATATGACTTATAGGTATCGCCTAGTTGGTTTCTACCCCTGAGAACCACAAAACGGCCCCTGTCCAAGCTGGACATCAAACTGATGGATTTAGCATCCAAGTGCTGGGTCTGCTCTCCGGAGTTACCCTCGTGTACAAATTGAACTGACACGTTTCTATTCATAGGGTTCCCCCTTAACTAGCCCCAGAGGTCTCTCGGACCGTGCCCGGACTCCAGATTAAGGTTGCGGAACCTTGGACCGTTCCGTGAGCGATACGCATGACCAAAAGAGGCATCCATTCCGACTCATTCCGCAGTTGCCCTGCTGGGCAAAGGGTGCGGTGGAGTGGACTCCCACCCCATCCCCACGCTACATGCTCCCAGTGCATATGTCGTCTGTTGACACATTTTGAGATGGAGGGCACTCATCCCCTCTGAGAGCTGCTCGGTGTTGACGATTAGTTCTCTCCCTCAAATGCACATGAGAGAAACCCGCATGGATTTTGCCATCAACATGGACATATTGAATCTGACTCACTCCCAGTCAACTCAGTTTCCGGTCTTTCATGGAATATTCGGTCCAGGCAGTGCTCCGCCTCCCGAGGACCAAGATGTCCGTCTTCAAGGAAAATACCAGGTATATGCTCCGCAACCCGCGGGTTACACTTAGGGGCCCAACCCGGTTAATTGACCGGTGCCTATTCGCCATGGAAGCCATACCTCCTGGATCCGGTACTATCAGCCGCTCCAACATGGCGCTTTCTCGGGTCTTCGGCCTGGTATGACCAAATCATGTGACCTTCGGATGAAGCTCATCTAAAACTTAATTGATGATTCCGGAGGAGGGACTCCTTTACGCCAACTGCATGGAACTACCTGCAGGTTTGTTCAACATTCACAGTATTGCTCGCTACCTTCCGGCATGGACTTCTCACCGGTTGCCCACTACGGACTGCAGTCGGATCTCACATAGGATCGCTATCTATAGCTTCTGGACAAGTATTCGTCATTTGTGACAGAATGTATACGAGACGAGACACTCATGTGGCGGACGGCTTCACCCGACCATGGAGAGACCCAATGATTGGTTGCCTCACCCTCCGGGGTCTCGAGTACTGGCATGATTACATTCGGTGCGAACCGCCATACGGAGCGGTTCTCCAACTGGCTGCCGTACCCTCGGCGAGGGACGAGTTTTCCAAGCTTGGTCTCCTTTTGGGGCGTACGCATCCCGTTTACCTACAGGATACTTTGGGTTTCGCTTCAGACCAAATTCCTGGAAGTGTCGTTTCGCCTGGCCAAACCACTTCGGAGGAGTCCTGCGTGCTTTCCCCTTTTTGCTGGAGTTTGCCATGGGAAGGCAATCTACAACTCCCTGTCTCTTAATGTCCCACGTGGGATCCACATGGGTAGCCTGCCACGACTGGTGTCCGGGTCCCAATGGCGGTCCTTATCATGGTTGTCCCCATTGTCTGACTGAGTTGCCCTCTCAGGGTAGGATCGTATGGGGCCATTCACGTCCTATGTCAGCTAGTGGACGACTCATGTGCGTTTTCTCAAGATTCTGGCATTGCTAAGGATCTCTTGGTCTGCAGTCTACCAAGAGGAGTATACCATACGGGAGCCCTATCTCTCGCTATTCCTCAAGTCTAGTGGTATCGTGTGTTCTGCATTTCATTGAGGAATGACCTGATGACAAGGTGCACCAGTTTTTTCCGCTTACGGTTTCCCCCCAGTATATCTTGTATTTCATCGTGTTCTGACGCCATGGTATCGACGTGTCTTCTTCCTTCTTGCCGTTCAGTACAGCGGCTTCTGCTCCACACATATTTCATTTTTATTCATCCTCTGTGTCGTACCCCTATTCTCCGGATAGGCCACAGCTCTGACAGATTGTACACGACCATGTAGATCCAGGATCTGGTTCTTTCGTCCGTCTACTCATGGACAGCTGTTTATTTCTGCGTACGGCCATTTTGGACTGTTTCTGCATCTTCGCTCGCCCGTTGGATTTGGTGGATCCTCTCATTGACTGACCTTGAGTTCCTCTGGGACACTTTTGGTTCGGGGTGCTGTCACCTCCACAATTTTGGAAGCTGTTGGGTCCCTTCTACAATTTCTCTACACCGCTGCTTGGTTTAGGGAATCAGTTTTTTTCCATTCTCCTTTATTTCAGTCCTCTATCTCATATTGCTTCTGGTTCTACTATTTGGGCGTTAAAATTGCAAATATGAAGCCTCCTGTCCTGCCATAAAATTAGGGATTATTCTAGCCTCGGTGAGGGAATAATCTAAATTTTATTAAAGACAGGAGGCGAATATTTCCACCCCTTTTTTTTTACGTTCCCTCCCTGGATCTGGGTTTTATTCTATTATAAATAATTGGGGATATTGTTATGTTTTGTGAATTTTACATAATAAAGGTTATTTCTAATATTCAGTGATGGTTGTCCATGTGCGTTTATTCATCATGTTTGTGTTGTAATTATGTTTAGTCAATGCCTTTTAGCTTAGGTACATACAAGGTCTTCATAAGATATGTAGACTTTGTTTATTCATCAGGTATTATGATGTGAAAGTGATATTGTATGGATATGACATCTTGCCTTGACAGTTTACTTTCACAATGTTTTCTGTTTTCTTGCAGTGTAATCTGTTTTCTCTCTGGGCTTGACGATTGTTTCTCTGGATGTGTCTGCTACAAGGTGGATTAGTTGGTTTCCTTGCTCTCCTGCTCGACCTCATCAAAGAAAGAGGAAGTGGAAGAGCCTGCTTAGGGGTTTTATACTACTGTTGCTTTGTTCTGATTGGTTGTTTTGAAAAGTTCTGTTAACTGTTTCTTTGCTGCTGGAGGTTTCAGTAAAGAAGGTAAAGCAAATATTCGCCTCCTGTCTTTAATAAAATTTAGATTATTCCCTCACCGAGGCTAGAATAATCCCTAATTTGTCCCCAGCAACAGAGTTAAATTGACCTTTAAAAAAATGCATGTATGTTTTAAAAGGTATTCAGTAAGGATTTTTTCCAAGTGTTATCACCATAGAGACATTTTGATTGCTCCAAATACTTCCAGATTTCTATCAGAACTGCTTCAGTTTTTCTTTGATTGATTGACATAGCACTTAGATTTAATAAATTATTATTTTTTGTATTATTCTTGTACATCTGCAAAGAAAATAATGTAAAACTCTTTTTATTTTAAATAATATAATATTAAATTAATATATATTTTACCTGTTATTATTTTTTTTACATTGAAATTTTAATTACAATTTTATCTTCACTCGTAGGCACAAAGAGTTTCGACCCTTGAAATACTTGCAATGAAAGAAGACCCGGAATGCATTTGTACATCAATAACTGAAGTTAACAGTAATGTTTATATTAATACCTTTTAATAAAAAGGAGGACCAAGTTAATGAAGAAATAAAATTTAAATTTAAATGAGTGCTCATATTACATTATTTGTTAAGGCATTTGTTTCACTAAATGATGAGCTTTGAGCTGACAAACTAACTTGCAAACTCTAGAACAGAGGTTCTCAACGTTAGTCCTCAGGACCCCCTACCAGTCCAGGGTTTAGGGATTACCTGGGTGTGTGTAAGGTGTTTAGAAAAAGAAAAAAAAAAACACCTTAGAGTCTAAGGTGTTTTTTTTCCCTTTTTCTAAACTCCTTAGACACACCCAGGTAATCCCCAAATCCTGGACTGGTAGGGGGTCCCGAGGACTGGGTTGAGAACCCCTGCTCTAGAACAAACTAGTTAACAGCACACAGTTGAAATTTTTTTCCAACTTGGCTGCTTCCCCAATTTGCCTTAGTGTTGGAATCTTTTTTCAGCTGTATTTCATATTTTACGACAAAATAGCAGAATTGGAAGCATTGAAGCATTCTCCAAGCCTCCTATTTCATTTTGGCATAAAATCTGAAATTCACTTTAAATTCCTTTTGAATTGACAACATTTGGCAATTTAATGAGTAATTATGTGAGTTATTCTAGTATAAATTCTATGAATCAAATTGCCAAATTATGTTGGAGATTCGTTTTGGTCAAAACTGCAGTTCATCTAAATCTGGGCCAATTGGTTGATCAATTTCCCGAACTCTGCCTTGGAATGTATCCTTATCACAAACCAAACATGTTTGCGCTGACAAAAAAAGAGGTAATTGATGGAGGAAAAATAAGAAGATTGATGGCTAGGAAACATTTATTAAATGTTGATTTTATTCACAGATCAAGTGAGAAGTTACCAAAAGATGGGGGAAAAAAAAGAGGAGCAGTTAAAAAAAATAATCCAGATTGATATATTATATAATATTTAGTTAATAAATATATAATATATACATATAGATTTACTGCTCCTCCTGCATTTCCCTCTATTTGTTATGTGTCTCACATGATCTGTAAACCAAATGATGGTAAATTGGTGTGGCGAAAGTAACCTCGCCACTGGGTTTAGAGAGGCCTGCTTGCCAGCCTCTTGCCCTGTGACTATGGGCCCTGGGGTGTATTGCCTTTTAAAAACACTATTTGTGCATATGGGGACTTAGCACAATGCCCCTTTCAAACGTGGCGGTGGCTATCTTAAAATGTCCAGCAGTGTTTTGTCGTCGAGTGTATGGAACTGTTTTGGGTATGGGACTATGTGCACGGTGGGGCAAAAATAAGACTTCCAGGAAATTCCTGAACTGATCTGGGTGATTTTTGGATATGTTGTTCACCCAGATCGGGGCTATCAGGAGATGTGAGGATATGTTGTATTTTGGGGTTTGTAAAAATGTATATTTTTTCTGTTTACAGTTAATTGAGTTAGCCCATTGTGTTTGTTAATTGTATCACAGGCAGAGTACAATACTGTTCTGATTGGCTTTGTGACTGTGTCCTGTGCTCTACAAGGTCCACCTGGGTGGTAACCTTGTGGGGAAAACTGTATAAAAGACAATAATCCCTCAGATCTGCTGAGTTTCTGTTTTTCCCTCAACATAGAGCCTCGTCTCATGTGTGGAGGGAAAGATTGCATCTACACTGGGGGAATGCTATACTCTGTATACTCCCCTGGGCTATAATCACTAAGCTCTTTTAAGAGCTTGTTACTGCTACTCTCTCTTGGAGGAGAGGTTCACCCACTGGACCCTGGAGCCTTGTCGTAGGTCCAGGGTGGGTAGAGGACAGCGAGACCCCATCTAAGCTGTGGCGGTTCGTGGGATCTGCGGTGCTTATGGTGTCTGGTGCAGTGCTGATGGTCCTTGGTAAGCACTAGGAGCATTGATTGATGGAAAATGGGTATACAAATGGGTATAAGGGTACAATGAGCGGGGTATATGTGAATTGGACAGCTTATATAAAAATTGCCACTGGGTGGGGTACATAGGACATGTCCCCTGGAATTATTCTTGAAACAATGTAGGACACCCTGATCTTTATTTTTTTATTTTTTTTAAATTTAAATATTCTTTGAGTTTTTATCACACAAAAAGAACAAAATACATGTAACATTAGCGTACACAGACTTAACATTTACTAATACAAAATACATTCTACCTGTGTGGAAAAAGGGACTGAGCAGGGAAGAGTATTTCCTGTCTTTTCTTTATGACTTATCTAAATCTAAAGTGAATGTTTTACTCAGTTTTTATTAAATGCCAACATTTTATCAAGACATTTATCCCTTATCATTTTATTCCTGACGAAATAATTATTTCCCCAGCATACACCCAATTCCATCTTTAATTGGAAAGTTAGTTATTTTGCCCATTGATAGTAACTAATTTCTATGGGTTGTTTCCATTTTCTCGCTATGAGAATCTACACAGCTAGGAAACTATGTGTTACCAAAAATTAATTTGATGTTGATAAATTAGGCCCGCCCATATGCAGTAATGCTGTTATCAAGCTTTTTTCAATTTTAATCTTATCCATATCATAAAGTATTTTATAAACCTGACCCCATATAGTTTTCACTTTTGGGCAACTCCACCATATGTGAAGATAGCTCTAAACCGCCCTTAAGCATCTCCAGCATACATTTGAGACACTAGTGTCCATTTTGTTTAATCTGGTCGAACCAAGTACCACCTGTTACATACTTTAAAATAAGTTTCAATCAAAATTATATTAACTAGGGTTTTACCCCAAGCACCAACATCTATGTTAATATTGCACTCCCTTTCCCATTTTTAAAACTGTTTTATAAAGATAATTTGTGACATCGTTCGGGTCAACATATAGCATTTTGCTAAAAGTTTTAATGTTTTCATTGGTGCAAAAATTTGTTTCATATAGATGGCATTTTTAATTTTTCCCTCTTCAAAATTTTTAGACACAAGTGATTTGATTCTTAAGTAGTCAAATGTTTCAGATTTTGGTAAATTATATTCTAACATTAGAGCTGCAAAGGTTTTAATTCTTCCCTCTTTCATAATATTATTTACATCTTTAATTTTCTTTTCTTTTCACAAGTCTAAATTTAGATTGTCCATGAGCGATTCTAGAATCTCCAACTCCATAAAACCATACATTTTCCCATTATTTTTCATCTTTTTTCTTATTTTAAACCACACCGGAATAATTTGGCAGATAATTTTATTTTTAACTTCTTTCAATATCAGATAACCTTTTTCTTGCCAGACAGGTTTATTCATACCGCTTTTGTTTAATAATAATAATAATGTTTCCCTCACTTCCTATTCAGTTCGAATTTGGATATGATGGATTATACTAGCCTCACAATGTTTTTTAATATTGGTGAAATTTATACCACCTTGACTGGGACTATTTGTCAGCTGGTCAAGGTTGATGCGTGGTCTCGTCCCTCTCCATACAATATTTTTCTGAACAATTTCTAACCAGCTGTCTGGAATTTTTAGAGGGATCATTTAAAAAAGATATGTCCACATGTGGAGAATATAAGCATTGATAATATTAATTCAACCTAACAACTCGAAAATTTATTATACCACTTTTTTAACATTAGGTTTGTTGATCTAATCAGTTTCAAGACATTCTCTTCAACAATTCTATTTGTTTTGTGTAACATCTAAATACTTGAGAGTGTAACATCTAAATACTCAAAACTCCCTTCAGCTTCTCCAAAGCTATGCATTTCTAATATTTGGTTTTTTTTCTATCGGCATCACAATTTTTGAACATAACCACAGATTTATCTATATTTATCTTATAATTAGATAGCTCACTGTACTGGGCAATCTGATTAATTAAATGTGGGATGGAAGCGATGAGGTCAGTCAAGGTTATTATCATGTCATCCGCATACATGCACATCTTAAGATATTTTGAGGCTACTGGAATCCCCCTGAAATTTGAGTTGGACCTTATCCTAGTTGCTAGGGACTCCTTGGATATTATGGATAATATTGGTGAGAGCAGGCATCCCTCACGGATGCCTTTACCCAAAAGTAAACCAATTGGAACATAAATCCGCACTCACCACCATGGCCATAAGATTTTGGTATATGGTTTTAATTCCTGCTTTCATCCATCCACAAAACCCCATGGACTCCGAGACCCCAAACATATATCCCCATCCTTTGCCTTGTTAATAAAAATGGGGATGTTCTTAGAGGCTTTTTCTGAGTAGTTAGAAGGTGCCTCTCCCCAATCTAAAATATTGATCAAACGTCTCGAGTTAGCACTTGCCTGTCTAGTGGGAACAAAACCGGTCTGGTCTTCATGAATTAAACTAGGTAAAATATTCTTTTTTTTTTTTTTTTATTTATTATATTTTTTATTTTGCATGTTCGTTATAAGCGTTACATGACGTATAGCATTTTGAAAAAACAGTATGACATATAATAATACATTCAGACTTCGTACAAACAATTTACACTTGAGTAACAGATTAGCTTTTTTTTTTTTTTTCAATTGGTTACGAAAAATAAAACAATTTATGTATACAATATTATTAGCGACTATTTGTCCTGTGAGTTTCCCACCTACGAATCTGTGAGAGTGCTCGTGTATTCTATATATCCTCACTCTATTGTGAATTAAGTCTAACACCCTAAGTATAATTTTTGAGATAAGCTTTCCATGGTTCCCACATTGTTTGGCACAGCTGTGATTTCCCTATTGTAGACATCCTTAGTTCCTCCAGTTTATATATATCATCAATTCTCCTGAACCATTCTCTCCTTGACGGTCTTTTGCTAGTTTTCCAGAGCCCTGCTATTACTACTTTAGCTGCGGTAAGGAAGTACAGTATTACTGAGTTTCGAAACGTGCGCATAGTTACCGGGATGTTGTAAAAAAGAAGTGCTTCGGGTGTAGCTAGGATAGTTGTGCCACTAAGTTTGCCTGTAATCCTCGCCACTTCTCTCCAGAACCCCACTACTCTGTTACACGACCACCATATGTGTTGGTATGTGCCTCGTTCTTGCAGACACCTCCAACATAGCGGTGAGGTATTGGTATCGTATTTGTTGGCGTCTACAGGTGTTATATACCAGTGGTAAAGAAATTTAAAATTTGGTTCTTGTATTGTTATGCTAGAGTGTGATTTCATCATTTTAGTGAAGGTAGTATGCCATTTTTTTTTTCTTCCCACGGGGTTGACAACCATTGTTGGTGTTTTGCAGTGAACCACGGGAGAGAGTTGTTCGTACATTCTTGGATTAGTCGATAACACTTAGATACTATTTTGGTTTTCGGCGGCGTGGAGCAGAGTTTTTCAAATTGGGTCTCTTCTCTTGGCTGCCAGTGTAAGAGTCCTTCTTTATGTAAAAAATGTTTTAGCTGATGATATTGGAATGTTTGAGTCATGGTTGGATAGTGTGTGTCCGCAAGGTCAGTCAGTGGTAATAGTCCGTCCCTAGTGACTAGGTCTCGTAGTGTTATATTTCCGTCGCCCGGGTTAGGTATGGTCTTACTCATATTCCTGATGTCCCTGCCTGCTGGAAATCTCGGGTTATGAGCAATCGGGAATCGTGGCGAAGGTGTCGGTGTGAAGTGGCGCATTGGATTTATATTTGCCCATACTTCAAGAGTGGCCCCTATGGTGGGTAGGTCTTTTGGGGAGTTTCCTTTGCCTGTCAGTACTGTCCATGGGAGATATTGAAGGGGGGTTGCTACTTGAGATTGTTCTATTTGAACCCATGCCTTAGTGTCTGTCTTTCTTGACCATTCCAGTATCCTCCCTAGGTGTATTGCCTTATGGTAATTCTGGATGTGTGGGCATCCCAATCCCCCTCTCCCCTTTGGTTTGGTCAGTACATTGAAGGCTAAGCGCGGGCGCTTCTTTGCCCATATAAAAGTTGTAAGTATCGTCTGAATTGAGCGAAAAAAGGCAGTCGGGATATGTATAGGGATAGTGTTCAGAAGGTATAAGATGCGTGGTAATATATTCATGGATATAATGTTTATTCGTCCCATCCATCGAAAATGTGGTTTATCCCATCTATCTAAGTCTTTTTTGATTGCCGTGAGTATGTCAGGGAAATTTTCTCTATATAGGGTTTTATGAGTGTTAGTTATTTTTATCCCGAGATATTTGATGGAGTTGGGCGCCCATTGGAACGGTTATTTGCGTTGCAGGCTATGTACCTGTCCAGGGGGCAAGTTAATGTTGAGAATTTCGCATTTGTCAATGTTGATTTTGAAGTTAGAGACTTTACTATACTCGGATAGAGCTCTTGTCAAGTGGGGCAAACTGTGTAATGGGTTTACAATGGTGAATAGTAAGTCATCGGCAAAGGCCGACACTTTGTATTCCTGTTGGTTAACCCTGATGCCTTGTATATCAGGATTATGTCGCACTGCCTGTAGAAGGGGTTCTAGAGAAAGAATAAACAATAGAGGGGATAATGGGCACCCCTGTCTGGTGCCGTTACTTATCTTAAATGGTTTTGAAAGTTGGCCATTTACCTTTAGGCGGGCTGTGGGCTGAGAGTATATGGCTCTTACCCATTGGATCCATCTGTTACCAAATCCCAACATCTCAAGTGTGGTTCTAAGGAAGGCCCAGTCCACCCTGTCAAATGCCTTTTCTGCGTCTATTGCCAGGAGTAGTGTTGGGGTTTGTGTGTATGAAGTGCAATGGATTAGATTTATAATTTTGGATGTGTTATCTTTTGCTTCCCTAGCAGGCACAAAGCCTGCTTGGTCTGGATGGATTAGATCTTGGAGAAATGGTTTAAGTCGCAAGGCCATCATTTTAGTAAAAATTTTTATATCCACATTTATGAGAGATATTGGCCTATAACTGGCGCATTTCTCCAGATCTTTCCCTGGTTTGGGTAACAGCGTGATTGTCGCCTCCAACGCCTGACTCGGTATAAGGTTGTGTTGTGGGATAGAATTGATTGCTTCTAGCAGGTGTGTATTAAGTTCTGCTTGAAACATCTTATAGTAGGAGGCCGAGAACCCGTCCGGCCCCGGGCTCTTGTTGTGTGGTGTCTGTTTGAGTGCCGTTTTGAGTTCATCTAATGTGAAGGGTTCTTCTAATGATCTTCTCGCCACAGGCGGCAAAGTTGTGTCGAATTTGTTCTCCAAGAAGTTTCTCAAGTCTTCTATGTTGGGTCCCCTCTCTTTCAGATTATATAGTGAGGTGTAGTAAGTGTGGAATGTATCGGCTATTTCTTCTGAGGTGTAAGCGAACGACTCATCTGAGCGTTTGATTTTGGGGATGTATGTGAGCGCCTGCTTTTGTTTAAGAGCTTGTGCGAGTAGTTTGCCACACCTGTTTCCCTGCGCATAGTATCTGTGTTTTGTCCATAGGATGGCTTTCCGAGCCTTGTCTTGTAGTAGTGCGGTAAGTTCTGTCCTATGGGCGAGTAGTGAACAGTAAAGTGCGTCCGTCATGTCAAGTTTGTGAGCGTTTTCTAGTTGTGTAATTTTTTTGTAAAGTTCCTCAATCTGTTTATTTTTTTCCCGTTTGATTTGGGCCCCCCATTTTATTAGTTATCCCCTTACTACTGCCTTATGTGCTTCCCATTGCACAAATGCAGAGGTATCTGGGGTTTTATTTTCTTGGAAGTAGAGCCTGATCGTGTTCTGTGTCGCTTCTCTAACTGTTTTTGTTTGCAGCAGGTTGGGATTGAGTTTCCATAGTCCCTTGGGTCTGGGGAGGGAGGGGACAGTGACTGTGAGGTAGATAGGAGAATGGTCCGACCAAGTCATTGGGCCTATGGAGGTGTCTGTTACCAGGCTTAGGTCTCTGTGGCAAATCAGGAAGTAATCTATTCTAGAATAAGATTTGTTCGGGGAAGAGTAGTGTGTATAGTCTTTAGATGTTGGATGATATATCCTCCAGCAGTCTGCTAATTGATGTGTGTGGATGATGTGTTGCATTTGTAATCTTGTGGCTGTGAGATGTTTACAGCTAAGAGACGTGCTATCTTTTTTGGCATCTAGCGAGACGTTAAAGTCTCCCCCCATGATAAGTACGCCGTTTGCATGTTGTTTAATTTTAGCCAAGATCTTTCTGAGTGCCCCGCATTGGTGTTTATTGGGGAGGTATATAGAGACAAGCGTAATTGGGTGCGTCCCCACCGTGCCCTGTAAAATGATAAATCTGCCTGATTCGTCTGAGATGTGAGTGGAGTAAGTAAAAGGTACGTTAACTCCTATTAGTATAGCTACTCCCCTGGATTTACTCTTGTTATAATTATTATAATACACTTGTTTGAATTTCGGGTGTTTGAGTTGTGGTGCATTCGGGCCCTTTAGGTGAGTTTCTTCGAGAAATGCAATGTCTGTTTTATTTTTCACCAGGTCCGTTAGCACCATTTTTCTTTTTTCTGGAGTATTAAGCCCTCTGACATTTAGGGAACATATTCTCAAAGATCCCATGATCCTAAATCTGTTTATTCTAGGCGCCTAGTTGCGCTTTGGTTAGTATTGGTTGTACTAAGATTTATGTGTATGTGGTGTTTACGTGAGTAAGAGGATACTTTGTGTTGGGAGAGAGTATGTTTGAAGGCTTGGCGTATGAATTTTCACAACACAGGAGTTCAACAACAAATAATTCTAAAAGAACAGAAAATTAACTATTTACAATTTAAACTGGAGTATTTATCGAACTTGGCGTCCTACGAGGAGTAGTTCTAGAGAGAGGTTGAACTTCCTCGTGGATTAATAGAGGCCTGAAACACTTAGCTATATAGGTTTATGTTATGGGATAGTCTTTCCAGACCCCTATGGAGGAGACGGTACAATTCCCTGACTATATCCAGTAATTTTATACTGGCTCAGGGGTGAATAAGACACAAAATCAGAAACGTAGAGTTTTTAGGTAGGTACCGCTCAGGACCTCAACTGGTCCTAATTTATGTCCGGCGGGAGCGTGGACACTTTGACTAAAAGTGATTTGTTCACTTTGGGTTTAAATCAAGGGTAGATCAGCTGGATGCAACTTCGGCACCTGTGCAGCTTCCCCTTAGGCGGTCACGTTTCACTTTGCATTGTATTACTGGTCAAGTATTGGGCTCGATTGTGATTAAAATCTGTAGTGATCTACCTGTAAAGCCTGATTTTGTGGTTATAACCGCTCTTGAACCTAAATCACCTTTCTCGGTGTGGCCTTACAGTTCTCAATGCTATAAATATTAGTTAACCACAACATTAATTGTACATTTGTACCAACTTATCGATAGATCTATAAGACATATTTCTACTGTTCATAGTTACCGCTTCCAGAGCCCTTGAGGTGGGCGTTTTCAGAGTTAACAGTCTGACAATGAAGATGTGCATTATCATTGTGGGTACTGTACCCATGTTATATGTCCTTTCGTCTGTGCTCAGATTATTTTCCTCGGGGTCCCTTGCGGTCTCTTCGGTCTCATGAAAGGCGATGCAGGTGGGGTCTTCCACGTCGTCCTCCTTCTTGTATCTGCAGCTTGACCTTTCATTCTTTGAGGATGAGGTGGAATTGGTTCGGGTTCTGTTATGTCGTACCAATCCTGAATATCAATATTGGGTATACCCAGGCGCTGAGTGAAAGCCTCTGTTTCCATCGCCGATGTTAGTGTGGCTTGGGCGCCCTGATGTGTGGCTGTCAGAGAGAAAGGATATCCCCATCGGTATTTGATGTTGGCCTGTTGTAGTGCCTGTGTGAGTGGTCTCAGGGTTCTTCTGCCTCTCAGAGTAAGCCACGCCAGATCTGGGAGAAGCAATATTTTTGAGTTGTTGTACATAATGTCTGCAGTGTCTCTGGCTTGCCTCATGATGGCTTCCTTTTCAGAGTAATAATGTACTCTGCAGATCACATCTTTGGGGGAGTCAGGAGAAATATGCTTAGGCCTCAGCGCCCTGTGGGCTCTGTCTAGAAGAATATGCGTCTCTGCTGGCCTCTGTAATATTTTGTTAAAGAGAGATTGCAGGATCTGGTGTAAGTCTTCAGGCGAGCCTTGTGGCTCTGGTAATCCCCTTATTCTTATATTGTTCCTGCGGCCTCTATTGTCCAAGTCTTCTGTGTTTCTCATTATGTATAGAAGTTTGCTGTCACTGCAACTTTGGTTGCGTTCTAGTGCCAGGACCCTGTCTAGCAGTTTGTCCCTGTCTTCCTCCAGGTCCCCCACCCTGCTGTTTACTTGCCTGATCTCGGAGGACAGTGAGGAAATCTGATCCTGCATTGAAGATTCCAATTTAGACAGCATGTCTGCCAAATCATCTTTAGAAGGTAGGTTTCTTAATATTTCTTTCATGTCTGCCATCCCCCATTCCGGAGCTGAATCTGATCCTTCCAGGCTATGCGGGGAAAAGCACTGTGGGGAAGATGGCGCCTGAATGCCTTCGTCTAGGCCGTCGCCTAGAATCTTCACCGTGTCGCGAAAGTATTTGTCCAGACCGCCGGGATTTTTCTGCGTGCCCGGGTCCGGTAGGCTCTGGGAGGGTATGGGTTTCTTTTTATTGCCCATTTTTGTCGTGTAAACTTCGTTTTTATCCAGTTTTATCGCCGCCGGCCAGGGAGCTCCGATCAAGTGCGTCCGCTCACATTAGGTGTCAGGCCACGCCCCCAGGTAAAATATTCTTTATTCTCTCATATTATTGCCAAGAATAGTTTAGAGTCTACATTTATTTGAGAGATTGGGCGATAGTTCTTAAGTTCCAAAGGATCTTTCTCTTTATTAAGAATCGGTATTATATTTTCATAGAACATTTCTATTGGTCCAGAACCCTTATCTACAATCTTGTTGAAAGCATTGGCTTAATGTTCACACAATATATCTTTATAAACCTTATAAAATGTATTATTCATCCCGTCTGGGCCAGCGGTCTTAAAATATACTACTCTTTCGAAGGCTAGTTTAAATTCTAATTTAGTGAGAGGGGCATTCATATTATTTTGTTCCTGTGTTATTTTAGATAATTATGTTTCCTTCAAATATTTAGCTGTTTGTAGTTCCTCAGGTTGTTTCACTATATTATATAAGTCCTCATAATAAGTCTTGAAAATGTTAGCTATAGTTTCTAGGTTTCTATGTTCTATCTGATCTTTTTTAAATCTTCACATCTGCCTACAAACATCTGGGCTGTCTACTGGTTTTTGGGTTTTTTTTTTTTTTTTTTTATAATTCTTTATTTTATTGTGCAGGTTCAACACAAATGTCTACATTGCCACAACAGCTTATGCAGGCATATTTAGCAACATATATCAACACAGTTTCAGCATGAATAGACATAGCACATTTTTTATATATTATTGGTATAGTTGTGGTGTCAGCCAGGTATGTCCAAGACCTGGTGGGGTCTGTGAGTGTGCTGTCGTTGGATGTGTTTTCGGACATGTGTAATTTCTTGTAGGTCGCTATCATTGGTCTTCAAGTGTGTTTATCCGGTTGTTTGATAGACTTTGCCGTGTTTGCACTTCAATTAGCGCTTTTCCTAGTAATGCTATTCTTGCCTCTTGGGAGTTTGATGAGGCTCCAGCCGCAGGACCCTGGTGGTGACCCCCTCCACCTCCTCTTTTATGCCTGTCATGTCGGCTGCTATGTTAGTTCTAAGTTCTACTAGCATGCTCTTCAGCACAGAGGCTGTGGCAGGTTCTTCTGTCAGGGTATGTGAGGGCTTTGGGTTGGGTGGTGGTGCTTTTGCCATACCTTCACCGGGGTCTATGGAGAAATCATCTGATAAAAAGAAGTAGGCGTTGTCTCCAGCCGCCATATTGTCCCATGCAGACTTTTGCAAGCGTTATAGAAGTTCCCTGATGTCATGGGTGGTTGGGTCCTTTTCGGCTCTGGTTTTCTTGTGTTTCCGACCCATGTTTGGTCCCCGTGTTTGGTGTCGGCGGTTAGACCCAGGTGGTTGTCAGTTTTCGTCCCGTAAGACGTTTCTTTTGCGGTTTGTGGCGAGGAGCTCTTACTGTGTGCGACTGCTCTGCACCGCTGCTAGCTCCGCCTCCTATCTGATCTTTTTTAATACCTGTTATTCTATTTTTCCCAGCTTTCCTTCTCAGCTTATTGGATAACCATTTTGTTATTTTATTATTGTCTTGATAGTAGTTCGCTTTCATTATTTCTAGATTTTTATTAATTCGTTCACATTCTATTTCATTGATTTTTTTTTAAAATTCATTTAGTTGTGTTATCATTTCGCTGGTTAAAATTTTTTTGGTATGGTTTGTAATATTCTATATATAATTCTTCCCTCAAGGCCCCTCTTTGTTTATTTATTCTATTTATAAGTTGTATCAAGTATCCTCTCACAACCACTTTGAAAGCGAACCAAATCATTGAATATGGCATTCTTTCAGATTTTTTTTTCTTTAAAGTATAATTCTATTACCTTTATTATTTGTTTTTGATGTTCCACTTTGGAGAGTGAAAAAGTGCTAAAAGGTTTATATATATTTTTTTGTCTTTTAAATACAAACAGATTATAGCCATGATCTGCCCGTGGGTTCTCTCTCTGTGAATCTGTTCTACTATGCTATTGTCTCCCAGATCAATTCTGGATAACGAGTGATGTATTCTAGAAAGGTTTGTAAATTTGTTTTCATTTGCATGGTAGACTCACCATATATCCAACAAATTATTCTCTCTCATAATATTTCCCAGTATCTTAGATTGTTTCTTTAGTTGTTTATTTATTTTTTTGTTATCTTTAATTTTCTAATCTAGCTCTGTATCTGGGACACAATTAAAATCCCCTGTGACAACCAATATTCCCATTTTAACTTTTTTGACCCTATCCATTACCTTTTTTTAAGATATTTTTTTGGTAATACATATGACAAATAAAGATTAACAAAGGTATATGTAACTGAGTCTATCCTGCATACTAGAATTTGGTATCTTCCTTCACTATCCAACTCTGTATATAATATTTCCTTATTAATCCATTTTGAAAAAATAATGACTACTTTTTTTTTCACCCTCTACAGATGCATGTATAACTTCTTTATACAACTCATACTTCCATCTAACTTCCTCTTCCCTTTTCCAGTGAGTCTCCCTTTTCCACTGAGTCTCTTGTATCAGAGCTATGTCTATTCGTTCTTTTCTGAGTAATTCGTAAAGAGGTTTTCTTTGACATGGGGTGTTTAGCCCCTATATGCTCATGGAAATACACTTTAGAATTCTATTCTATTCCTATTTCCTACTCATTACTTTCTCAGTCTTCCTCACATGATCAACTCAAACAATCACACAACTTGGAAATTCCCTTCTATAGAAGGGATAACCGCATACATCCTCACTTACACAAATAGTGACAAAAAGCCCCCTCTTAGTGTAACATCTAACATTATTCTCCATAATGTCACTAGCTAAGATCTTCTCTAAGATCTCCAAGCAGATGTATTTTTAAATAGTTGACATGGACCAGCGCTTCAAATAGTAATTATTTACACACTCTTTACCACCATTTATGGCCAAAGATAGAGAGAGAGAGAAAAAAAAAGTTGTATAAAAAAGAAAAATCTGAAATCTACCAGTATGAAGAGGAAGCTGTGGCAAATGTAGACTTGATCTTGGAAAGTGGACTTTACACCTATTCAGGATTATAATCACCCTTTAATTAAACACACTTGTTCCGGACACAAATTATATTTCTCAAACTTATTCTATATCACCTTTATTATGTGCCTTTTTTAATTATTTCTCCCCTTTTCCTCCCATTCCCCTTCTCTCTTTAATTCCCTTTTTCTATCTATCTATTTCCAAATGGCAAGTGTCTTAGCTATCTTTTTTCTGTCTTCAAAGCGAGAAGTGTTTAAAACATTTCATTATCTATCTTGTGTAACCATTAAAACAAACATATAATATTGTTTTTATCGTATCTCGTATTTGGGAAAACTTCCCTCACTTCCCTCTAATCTCTTCAGTTCTATTTTATTGTGTTTATATTACTCACTTAGTATGTGTCATATAGCTGACGTGTTTCACATTTTTAAATTTCTAACTTACTATTTATCTTTTCCCTAAACCTATATATACACTTTAAAAAGAGAAAGAGAGAGAGAGAAAAAAATCTTATTTTGTTTCCCTCCTCTTCTTCTTATGTTCCTCTGTATATTTCTCTTAGTCTCTTTTAATTCAGTAATTATAAAAAGTTATTCTCTTTCCTTCTAATTTTTTTTCTCCCTTCTTCTTCCCTCACTTTATCTGTTCCTTTGTCCATTGTTTTGGTTCAGAAAATATTTTCTTAGTGTCTTTCCAGATCACTGTTATTAATTTGTTTGGCCCCCATCGGTATCTTATATTGTGTTGTTTAAGTGGTATCAAGGCTGTAAAAATTGTCTTTTTCCACATTCTTGTATATGATGATAAGTCCTGGTACATAACAATAACTTTAAATCTTCCTTCTGTTAATTTATTCACTCTACTTGCTTGAATAGCTTGTTGTTTCATTTGAAAAGAATAATAGACAACTACCAGGTCTCTTGGACTTATTTCGGGAATATTTGGCGGTTTTCTCACACGATATACATTTTCTATAACAAGTTCCTTGTTTTGTTTGTTAATGTCTAAGGCTAAAAGAAATTCAAGCACAAATTCTTTTGTATTTTCATAAGTAATGGATTCAGGGATATTTTTCAGTCTGATGTTCTTTATTCTTTGCTTATCTTCCAATAGATTTATTCTTTGTTCCAAGATGTTTACGTCTTGTATTGGAACTCCATTTTTTCATATTTTTCTTCCATCTCGGTTATTTTTGCACCAATTTCTTTTATTTGTAGTTTTAGTTGACATGTGCTATTATTAAGTTATTTTTTAAATGTTTCAGTTTGACTTTCCAAATTGATTTTGATAAATTCTTGCAAATTAAACGTTGGACTTCTCTTGTCTTCCATTAAAGATTCTTCTGATAGCCAATTACCGCCACCTTGTTTGTTTTCGGGACAGAAAAAAGCTGATACTCCTTTGCCTTGTTTGGTGTCTTTAAGATCTTTTTTTTTTCTTGGAATCTTTGCAGTAGTCATTTTATTTCACTACTAAGTTTAGCGACTCTTTTTTGTTTTAAATCTTGAGATTTTGTTTCTTTTCCCTTTATTCCTTTCTTTATATGTTATATTTCCTCTTCCTTCTTTCCTTTCTTTTCCCACCTTCAGCTTCTGGGCACTTCTTTGTACCATTATGTGCTATTAGATGATATTGTGGCATATAATAAAAATGGGGATTTTTTTAGAGGCTTTTTCTGAGTAGTTAATTTTAGGCTGTCATAAATTTCCCTCTAGGGATCATATCTCCTGCAACTGTCAAAAATTACCTACTAAGCCCTCGGTGAATACTTTTCTAACAACCTACTTCGTACCCCTAGTTTTACCCTATGTATCACTACACCCCACTCCCTCTAGTATGTAAGCTCATTGAGAAGGGCCCTCCACCCCTTCTGTTCTCGTACATCCAGTTGTCTGGTTACAATTACATGTCTGTTAGTCCACCCATTGTACAGCGCTACAGAATCTGATGGCGCTATATAAATAATAACATAATAATATCAGATCAGCCTTATCTTTGTTTCTCTCTCCTCTCCTCAGCACACAGAGCAGATTAGGGGATAATGTGTATTTGTATGTCAGTATATTCCAGTTATATACAAATTATCCACTGTTATTTATTTATTTTTTTTAAGATTTTCTATTTTTAAACACTTATAAGCTTAGTGTTTATACTTGCTTTTAGCTTGGATTTTCTAGACCTTTTCTCATTTTCAGCAAGCTGCCGTTTTTTCATTTAGTCACTTGCAAAGGGCTTCTAGTTGTCGGCTCTAATCTCCTGCCATGATCCCCTTTACACAGACGCTGTTGCCTAGTGGTGAATTCTACCGCCCGGCCATTCACCCCTAAGCCCTGCCTCCCAATGTGTGGTTACGGTCCTGTCTCAACGTCATCACGTCCCACCCCTGATCCTTATTTAAAAGACAGAGGGCTGCATAATAGTTATCCAAATGCATAAAGAACCCTACAAAGCCTGGAGGAAGAGGGACTAATAAGAAAGAAGAAATATAAATTTGTCTTTCGCACAAATGTTGAGTACATTTTGTTTGTTCAAAAATGAAAATTAGGTACACACTTCACATCTCTCCAATATACTTTTAGTAGGGACAACAGTAAGGCAGAAGGTTGTGGCAGTAAAAAAATAAAATATATTAAAATAGACCACTATTTTTATGATCCTGTTTTAACATTATTTTTGTTTGTGAGGAGTCTTGCTGGGATAATGTCTTGTAAAGGCTGCTCCTAATTCCCTTTCTCCAAGGATTGATTTTAAGATACCAGTTTTTGATTTGTTTATGGGAGTGTGAGTAGATTGCATATACTTTTTTTAGTAGTGTAAATGAACTTTGATTTCTCCAAATTACTCTTTTTGTTTATGCAGAGAGAGTACCGGTATCCACTAAAAGATGGTCATAAGAGTTAGCAGATTAAAGAGATCTGTGGTATATCAACAAATTACAATATACTTTTGATCATATTGAAACATTTATTGACATTAAAACATTAATCAGTTTATATTCCATACATTATCCATTCTTTAAATTAATGTAATATGAAACATTGACATGACCACAACAAAAAGAAAACAATATGGATTGAGAAAAAAAAAATAATTTATCAAAACACAGCTGGGATTAAAAAATAATCATCAGGGATGTATACACCAATTCCAGGAGTTCCTATATCAATTTTCCCAATTCTACAAAATAAACTAAAGAATGTGTGTTAATCATCATTAGAACATCACATTGATCCCCATTGAGTGCATAAGTGCATAAGTCCCTTCAACCAGAGTTGTCTAATACAACACCCCTAAAGAGAGCCACTAGGGGGCGATATATATACAGAGAGAGAGAGAGAGAGAGAAAGTAATAGACAGATCTAGGACACCCTGATCCTCATTCATAGAGAGAGTTTAGTGTGATAGTAATCCCAATTAAAAAAGAATCCTAAAAAACCTGGAGCAAGAAGGGCTAATAAGAGAAAAGAACAGAGAACACTTTTTTGATCAAAAATTTTGCTTCATGCTAAGGTATTTATTATATTCCCTGTATAGACTGCTAAAATGGTAACATATCAAGACAACTGAATTGTCAAACAGCAAGTACAGATTAATAGAGAAACACTGGGCTTTATTGAAACTTGATTTCATCATACAAGGCTAATTAAATGAAAAATGCAAATTAACAGTTATGTGTACTTTTCACTTAGCCATCCAAATAGCTTAGCAAGGCGCAATGAGCAATATTCATGTATTTTTCATGTAGACAATACAGACATTTCATTGGCAAGTTATTCATCCTTAACATTTAAAATATTAATAAAGTGGTTTTGGCAGGATAAGGATGTTGTATTGTTGCTGTCTTCACTGTTGTAAATGCTCTTAACATTCAAGATTAGGCATTTCATGATTTTAGTCATCAGTGCCTTGAAAATGTTCTTTGTCTCTTCACCTGAATAAAGTAAGCTAAACTCTTTATGAATTGTAACAGTTTTATGGTTGTGGTAGGACAAAAAATATCAACATGGAATCAGGTAGAATAATAATACTGACTGCTCACGTTTATAGCTTTATTGAGGAAATTATTCAAGGCAAAACATGTGCTATATTGGGTTCAACGTTCTAAATTTTGTGAAACTATGTATTGATTTCTATGGTGATTACTACTTTTGTACCACTATTAGTCTCCCACTGACATTGCTGGTTGTGACGATCTTGCTTGTAAATACGATTGATAATAGGACAAGAGGGCCTGGCTCTCATCTTCATAAATTAACTCTGAACTTTAGAACTTGCATCGGAAAAAGTGCTAGGGTAGCTCTGGTTAAATAAAAAAAGATAATGTATCAATTATTATCATTATACTGAATTAAAGTAAAAATTTTTATTTTAACATTTTTGGGGGTGGTCTGAAGCCCTGTTTACAAGAAGGCAGTTATTTGATATTGGTCTGTAATTCTAAACATTTAAATTGCCTCTTGCATCTATGTTTTCTATTATAGTAAAATGTATTTGTGAATTTAATAAATATCAAACTAATTATAAAGCATGTACTGTAAATAAAGTATTCCTAGTAAACTTTAATATTAGCCATTCAGTTGTGTTGTTTCTAGTAAATCTGTTTGTCCTGTTTTTCATTAGCTCAACCATTGTAATCATCAAGGTTCAATTAAAGCTTATCTCTCAATAGTGATGCATAATTACATATAATAGTTAATTTAACAAGACATATAGCTATTATCTGAAATACATTTAAAAGATGTAGACGTGAAGTTTATGTGTAATTGCTCTAGATAGAAGCAGAAGAGCTGTTTTTTTGGTACTAGGAAATCCCCTATTTTCAGACTGCTAAAGATATCCTCTGACCAAATTCTTGGTGCCTACTACCTTCTACATATGATGTGAGGGAAAAGGAAGGCAGTGACCATTCTTCCTCTCGGTTAATACATTTTTTTTTTTTAACCTTTTAAGGACGGAGGCAGTTGTCCAAGTTCTAAACAAAAAAACAAAACCTTGAATTTGTGCCATGTATTCCACCACAATTTAAGGGTTTTCTCTCTACGTGGCCCCATATATATTATATATTTTGGAGGTTTTTTCAAAGGAAAGAAAGGTCTTTTTAAAATATCTGTATGTATACTATATGTATATCTAACACAAGGTGTGAATAAATTTAAAAAAATTAGAAGAATGCTTGTAATAATTTATACACATCTAGTGCAACTAGAGAAATAGAATTCAAAATAGATTAACTTATCAATGCTGACTTTTAAATGTCTCATATGTCTAGGATCTAAATAAATTTTTGGTAGTTATTGGGACACTCCTGTACGCAAAATCTCCCAATGAAAACATGCAGGCATTTAAGTATGCATTTTTTTAATTAGGAGTATATCTAAGAACAGCTTGCAAAAGCTGCATATACCTTATTTGAAGCATTTACAAGCCCTTTCTTTCTTAAACAACCCAGACTTTCTGTGTCTGTCCAAATACAGACCTTTCAATGTAGATTAGTTAGAAGTCTTTGTAAGGTAGTTATTCTGAGCAGTTGCCTGCCTCTTGAGTTTAGCTCCACTGAGTTAAACAACAAGGAAGTAACATGATCGGTTGTCTGATTGACAGCCAGGTGGGTGTAACAATTTCTACAAAAATCTGTACTTTTTGTAAAGTGAAAAAGAGGACACACTCTCCACACATAAAGCACATTAGAATGCTGAAGTGCTTTATAGGTCTGTTGTGTCTTTTTAATGTATATCTACCCTAACCTTAACCCTAGCCTAACCCTAAAACAACATTAACAATAACTCAGTATTAACCCTTACCTTACCCTAAGCCTACACCTAACCAGACCTTAACACTTGCCTTAACCCAACCCTTAACGCAAATGAGTTGCTTCTACTAATATAACATTCCCTAGTTAAAACAGTAGAAAGCAATCTATTCCCATGGTCTAAATTGGAAATTCTTAAAAAAAAAAAAAAAAAAAGTACGTGTTTGACTGGAGGAACTCTTACATTTCTTATCTGGCCATTAACCTGTAAAAGAACCTGTCTAAGATGCATGATTATAACCTGGGTAAGTTCTGGCTGGTGTTTAGGGACGACTTTGACAGATGGTGTATTCTTAAACTCTCGCTGATAAGTAGGTTAAATTCAGTCAAGATGAACATACTTCCAAAAATGTTATACTTTATAAAAGCAATCCCCCTCAGTATTCCATTATCTTTTGTAGGAAAATTCATTCTACCATCTTGGCATTTATTTGGAACAGGAACCAGAGTAGACTCAAACTGGCTGTGTTACAAAAGCCTAGGATTGATGGAGGTATGGGTTTCCCAGACTTTGTTCATTATTACCAAGCCACTAATGATGATGTAGCTTTTAATTTCAACCTTCTGATTATCTTCAGTGGCTTGAGATGGAAGCAGACAAGATTTTTCCACATCTCATCAAAGAGGTGTTACAGATGCCTTCTCAAATACCACAAATTGCTAACATGTTTCCTATCACTAAATCGCAATAAAGGCCTGGGATATTATCTATAAGAATGATATAGAGCAGGGATAGGCAACCTTCAGCACTCCAGATGTTGTGGACTACATGCCCCATAATGCTTTTACACCCATAATGCTGACAAAGCATCATGGGTGATGCAGTCCAAAACATTTGGAGTGCTGAAGGTTGCTTATGCCTGGTCTAGAAAATCCCCCATTACAATTTTAAGGATTGATATTTTCAGTTTGAACTTAATTGGACATCCCACTTAATTACACATATTGATAAAAAAAAAACTAACATACTGTTTTCCTTTCATCAATTGAAGGACAAGCTTGATTTGGATAGTTCTGATGCCCCAATATATGAGACAATGATTAACCCCATTATTGATATTGATGGAACTTTACATACAAGATCTGGTTAATTGGACATGTCCACCATGGAAAAAGTATATCTTTCAGATACTGCCTGGAAACTAACAATTCCTATTTGCTACACATTGCTGTCTGGAATGGTTATCCAAAATTGTGAATCAAAGGCTAAATGGGAATGGAAATTGGACAAAGAATACAATCTTTCCGAATGGTTTGAATTTGCATTAGCTCAACATGTATCACACTTGGAGTCTCAATAATAAATTCTTCATTGATTCACTCCCTCCAAACTTTTTAAGGTAGGAATGACGCATACCAACACGTGCTGGAGGGAGTGTGGCCAGGTGGGCTCCTTGTGTCATGTGTTGTGGTAATGCCCTAAATTAATATGTTATTGGGATTCCATTCATAATTTAGTTAAGTCTATCAATGATTTCATAAAAGACTTCACTCCAGAAATTTGTTTAAGAAAATTCCAAACAATTTGCCTCAAATACAAACATTTATATGTTAGGATATCTTTTCATCTTAGCTACCATAGTTATCCACATCACTGGAGATCTCCTGATGAAATATGACTTGTGAACTTGCATTCAGACCACCATCTGATTTGATAAGTTATTTAAGACACAAGTGGATTATTTGGGAAAAGGATGTCAGACAGATTTATAATTTACAAATTTATAAAAAAAAAAATTATACTTACCAACAGACGTCTTCTTCTAATTCTTCTGTTCTCAACCCCAAAAAAGGCCAAATTAAAAAACATAGTAACTGACACAACTAATTAAAATAATAATAAAAGTAAAAATAAAATAGAAGGACTGACTAGAAAATATAAAAACGTGCTGAAATAAAAAATAAGTATCTTCACCCAAGTAGGGTTCGCTGCAGAATTAGTGCTGATAGCTGAGAAACCCTTTTATAGGCTTTCCCACGTTATAACAGCTATCACAAAGCATGGGAAAATATCCCTTGGTTTGCGATAGCCCTTCCACGTAATGAAAGCTACGGTAACCAAGGGTTTTTAACTATTTCTCCACTGGCTGCTAGTGCTACCAATGGGCAAATAGTTTGGATTTTAAAATGTTTTAAATCCAGGCCTGGAGTTTAAGCTTCTGGGTCCGGATTAATTTAGTTTGGTCCAGATTTTAACTGTCCAGTGGTGTTTGCTTCTGGAGAAATCCATATTCATACCCATTCAGGGCTAAAGTTACAAAATCCAGACACTGATAACTTACATCAACAATGTCTGGATTTTGCAGTCAAAATGACCCCATATGCAGCCAGATGGTTTTTCCTCCATTTTATTCGGGAGCCTTCCAGACTTTAGTAAAGAACCCTGCAAAGTGAGAATTGCAGGCCACCGAGGCCATGGCTCCCTCACCCATTCTGTGTTTCCCCAGCACTCTGCAATCTCCAGAGCTCCACCTTCACTGTAACACAGGCTACCAGTGCCTGCCCTCTCTGCTCCCTCCCTGCTCCTTCCTTTTCTTACTGTTGTTAGCATAGCAATGGATGCATAATAGAGTCCTAAGTGCTCCTACACCCACAATATCTCAACTCTGCCCAGTGTCCTAACTCCCTCTTTCCGCTATATCTTAACCCACACCTCTGTCTGCCTCCTCCTCCCAAATTCCACCTCAATGAATCAGCTCACCCACCAATCAGGGTGCACACAACAACAGCTCCCACTGGACCATCCTGAGTCAGGTTCCCGCCTCTTTGACCCAAGGTAAGCATCAGGGGATTAAACTTGAGGTTTTATTTGAATCAAAAATACTACCACCACTGCCACTGTACCCCCACTACAGTCTTTATCCTCTCACTACAACTACTATACTCCACTACAGCCATTACCCGTCCTGCAGCCTCTATTCCAACATCATAGCCCCTATACCCCATTACAACCACTATCTCCCCACTACACGTCCTTCCTGTAGTGGGGATCATTTCCCCGGACCACAGCCCCTCTTTCCCCTCAATGTACACATAACAGCCACTGTGTCCAACAACCCTCACAAATGCAACTCCCCAAGCAGTGAAAGTGAAAGTGAATCAAAGTGAATTTCATATTGAAAGCTAAAGTAGCCAAACTGAAGGCATATCTGACTGGAAGAATTTTTTTCTGTTCTGCTATTTTGAAATTCACTTTGAATGCTTACTTTAGTGAATAACCTTCATTCACAAATAGCCACACACACACACAAATATATTGAAATAACTAAACACTTGCATCTATACATACACAAACATATGAATGCACTCTTTCTCTCACCAACTCACCTGTGTTAGTGGTGTGAGGAGAGATGTAGACAGCATAAGCATTCTTCCCTTCACTAGCGTGGCAGTAAAGGGGATGATATCCTGGGACTTGCAGTCTGTAGAAATATAAATGGAGCAGTATGGGCTACACAAACAATTCTGGGCTCCAGTGTAGTGTTAACATTTCACCTCCCAGCACTTTTTTATAGTACTGAACAGCTCTGAACACCACCTAGTGCTGTGTATATTGTGAACGATGTGGTCGCTCTGGGAAGAAATGGAAAAACAATAAAACAAAGTAAATGTCCAGGATGCCAGAAATCAGAGTAGTCAATAACAAAGTTGAGTTAAAACCAGAAAACAAATGTCACAAACTAAAAGTCACTCTTAAGAGAGACCAGACAGGGCAAAGAGAAGTAGACAGTATGCGTTAAACAACCTCAGAACTACTGATTGGGTTGTGTCAATTATGATGACAAAACATTTAAAGCCAGTGTCGCTGGATGGATGTGGACTGGCATGGTGTTGAAAAATGATGCAAGCATCAAGGCGAATTTGAAGGAAGGAAGGTGAGCAGTCCATGTCGAAAAGGAAGCAAGAAGGAAGCACAGCATCAATATTTCGTAATTATCTGACTTTTACACATATTTTAGTCTAACCTATTAGCCTGTTCCTTGAACACCTATGATTCAGTGCGGCTTTTTCTTAACACTTTTTAATTGACTATAAGAAACATTTGATTAACCAAGGGGGATAGTGGCAACTGTCCAAGCTAATAAAACTATTTACATATACTTTTTTTTTTTTTTAAGTACCAGGTTTAATGTAAGATTAGTTTATGTATAACTCCAAATCTAAAAATTCAATGCTGCTCTTACTGTAGTTTGAAGTAAAGGAGATGCAAACATGATTGCCATTAATGTGCTCTAAAAATGCAATATGTTGGTTTTCTAATTCTTTCCAAATAAAAAACAATCAACAATGTTTTTTTTTATAGAGGACCAGGTTTGCCCTTTTAGAAGAACTTTCCAAATGTGACATGAAGATATTGGCATAGCAAGGTGCAAACCTGGTCCCCATAGTGGTGCCAGTTACACGCAGAAATGTGTCCTTACCATATATGAACAAAAAAATATTAGCAAGGACAAATTAAACAGGCGAAATGAGTTGAAGTGAGCAGTAACCTGATAGTTTCTTGAGACTCAGGAATTTTCCAGACAGCATTTTGCCAATACTGCAGCTCCCATTCTTGGACACAGCAACTGGTGGACAGTGCACTATGTGAAAGAACGTGGTAGTGGACATTGGGCACATATCACCTTAATTGCTATTTTGGGAGCAAAGAGATAAGTCTCACATATCTTTTGTGTAAGGGTTTTAATTAGTTTGTGTATGCTAGTTTAATAAACATCCAGTATTAAACTATGTAATGCATTTCTTTTATTTAGGTGTTACTTTGTTATATTGGAGTTGGCACAAATCTAACATACATCTTGATACAAAATTGATACAAAGCTGCCAAATAAACCATACATAAACCTGTCTATTGTAGTTAGAATACTTCAGAAGACTGCACTAAGGTGGAAATAGAACTTTTTAGTAGTGACTGGCTTAATGCATCTTTTGTTGTATTACCCATATTAAATTTTTTATATGTTTTATTTATTATTATTTTTATTTATAAAGTGTCAACAGATTCCGCAGAGCTGTACAATGGGTGGACTGACACATAGTTGAAAACAGACAAGATGGATGCACAGAAACAATGGGGTTGAGGGCTCTTTCTCGATGAGCTTACATACTAGAGGTAGTGGGGTATAGTGACACAAAAGGTAAGGGAAGAGTAGAAAATATGGTTGCTAAAATATTATTCATTGAGGAATTGTGTGTGTTTTTTTTTTTTATTTTATGACAGTTCAGGAGAGGAATCAGGTTGCAAGGAGCGAAAGCTGTTAGCAATTTAGTTGATATGCATCCTGAAGAAGTGAGTTGTCATTGATTTATTTAAAGGACTGGAGACTCGGTGAAAGTCTAACGAAGAAGGGAAGGGAGTTCCATAGAAACAGTGCGGCCCTAGAGAAGTCTTGAAGGGAGCATCAGAGGTGGGAATACAAGCAAAGGATAGACGAAGGTCTTCTGCATCCTAGAAGGACATTCTTGTGTATTAGGGGGGATAGGTAGGTTGGAGCAGCGTTGTGTAGAGATATGTAAACAAGTACCAGAATTTTAAATTGAGCCCTATATATAATGTGAAACCAATGCAGGGACTGACAGAGGGGGAGGCATGGGAGGTACGGGCGAACAGGAAGATGAGCCTTGCTTCCGCATTCATTGTAGACTGTTGGGAACATGTGGGACCACTGAGAAGTGGATTGCAGTAGTCAAGGCGAAAGAGGATAGTGGCATGTATCCGCACCTTAGCCACATTAAATAGGAGCAAATAGGTGCTATGTTTTGGAGATGGAAGCAGCAGGACTTGGCGATCGACTGAACATGATGGGCAAATGAGAGGTTGGAATCAAGGAGAACCCCTAGGCAGCTAGCCTGTGAGGTAGAGCTTATGGTAGCGCCGTTGACTTGGATGAAGACAGACACAGTAATAGCAACACTTGAGGGGGGAAAGATAAGAAGTTCTGTTTTGGACAGGTTAAGTTTAGGGAAGTGAGCAGCCATGCAGTTGGAAATTGCAGAGAAGCAGTCAGAGACAGGAATCAAGAGGGGCGGCGAGAGATCAGGAGAGGACAGATAGATTTGCATGTCATCTTCATAGCAATGATATTGGAAGCCAAAGGAGCTGATGAGTATAGATCATGAACAGTAGGGGACCAAGGACAGAGCTTTAGGGAACAGTGAGGGGTTCAGGAGAAGAAGCAGAGCCAGAGAAAGATACACTGTAAGAGCACAGGGAGAGGTAGGAGGAACACCAAGAGAGAACAGTATCTCATAGACGGAGATTGGGGAGGATGAGAAGAAGCGGATGTTGATGTGTCAAAAGCACCAGAAAGATCAAGGAGAATTAAGATAGAATAGTGCCTATGGGATTTTAAAGCAATTAGATTCATTGGATACTTTTGTCACAGCTGTCACAGCTGTTTTGACAAAGTGACGAGGACAGAATATGAATCACAATTAATCATCTTTACACTCCTTGAAATGCAAACAAAAGTCTATCTTTAATTAGTAGTTGTAAGAGAGCATACAACAATACAGGAGTTGGAATACACTTTTCATTTGTTTTAGTGGAACTAGTATGAGTCTTCAGAAGACAGAAAATTTGACTCAGTGCACAGTCTTCTGTATGTATGCATGTCTGGAAGAAGACCTCCGAGATACTGCCTGGTCATGTGCTGCAGTGGGGTGTTGGGTTTCTAGAGCAGTGAGACGATTTTGTGCTTGGGTATAATATTTATAGATTTATAGCCATGATGGGTTCAACTTGAATGGGAGAAAGTCTTTTATGATGTGAAGAGGGTGGCTAGATGGTTGGATGAGGAGTAGTGAATGGCACAGAAGTAAAATAGTTTGTGTGGTACATAGTGTAGAAATTAAATGGAATTCTGTTAAAGCCCAGGAAGGTAGAGATGAGAGGAGTGGTAAGATTAGCAGACAGAGTAAGAAGGTGATAAATACATGTTTAAAATAAAAAATAAATGAATGGTATAAATAAAGTTAAAGTTAATAAAATAAATAATTCACTTTAATTACGAACTGAATGGGGCAAAACAATCTGGCTACATACAGTGCAATTTGCACTGCAAAATCGGGGCATTGTTCCTACTATTCAACAATATCTGGATTTTGTAATCCAGACATTGAATCAATTGGACACCATCCCATGAGATTGGGTCTCTTAAATAATAAGAGCATGTCCCCATCCATGGGCAAAATAAGTGTGCTATGTCTCTGAGACACAAAATTATTCAAAGTGCACTATCAAACAAGGTGCATTAACCAATTTGTGCAATATTTTGACTTGTGCAAACAATCTTGTGCAATGTGACAATAAAGTACACACAGTAAATACAAGCACTTACATTAAATGTATCCTGTGAGTTCACTCCATATAATATTATTATTATGTTATTTATTTAGCGCCATCAAATTCCGCAGCACTTTATAATGGGTGGACGAACAGACATGTAGTTGTAACCAGACAAGTTGGACACACAGGAACAGAGGGGTTGAGGGCCCTGCTCAATGAGCTTACATGCTAGAGGGAGTGGGGTAAAATGACACAAAAAGGTAAGGTTAGTATTAGACTAGTGACAGTTGCAGAAGAGGAATCAGTCAGGAGCTATTAACAGTTTAATTGATATGCTTTTATGAAGAAATGGGTTTTTAACGATTTTTTGAAGGAGTGGAGACTGGGTGAGCATCTAACAGAGGAGGGAAGCGAGTTCCACAGGAACGGTGCAGCCCTCGAGAAATCTTGAAGGCGATCATCAGAGGTGGGAGTACGGACAGAATATAGACGTAAGTCTTCCGCAGATCGTAAGGGCCTAGACGGGACATACTTGTGTATAAGGGAGGATAGATAGCTGGGAGCAGCATTATGCAGCGATTTGAAAGCAAGAACCAGAATTTTAAATTGAGCTCTATATTTTATAGGAAGCAATGTAGGGACTGACAGAAGGGTGAGGCATGGGAGGTGCGGCCGAACAGGAAGATGAGCCTCGCTGCCGCATTCATTATGGACTGTAACGGCGCAAGTTGGGAGCACGTAAGACCACTGAGAAGCCGATTACAGTAGTCAAGGCGAGAAAGGACAGTGGAATGGACCAACACCTTAGTCGCATCTGGCGTTAAGTAGGGGCAGATGCGCGCAATGTTTTTAAGATGGAAATGACAGGATTTGGCGACAGATTGAACATGAGGCTTGAAGGAGAGGTCGGAGTCAAAGAGAAAACCTAGGCAGTGAGCCTGCGTGGTGGAGCTGATGGTAGCACCGTTGACTTGGAGGGAGACAGACACAGGAGTAACAACACTTGATGGAGGAAAGACCAGAATTTCAATTTTGGTCAAGTTTAGTTTAAGAAAGTGGGCAGCCATCCAGTTAGAAATAGCAGAGAGGCAGTCAGAGACACTAGTCAAGAGGGACGGGGAGAGATTAGGAGAGGACAGGTAGATTTGCATGTAGACCGATATTGCAGAGGATGAGAAGAAGCTGTTGATGATCAACAGTGTCAAAAGCCGCAGACAGGTCAAGGAGAATTAGGATAGAGTAGTGACCACGAGATTTTGCAGTGAGTAGATCATTGAATACTTTGGCCAGTGCCGTTTCCACAGAGTATATATATATACATACAGTATCTCACAAAAGTGAGTACACCCCTCACATTTTTGTAAATATTTTATTATATCTTTTCATGGGACAGCACTGAAGAAATGACACTCTGCTACAATGTAAAGTAATAAGTGTACAGCCTGTATAACAGTGTAAATTTGCTGTCCCCTCAAAATAACTCAACACACAGCCATTAATGTCTAAACAGTTGGCAACAAAAATGAGTACACCCCTAAGTGAAAATGTCCAAATTGGGCCCAATTAGCCATTTCCCTCCCCGTTGTCATGTGACTCGTTAGTGTTGCAAGATCTCAGGTGTGAATGGGGAGCAGGTGTGTTAAATTTGGTGTTATCACTATCACACTCTCACATACTGGTCACTGGAAGTTCAATGGCACCTCATGGCAAAGAACTCTCTGAGGATCTGAAAAAAAAAAAGAATTATATATAAAGATGGCCTAGGCTATAAGAAGATTGCCAAGGTCCTGAAACTGAGCTGCAGCACAGTGGGCAAGACCATACAGTGGTTTCACAGGACAGGTTCCACTCAGAACAGGCCTCGCCATGGTCGACCAAAGAAGTTGAGTGCACATGCTCAGCATCATATCCAGAAGTTGTGGCAAGCAAGCTTTAAACTTTTTTCAACAGATTAAAATATAAACGATACAAGGCACTCTGGGGTTATCTGAAGGCCGGCAAACTCACTCGATCACCAGTCAAAGTTCGGTGAGGTGGGGATTACTTTCTGCTGTATACAATAACGTGATGACGTGTTTTGCCTAAAGTGGCTTAATCAGAATTCCCCCTTTCACCCATTTCCACCTATTTAAGTCAACCCGTGAGGATGTGCATAATTAGCCAAGTCTGATAAACTAGTCCTCCTACTGGATACATTTCAAAACTCTCTTAATTTGCATAGCCCGATCATGTAGTGACTACACGCATCTTCAACAGGAGTGAATGAGCTTAAACAGTTCATTATTGGCTTTTCACATATAAAGATAGCAAAAAACTGAAAAGTAGCATAATAACTGAATAATAATCAAAATAGCAATCAAATATAAAAAGCCTGTATATTTTTTCACATACATAAATAATTATATATATGTGTTGCAATATAAACATTTTGCTACAAATACAAATGGAAAGGAGGCAATGCACATTATAAACTCCAATGTAGCATAAAAACCTAAAAAAAATTATAATCACAAAAAAGATATAAGAAATTTAAAATATATAAAATACTATACAACATTCGAAAAGTGAAAAAAATATAAAAAAATTTAAAATGTATAAACATACTGTAAAAAAGGAAAAAATAAAGAAGAAAGGGAAAAAGGAGGGATGAAAGAGGCCATTCATAAAGAGTTATATAAATCAAATGTTTTTTAGAGCCTTTTTTAGTATGAAAGGTTTAAAAAATTTACCTTAATGGACTTAAATCTTTTTTCAAAGTGGATTACTATATAACTATGTATCAGGACCTCAGTACCACACTCACCTACCTTGCGCTCCCACGCCGCGTCTCTAACTCCACGAGGACACCGTGTCAGAGAACGACCCCCCAGACAGCACGGTCAGCTCAACCACCCACGCCGATGGCTCAATTTCATGCGAGCGGCACCTCTATTCGTGTGAACACCACTTCGTCTGATCCCCTTTGTACTGCAAACCTAGTCCATTGCTTTTAGCACTACTCTGCATCTTTGTCTCCGTCTACTAAAGAATTAACCCGACACTATGTAACTTTATATTCACAGCCTTATTGAACTGCATAAAGATTCAGTTTTAAAACAAAGCATTTACAATTCTTGCAACACCACCATCAGGGCAGAAAGCCAATGCACTGTGAGTTGTTTACACTAATTAATTTCTTCATATATACAACACTATGGTGATAGCGATTTTTATAGATCCCTTGCTTGGTGTTGCTTGGTGGAGGTAGTTGCCATGAGAATTACTACTTTTTTATATACTTTGATATATTCTAGTATAACACTTATAGTGAAAGAACTGCAAGACCACTGTTTTCTATTTGCCTTTCAATGTAGAATGATGTTTAGCCTACTTATGCATGTTAATGGTAGTGAACTGGTTATGCAGTCTATAAAAGAAAAGTCTAGCCTGCTTCTGCATCATGTTGGTTGTGCTTAGTAAGTAATTGGGTAAATGCTAAACCTGAACAAAGTTGCACAAAACTGCACAAAAAGGGGTAGTAATTGTGACATAGGACACAAGCCAAAATAATTCAGTTGATTTAAAGTTCCAGTTCATCTGATTTGAAATGGGTTTCTTTCCAACTCATCTGTCCCAACCCAAGCTTTGTGAACCTTTTCTTTTATCATGACAACCCATAATATTGTACGTAGTCTAGAACCCAATGTTGCAAAGTGCAAAGTAGTTTGCCATGTATAGCAAATAAGAGAACCACAATATACTCAGACACAACCAGATTGCATCCATGAAGCAATCACAGTTTTTAAACTGGAAACAAGAACAGGAAGTGTTACATGAAATCACAATATGGATGGGAAAGTGTCACAGATGTTTTCAGAAAACTACTAAATGGAAGAAACAGAAACTGAAGACGTCTGAGTTGCGCATTACGGTAAATATTTCATTACAATAATGTATTATCCTTTTTCTGTTTACTCTTATATACTCATGAATATATCTTGTTAAGTAAAAAAAAAAATGTTGGAATGTGACCAGGAATATTTATATTTGTCTATATTATTCAGATGTTGTTAGACATGAAACAGATTTGTTAGCCATGCCATTTCTCTGATCATGACTATATTAATTAATTTGTTTTAGCACTGGTTTTGTTTTATATAATATATATACTACAATGTGTAAAAATAAAACAAAACAGTAACATTTAGAAAATACATTTAAATTAAGTAACACAGCTATATGAATAAACAACTTAGGAGATATTCTGAAATGCTAAATGATGTTGTCAGTATAAACTACTGCATGTGAAACATATAAAGTCCTCATGTCTTTGGATATACTGTACTATTGTCTTTCACAGAAACACCTTTTATAGGTAAACAGCAAAGTGTGAACTACTTGCAGATTCGTAATTTGTTCAGAGAGCATTATATTTAAAAAAAAATTCTACTTTGCAAATGCTGCAGGTTAAAATGAAATTTTTAAACAGATTATGTTAATGAAGCATCTATTTAAAATTAATATCTTTTTTAAACCAAGCAATGTTTTTAGGCTATATTAATATTACAAATGTAATAATTCCCATTCCTTCTTGTTCAAATAAATAGATTATGGAAGTCTTCAAGAAAAATTGTCATGTTATTGCACATTGTGTAAGCTCGTTTGAACAGCAACCTATTGTCTCAGTAACATTTTGTAATTGTCTTATGCATCGTTAAATTTCCCCCTTTAATAATATTGCATAGTGAAGTGGATTAAGTTGGCGCTATATAAATGCCAAAAATAATAATAAAATAATCATTATGAAAAATAGCTGTAATTAATTTTAATAATTTCCCTCCCCACATTCAACATTGCTTTAAAAAAGATAAAAATGTATTTGTTTATAAAATGTGTTGCATTAAGGGTGTATCTGTAATTCATTTTAATAATTTCCCTCCCCACATTCAACATTGCTTTAAAAAAGATAAAAATTTATTTGTTTATAAAATGTGTTGCATTAAGGGTTTTGTGCATTTAATAATACATTTCAAAGTTATAGACAATATTTATATAGCTTTCGTGCACATTTCTCCTCCTCATTTATCTCTGTGTACTGCAATATCACGATCTTCCTCTAGTGAGCGCTAATAAAATCCTACCCTAAAAGAAAACTAAAAAACACAAATCTAAAAGAAAACTAAAAAGCACAAAGTGAGTTATGTGCTTTATAAATAATAAAACATACCTTTATTATTGGAGCACGTTCTTATGGTTCTTTGAAGGCTCCTAGAAATATATCCCCAAAAAATAAATAAAAACAGAAAGAAAAATTATAAAATTGATATACATTTATACAGTAAGATTATCACAACAAATACTTTACTGACATAAAATAATGTTGACTGATACAAAAGGTGAAGAACACCCAACTCAAATGTGCTTTAAAAAGGGAAAGGGGTAGAATATGAGGGGTTGATATATATGGATATGATGTGGTTCTTGTATGTGTCTTGGGTGTCTTGTTGATACCATATTTGGTACAGGTATCCTATCAATGCGATATGGTGTATATATGTATTATGTGGAGATAGATAGATGTGCAGTGAAATTTTAATAATTTTTGTACGGTTATTTCACAATTACAAAGCAGAGTAAACAGATTGACTCACTTCCTTATTGTACAAAACTGGAAAATATGTTGCCTCTTTACAAATAATAATTACAATTTTAATCTAGAATTGTGAAAAATGTGTTTTAAGACCATATGTTATAGATCGCGAGGGGAGCAGTGTCAGAACTAACATAAAAACTAAATAAAGCATTTAGCACTGAGCACTGTAAGCATGTTTTATATGCAGGGCCGAACTGGGAATTAAAAGCAGCCCTGGAAAAAAAATATTTACCAGCCCCATAATGCGTCGCGCCAGCATAGTGTGCAGATACAGAGTTAGAAAAGATAACTTAAAATTAAAAAATATTACTCTAACGTAAAAAGCGCACTCATAGGCTTCAAAATAAATAAAAGTGCAGATTTATTTTAAGCAGACGTGCCTTTGCATGTAATCAATGTTTCAGTCCAACTACATTGATATATTAAGGAAAGCTTGGTAATGGGACTGAAATGGTGAAGGTATGTAGGGCACAACTGTAAAAAATAATGTTACCTTGTTTATTTTGAAGACCTGTGGGTGCGCTCTTCACTTTAAATATGTTATTGTGCTGGAGTATGCACCTAGCAACAAGACTGGGCACATATCTGCTCATTACATATGGTACATATTAATGAAATTTCTCTGTGTATTATGCATATGTAAATGTACAATAATATATGTGTAAATATAATAGGCATAATTCTATATATATATATATGTAGAACAAAAGATGCACTCTTTTCTACATAATTATTTATCAGCGTGAGATTGCACCAGGGCCCTTCTATTATCTATTATATTAGTAAGGGTGAGTGCCATTACTTGTGATATATATATATATATATATAAAACTAATACACACATTAATATACATGTCACATACCAGTGGCGGATCCAGAGCCTGATCCTGGGAGGGGCACTTGTAGATTATTTAAAGAAATATTCCATGCGCAATAACCACTACTCCTCTGTGTAGTGGTTATGGTGCCAGAAGTGCCGGGACCCCCTCCCAGAGTAAATAGTCAAACCGTTTAAGAACAGTTTGACAACTTACCTGGGATCTGCTGGGTTTTGGGGCTGTAGTAGGGTATATGTAAAGGTTCAGTGTGTGTGGGGGGGTGTTGCGTGTGAATGTGTAGCGTGTGTGGGGCAATGTGTGTATGGGGGGCAGTGTGTGAATGTGTATGGTGTGTGTGGGGGCAGTGTGTGAATGTGTATGGTGTGTGATTGTGGGGGCAGTGTGTGTATGGGGCTAGAGTTCACTCTCACTACTGCGACCACCAGGAATCCTGTGTTTTTAAGCTGAATATATACATACACTGTGATACACATATACACGCTGAAACATATGGAGATTCACAGATTTCCACACAGAAACACATACAGGTAGAGGCTCAGTGATACATACACTGATACACACAGATACACACATAAAAAGATACACAGATACACATACTGAAAACATACAGATACACACTGACACGCATACAGATGAGTGTGTGTGTATGGACTCAGCAGTCTGTGTGTGTGTGTGTGTGTGTGTCTGTATGTATGTATGGACTCAGCAGTCTGTGTGTGTGTATGGACTCAGCAGTCTGTGTGTGAGTCTGTGTGTATGGACTCAGCAGTCTGTGTGTGTGTCTCTGTGTGTGTGTGTGTGTCTGTGTGTATGTATGGACTCAGCAGTCTGTGTGGGTGTATGGACTCAGCAGTCTGTGTCTATGTGTGTGTATGGACTCAGCAGTCTGTGTGGTTGTATGGACTCAGCAGTCTGTGTGTGTGTGTGTGTGTGTGTGTATGGACTCAGCAGTCTGTGTGTGTGTATGGACTCAGCAGTCTGTGTGTGTGTGTTTAAGCTGAATATATACATACACTGTGATACACATATACACGCAGAAACATATGGAGATTCACAGATTTCCACACAGAAACACATACAGGTAGAGGCTCAGTGATACATACACTGATACACACAGATACACACATAAAAAGATACACAGATACACATACTGAAAACATACAGATACACACTGACACGCATACAGATGAGTGTGTGTGTATGGACTCAGCAGTCTGTGTGTGTGTGTCTGTATGTATGTATGGACTCAGCAGTCTGTGTGTGTGTATGGACTCAGCAGTCTGTGTGTGAGTCTGTGTGTGTATGGACTCAGCAGTCTGTGTGTGTGTCTCTGTGTGTGTGTGTGTCTGTGTGTATGTATGGACTCAGCAGTCTGTGTGGGTGTATGGACTCAGCAGTCTGTGTCTGTGTGTGTGTATGGACTCAGCAGTCTGTGTGTGTGTGTGTGTGTGTATGGACTCAGCAGTCTGTGTGTGTGTATGGACTCAGCAGTCTGTGTGTGTGTGTGTGTGTGTGTGTATGGACTCAGCAGTCTGCGTGTGTGTGTGTGTGTGTATGGACTCAGCAGTCTGTTTGTGTGTCTGTGTGTGTATGGACTCAGCAGTCTGTGTGTGTATATGTGTGTGTGGACTCAGCAGTCTGTGTGTGTGTGTGTGTGTGTGTGTACTCAGCAGTCTGTCTGTGTGTGTGTGTGTGTGTGTGTCTGTCTGTATGGACTCAGCAGTCTGTGTGCGTGTGTGTGTATGGACTCAGCAGTCTGTTTGTGTGTCTGTGTGTGTGTATGGACTCAGCAGTCTATCAATAATTAAAATTCCTGTGAGTTGTTGTGTAGGAAGGGCCCCAGTGCACTGCTTTGCCCTGGGCCCCTTAACGCTTTTAAAATGGTACTGCTTGTGTGTGTCAGTGAGCTTCTATTTAGTGAGCATGTGTGTGTCAGTGAGCTTGTCTTTAGTGAGCTTGTGTGTGTCCCTGAACTTCTTTGTAGTGAGCCTTCTGTTTATACAAGTGAGTTTGTCTGTAGTAAGCTTGCGTGTGAGTCAGAGAGTTTTGTCTGTCAGTAAGCCTATTTGTGCATGTCAGTGAGCTTGTGTGCTTACTGTACATATATATATATATATATATACACATATATATATATATATATATATATATATATTGACTTGTAGGAATGGCATACATTTTTTTCCAGGACTGCTTTGGATTCCCAGGGATTCCCAGTTTGGCTCTGCCAGCGAGTGCGCTTTACCACTGAATCATCTGTGTGAGCTGCCGCACACTTTAGCCCTGTTACATGTGTCTGGGAGCTGCTGTTAACAGGTACTAGTAGTCTAGAGATTGGGACATGGGGTATATGCTCAGCTATCTGTATAATACTATAGTGCTGTTTTCTGTATAATACAGATCTGTGTGTATATAATATCCTGGGATAGTCAGTGCTTCCTGTATAGTGCTGCTCTCTGTATAATACAGGCATGTGTCTGTATAATATCCCGGGAAAGTCAGTGCTCCCTGTATAGTGCTGCTCTCTGTCTTGGGATATTATACACAAACAGACCTGTATTATACAGAGAGCAGCATTATACAGGGAGCACTGATGGTCCCAATTTATTATACACACAACCATGTATTATACAGAGAGCACTGACTGTCCAGGGATATTATATACAGACAGTAATTGATAGCTGTGCTGCAAAATGTCCTTGGATTTTTTTTTTCAAATGTTGGCAACTAGGGCACTGCATCAAGGTGTTTTTTAATAATCCCTGATGGAATATGATGAATCTTCCACCAGGGATTATTAAAAAAAACAAAAACACATTGTACTCCCCTAGTTTTGTCCCTGGCCCACCATGTGCCCCCCCTAAAAATGAATCATAGAGACACCACTGCACACACACACATCAATAAACAAATACACAGACACTGACAGACATACAGATACACACACTGAGAGACATAAACACTCACACACTGACAGACTTACGGATACACACTGATAGACATATAGATATACACACACACTGACAGACATTCATACAGATTTGCACAGATACACACATACAGATACACATACTGAAAACATACAGATACACAGATACATACACTAACACACATACTGATATACAGACACACACTGCCATACATATACACAAACAGACAAACACACTGACATACATAGAGATAAACAGGTACACATACTGACATACAGATACACGCACTGACAGACATACAGATATACATGCAGGTCAAAATATACACTTTTATAGCATCCCTTCCTTTTGGGTCCTGGAGGGTGGCTTCCCTTGTGTCCAGTCTGCAGGCTGAGGATATTGGGAGTTAGGGTCTGGTTCTTGCAATCTACAACCCCTCCTCTCCTGCCTTCCCCTCTGCTCTGTCCTCCTGTCTCTCTCCAGGTCTATGCCCCCTCCTTTCTGCCTTCTCCTCAGTCTCCAGCAGGGCACCAGTTTCTGACAGGCTCTCACTTCCTCCCATGCTGCTAAAAAGCAAGGGCCTCGGTAGCTATGTTAAAGGTCCACAGCATTCAACTGGACCCCTGCTGACACATGCCCACCGGGAGGCCCTAAGAGTATGGGCCAGCAGATGGACCCCTTTAGTATGCAGGCCCTGCTGCACAGGTGGATGTTCGACCACTGGTGAGCAGGTTGAGTGCCCACATAGCTTAAATAATGCTAGAGTTTCTCAGAACACTATGATTTTTAACAAGGCAAGAAAAAAAATAGGAGTAAAATGCAGATGCGTATGATTTTCAGAAGGATAGTTGGGTCTTGTTGGATCCATGTATTTGTTTTGGAAAATGAAGTCAAATCTGTTCATATTTCATTACAACACAATGGATTCCTACCAGATTCATATGTATATCCAAAACAAATTGCTAGATGCTACAAAAATTTTCTATGTAACACAAACATACCTGCCATATCCAAGATTTTTTTAGAAAAATAAAGCCAAATCTTTCCAAATATCATTTAAGCACAATGGAATTCTACTGGGTCAATCTGTATTTCCCGAAAAATTGCCAGATCTACCAGACACTCCTGGAAACATAACAACATCCCTGGAAAGAAACGTACCTTTCTCAACCCAGTTTTGTGAATGGGGAGTCACCGATTGGCTGAGAGTGCAGCTGACTGTTCTCAGCTAATCAGAGGCACTACGTGCTTTCGGAATCTGAAAATTCAGAAGCCAAATGCAACCCAGGGTCACACACACACACACACACACACACTACATCTGTCACAAACACAATGCACCCCTATACACACACACACTTCACCCCACACACATTGCACCCCTCACACGCACATTACTGCCCCTTTCCCATACTACAGCCCCTATCCAGGCAGATCCTAGTTAAGTTGTTAAACTGTTTTTAAACAGTTTGACTACTTACCCTGGTAGGGCACCACCGCACTCCTGGCACTATACCCACTACAGAGTGCTGTATTGGTTATTGCACCTGGATTGTTTCTTTAAATAATCTACCAGTGCCCCTCCCAAGCTTAGGTTCTGGATCCGTCCCTGACCGGGAAACATTTCTGCTGAACAGGGGCCCAGTATATGCAGGAGTGCTGTACATATATACTACCTAGAAATGTGTTTTGACTTGGGGCGCCTTGGAAAAATATTGAAATATAAAGGGTGCCTTGAACCTAAAAAGTTTGGGAACCACTGCTATAACATATATCAAGTAAAATACAATAAAACAAGAATAAAAATAAGGTATAAAATAGTTCTTTTGCAGTCTATTCTGTCATCATTGGGAGTATATGTGGATAGAAGATAGATAAAGAGGAATACTAATAATGTAGTGTTTAGTATACTTGGTTATTGACAGATATTAAAGTGCTTATATGCCGGCTCATATTTTTTTGAGTTTATGTACTATATCCCCACTATTGGATTTAGGTGAAGGCAGAATCAGTTTTGTATGCTCCAGTAGACCATGAAATGACAAAATAAAATCCAATAGCACAATATTATAATTACAGGGTACATAAAGTGCCAAAGAATATTAAATGTAGACTCACAAGTGTAGAACTTTGAATTAAAGCTCGAATTTTCAGGTATAAGGTGGTATAATCCCTGCCCAGGGATTTAGTTGATACTCTTGTCCTCCAGTGGTGTTCACATATATAAGAACAATTAGACAGCATATAGTGCTCTCTGCATAATATTATGTATGGAGAGAAATAAAAATATACTCACAATTTTTAGAGCATTGTATTTGCTCAATGTTTGCAGCATAGGTGGAACAATCCCCACCAAGTATTTCAAGGAAGTATTTGAGGAAGATGTGCTTCACATAGTCCCAGGAATAATAAAAGAGTAAAATAAATAAAAATAACAATAAAGGATAGAAGATTCAAACATAGAGGAACCTTAGTGTTTTATTGATAATAACAATATAAAAGACATTTAAAAAAAACTTGTTTATTAGTGTGAACAACTAACAGTCAATTTGCTTATATAAAAAAGAAACCAACATCAATAAGGCTATTTCATGTACCACCTTGTAAAAGTTCATCTTTAGCTGTTTTAGAATTGCCTGAGCCAATGGAAACATGACATGAGCTGCCAAAGGAAAAAGTTTCTTGAGCACTATGCCAAATCCCTATGCACATACCTTTCTCAAACAAGTTTTGTGAACAGGCAGTCACTGATTGGCTGAGAGCAATAACTGACCGCTCCCAGCCAATTAGCGGCGCCTCTGCCTGGCAGGACCCAGATGCCGTTTGAGAACAGTTTTACACCTCTTAGGTAAGAGTGCCTCCAGGGGCCTCCTGGCACCATTACAACTTAATTTAGATTAATTAGTTTTGGTGCCTGGATGGTCCATTTAAATAGAAAAGAGGAACATTAGATAGAGCAAATTGTCAATAAAGTAGTACTGCTAGAAAAGAAGAACTGAAAATGCAGATTTAGAGAAAAAGATTCTATAAATAAAACGCATGGTGTTTATTAAAATATAATGTAATGAAAATCATTGTTCATTTACTAAAAAAGTAATGCAGATGTATTGACAATCCTGATTGAAATAATCACCCCTAAATATACAAAGTTGCCAATAGTATATCAATTAAGCAGCATGATAAAACATGCTGTGATAAAATTAGTTATTTTGGTAAATCAGTTTCCAGATCTGTGATATTTACATTTGCAGCTCACATGCAGGCTTTTAGCCATAGCTGAGCTCAGCAATCAGATTTATTTTTTCATCATTAGAACACTCTTTGCGATAAAGATAGTACGATAAAGATAGCCTTTTAGAGGGAGAGTGGTGATGACATAGGCGGGTGCGTGTCTACGTGAGAGGAGGGGAAATGTAGTGGAAGGGCGCCCGGCGGTGTTTTTTTTTTGGCGGTCCGAGGGGGTGATTTAGCCGACACATCCGACATCGTAGGCGAGACTACCGGGTTCTCTCTTCTCTCTTCAGCCCGGCAAAAACTGAGTGGCATCCGGAGCCCTCGAGCAGAGACGCAGGAGAGATCTGGCGAGGAGAGAAAACAGTGGCTACAAAGATAAGTCTGCTACATGTCTGCTACATGCTTTATCGATATTATTAAAGACCAAGAAATAATGGCATTGAGAGAGTGAAAGAGAGAAGGGCAGTGAGGAGGATAGAAAACCAGAAATTAGAAGAATATTGTTTTATAAAACATCAGGAGAGGAGGAATTGGAGGAAATGGAGGGGTGATTTTCCCCAGAGAGAAAAAAAAAAAAAGTGCAACAGGTTTATAAATACTGAGAATTTTGACTTAAAGTTTTGCTGCCTGAAAAGAGAAAGAGTAAAGAAAAGAGAAAGAAGGAAGGAAAAGGGAAAGAAAGAAGGAAAAGGAGAATAACAAAAGAAAAGAAATTTTTTTTTTTTTTTTTGAGAAACAAAATGGCAGCTAGAAAGCCACAGGAGGAAAGAAAAAAAAGAGAAAAAAAAGATAACATCACTGACAAAAGGTTGTCAGGTTATTTCTCCCCTCCTCCAAACAAATCTCAATTGAATCTTGAAAATCAGGATAATTCCCCTCCCCCCAAATCTAACTCTAATCCCTCTCATGGTGCACAGGCTGGTAAACCTCTAACTGAAGAGACTCTAATTAATTACCTGGATAAACTACAAGAAAACATTAAAGAAGACATTCAAAAAGGATCATTAGACTTAAAACATGAGATAAGAAATATGAAAGTACAATTGGAATCTATAGAGTCTAAGATGATCCAAACAGATCTTAAAAATGCACATATAGAGTTATTAATGATAGACCTGCAATCCAAGGTAGAACTTTTAGAGGATAAAATAAACGACTTGGAAGATCGTTCCAGGAGAACTAACATAAGAATCCGTAATATTCCGGAACATATTAATGAATCAACATTGAAAAAATTTTTAATGGAATACTTTGAAACAGTATTATCTCAAGCTGGTTTACAAGACTCAGAATTAGAAAGATATCACAGGTTACCCAGACCCAGAAATGTGGCTGAATCATTACCGAGAGATGTAATTGTTAAATTTCAATCTTTCTTTACTAAAAATCAAATAATGAGTTCTCTGAGAAGTAAGCCAGTTACAGAAGAGAGATTTAAGAACTTGAAGGTTTTCCCGGATCTATCTTTCCAAACAAGAGCATGGCGGAAAAGTTTTATTCAGGAACTAGCCATATTAAGATCTAAAGAAGTGAAATACATATGGGGATTCCCTAAATGCCTTAGGATTTTTTGGAGAGGAAAAAATGAAAAATTCACCACTCCGGATGCCTTGAGAAAATGGATGGAAGAGCAATCAATAGTGGACGTCATATAATGCGGGACAATAACTAAAAACCGAAGAGGATTTGCAGTTGTCTGGATGAAAAAGGATAATTAAAATTTTATTTTTTTTTGTTAGGGAGAGGCTGGGTCTTTAAGAATTAATAGATACTATGAAAGCATGGAGAAAGATAAAGCTAAAGAATAAGTGTTAATGATAAGTGAATGGTGGGTTTATTATTAGTACACGTTTGAGAAGGATGGTAAGAGTTAGTACTTTAAAGGACAAAATAATCACATAGAGTGCGTAAATTTATAAAATTGGTAGCTTAACACTGTAAAAAGATGTAATATTTACACACAGAATTAGAAATTTATAAAGGTTATGGAAATACTGGTAATTTGAACAAGACACGGAAAGAATTAATATAAAAGATAGATCGATTCATATACACAGTATAAACTGTTAATGATTATATATATATTCATGGTTGGATTTGGGATATATGGTTGGATTTAATACAGTTAAGAGATAGAGACTGTATATATTCTTTGAAAATACATAACTGGTTTGGTGGTAACAACAATTTGAATAAGACGTATGGAATGCACTTTATAAATAAGTGCACGGATTTCACAAAATAAGGAATGTTTATAAATTCTTAAAGACCAGATATCTAGATTGTTAAGGGTCGCAGGTTGTAATATAAGTGTTTTTTTTTTTTTCTTCCTCCCTCTTTTCTTAAGGTATTCATATGAGATAGTAGAGAGTTTTTTTAAAATAAGGAGTATGATTTTTGGGTTCTCCCTTCTATATTGCCCCACCAAGTGTCATCTTTCTGTGTTGACACAAATACCGTGATATGGGAATTTATAATACCATCTCACGAGGACACAGATGGCTCCTGAGTGGTGAGTTGAGAGACAACCACTCGGGAGCCAGGCGGTGTTGGGCCAGACTGGGTGTTTTTCCCATAAGGCTTTTGTGGGTCTATGTCCAATGGACCATTTGTGTTTTGTGTGAATGCATTGCAGCTCTCTTGGGGTCAGTGGTAACAATGGTTTTTTTTGAGTTAAAATGGTAAAGATGATTTCGGTTAATGTTCAGGGCCTTAATTCTCCAATTAAGAAATCTCTAATATATGATTATATGTTGAGAAATAAAGTGATATAGATAATCAAAGCTGGGGTGGTTTAAAATTTCCCACAGTGATATATGCTTCATTAAGTGAAAAAAAAAAAAAAGAGGAGTAGCAATAGTTTTTTCCCACACACTAAAAGTGGATATAATACATCAAATTAAAGATAAGGAAGGCAGATATGTAATAGTCTGCTGTAAATTAAATGAGATACCATATACATTGACTAATATATATCTTCCCAATGATTTTCCTGCTCCAACCTTAAAAAGGGTTTTAAGTTTAATAGAATCTATTAAAATAGGCACATGTTTGGTGGCTGGGGATTTTAACAGTGTACTGGATCCGATATTAGATAAGAAGACAATCTCAACATTGTTACATCAAAAAAGAACAGATAAACTTGCAAGATCTACTAATAGAATTATGATTAATTTTGATTTTTTTGATCTTTGGAGAACGACCAATCCTGACTCATTGGAATATACGTTTTTTTCACGTGTACATCTTTCGTATTCCCGAATAGATATGGTGTGGGGCAATATGACAGCATTGACGAATATTAAATATTTTAAGATACTGGATAATACTTGGTCAGACCACAGTATTAATATGTGGGAGATGAAGAATCAATGGATCAGGATTGGTCGTGATACCTGGCGTATGGAGGATAATTTGTTAAAATCTAAGATCAATCTTGATATACTAGAAAAACAAATAGTAACCTTTTTTCTTGAAAACGACCCTAATGACACCTCATATATAAACAATTGGTGTGCCTTTAAATCCACAATGAGAGGCAATATAATAAGTATACAAACAAGATATAAAGTAGAAAATAATAGAATTTTTCTAGGACTACAAGCAGAATTAAAAAAGATCGCAAGTAAGAATAAGCAGTCTCCTTCTAAAGAAAATGCAGATGAACTGAAAAGTATTCAGAACAGAATTAATAATTTTTTGATAGCAAAGAATGCAAAACTAATGAATAAACTTAAAGCAAATTATTATTATAGGGGGAACCGAGCAGATAGAAACATGACAAAAAAATTAAGAGATAAAATTGGATCCAGCAAAATAATAAAGATAGTGGATGAAGAGGGGGCATATTTAGACCCAAAAAAAATAGGTGAGAGATTTAATAAGTACTATGAGGCTTTGTACAATCTAACTCCCCCGATAATAAATGAAGAGGATTATTTGAGTAAAACCAACACACCTAAACTAACATTAGAACAAAGTAATAACTTAAATACTTTAATTACAGTCCAAGAAGTAGAGGCAGCAATAAACAAATTAAAATCAGATAAGACGCCAGGTCCAGATGGTTTTGCAAATATATTTTACAAATCCTTTAAAAATATTATAGTTCCCCATTTAACAAATATGTTTAACGAAATTGTATCAGTTGGCAAATTTCCTACCGAAATGCTGAGTGCAAATATTCTTCCAATTTTAAAAGATAATAAAGACCCTGTAAAGGTGGAGAATTATAGACCCATCTCTTTAATTAACACAGATGTTAAAATCTTTTCATCAGTTTTGGCTAACAGACTAAGGGGATTAATGGAGTATATAATCAAAAATGATCAAATTGGTTTTGTACAAGGTAGAGATCCGGTAGATAATTCCAGAAGATTATTGGATTTGATAGATGCATCTAGAAGAAGTAATAAATCTTTATTTGTATTGGCTGTAGATGCCGAGAAAGCTTTCGACAGGGTCGGTTGGGACTTTTTAAGGAAAACTATGGAAAAATTTGGAATCCAGGGCAGGATGCTTAATGCTATTTTAGCTCTATACGAAGGCCCAAAAGCAAGAACAGTGGCTCCAAATATATGTTCAGAGTGGTTTACATTAAAAAATGGCACGAGACAGGGTTGTCCTCTGTCGCCTATCTTATATATTATGACAATGGAGATTTTAGCTATCAATATAAGAGATAACCCTCGAATTAAAGGATTTAGATACAGAGAGAAAGAATTTAAATTGAATCTATATGCGGACGACTTGATTTTGACCCTAACGGACCCTGTCGAATCGCTTAGTGCCTTAATGGAAGAGATAGATAAATACAGTTTGATTTCAAATTATAAAATAAATGCAACGAAATCTACTTTTTTAGCTATAAATATTTCTAGAGACTCTATCCAACAGATTAAAGATAAATATAAATTTAACTGTGATAAAAACAGGTTATCTTATCTAGGTATAGTGATTTCTGATGATTTAAAAGATACGTTGCAAACAAATTTCTTGAAAATATTTAGATCGACACATGAGTCATTAAAAAGATGGAGACAAATTGAATTATCTTGGTGGGGTAGAATCAATTTGGTTAACTCGTACTTACTCCCTAAATGGTCTTATTTATTTCGCATGATCCCTCTGAGAATGCCACAACCATGGTTATCTATGATACAACGAGATATAAATAATTTTATATGGAAAGGAAAAAGGCCGAGGATGAATAAGCATCTTTTGATGCAGAAGAGCAGGAAAGGAGGGATAAATTTCCCAAACGTCAACATAATTTATTTAGCTAATATGATGTTTCATATATATAAGACGCAATTATTAAGTTCAGAGGAAACTGGATGGTATCAATTAGAAATGGAGATGGTAGAAATGGAAAATTTACATCAATTGATATGGCTAACTAATCAAGACGAAAGAATTAAAAAGGCCTGTACTTTTAATAATTGCTTGAAATCCATTCTAATGGAGTGGGAAAAGCTGAGGATTAATAGCGGAATCCACAATAAAATATTGGGAAACTTTAACCTCAGTATTATACAACTAAGGATGAAAGATTTAAATATTAGTGAATGGACAAGGAGAGGCATTGTTTATATAAATCAAATAATAGCGGGAGATAAAATTAAATCTTTTGAAAATTTGATACAAGAATTTTCACTATCTAGGAAAGAGTGGTATAATTATCTAAAAATCAGAAGCTTTATTAAACAGTTTTTGTTACATCGACCTACAGCGGGTATAGAAAATCTGATAGTTCTACTAAGAAATGAGAAGGTATCGCAAATAGTTTCAAAGGCAAGGACTGCTCTTCTTCAATTTGAAGCACCAAATTTAAACGTAAATATTCAAAAATGGAGTAAAGAGTTAAATGTACAGATTCTTAAGTCTGAATGGGACCAAGTATTATACCAAACAAGTAAAATAATCCATTGTTTGAACCTTCTTGAGGTATTATTTAAATTAATGAACCGTTGGTATTTAGTTCCCACCAGATTGTCCAAAATGTACACTTCTAATTCCCCACTGTGTTGGAGATGCAATGACAAAGAGGGGACTTTTGGACATATATGGTGGGACTGCAGTAAGGTGAAAACTCTGTGGTTTATGGCTTTTGAATCATTGGAGTATATTACAGAAACAAAAATCCCTAGAGGTCACCATAATGGTCTATTTCACTTAAATTTGCAATCACTCCTCTTTAAGAACAAATTTATATATGTCCATTTTGTAGCAGCAACAAAAATAATAATCGCAAGGAATTGGAAGAGTAGCGCAAATTTTACGCAAGCCCAGTTGTATTCACAAGTCCAATACCAATTAACCATGGAAGCCTTGGGACATCAGTCAATAAAAATCAGAGATGTTAGCAATTTCTGGAAAGAAAAAATGGAGAGTCTGACTAGATAAAACCCTGGACAAAATTAATAGAATAGTGTGTGTTCTTTTTTTTTTTCATCTTTTCCTTTTCATTTCTTTTAAGGTAGTGAAATAGTGGTGCCACTGTAATACCCCAAGTAGAGTCTGCAATGCAAGTTTGTTTTTGTATGTTTGTTAAGTACATCATACTAATGAATCCAGTAAAGCTAATTATTTAATAAAAGTAATAATAGATAGTGAAGAAGGATGACTATTATGGGAGACAAAACTTTAATCTTAGAAGGACGGTTGGATGAAAATTTTTGTCATGCCCATTGTTCTTGTTATTTTGGTATTTGGATTTGTTTAAAGAAATAATATAATTGAGTAAAGAAATGGGGAACAAGCAATAATATTGTAAATACATGATAATGAGCAATATTTAATCTCTACGTATATATGTAAAACCACATGTCCTATCTAATCAGCGCTAAATGTTTACATTTTCTTATGTTTTTTATATTAGTATGGATGATGTTAATGTCTTGTACGTTTTGTATAAGAACAATTGAAATAAATAAATTATAATAAAAAAAAAAAAAAAAGAACACTCTTTGCACAATGCTGGGAACATAACAAGCCTGTGAATTCTAGCTCAAAACACGGTCACTTCATCGCTTTATAACTATAACTTGTAAAAACATGTAAAAAGAAAATGTAGCTTCTATACACAGGGATGTCACTCTTTCAGTTCTGCGGTAGTAAGCAGCTCGATGTGTTGCTATCCCCTTTGTCACTGCAAGGGATAGTAAAAGGTAACAGGCTCACTCACTCTGAGTAAGGGGATAGTCTCTCTCTAACACAAATAAACTGAAGATGTTAACCCCTATTGTTGCCCCTAATAATGGTTACCTCCATAAGAATATACCCTCTGAATATAACGAGGGTCAGAAGATAGCTTGTGTCCGGGGGCCCTTAAGCGGTTAACACCTAAATATTCCAAGCTCCAAAGGATGACCATTCATCGGATTCTGAAAGGGTTAAAAACCCTCAACTCTGGATCGCCAATTCTCTAGCCAACCCAAAATAACTGACCCTTCTCTCACATGTATAGTTAACAGTGAGGTGAGCCCTTATATTTGAAAAGATAGTACAACTAAATTAATAAAGCAACTACATGTCAATGAGGTGGTACTGGTGACCAGAGTTCTAAGGTGCCTTACTTTTGGTTTGAGTAATTTAACACTCAAGCACTAATAGGATGAGAATATCAACTATTTCCAGACTATCATGGGGTACCTATAGCAATTAATGCTTCAGAAAAGTACACAGACCCTCTCAGCCGATTACTGCCAGTCAAGCAAATACTTCTGCATTAGTGAGAAGACAAGAGGAGAGGAAACACTAGCATCTGGGGAATTCCACTTGACAAAAACGTAAGAAGGAGCCAGAGTACTCAGGGCCCCATAAGTACTTCATTGGCTTGAAATGGTTAAGTGTTAGGAGTGGTCTTTTTACTTGTGGGGAAAAAACTTACCTGTTGAAAACTTAGTTCTTGTCCTTCAATTTTTTTTTTAAACTAAATGAAAGTAAAAAAATCTGCCATAAAGTCATAGAAAGTCATAAGAACCTGTTAAAAAAATAATATAGAAACATGCTGCCAGTGCCACCCCCAAACAAATACAGTCTTCATCTACTATATCAGGGGTACGCAGGGGCGTACCTAGAGCATTTGGCACCCGGGGCGGATCCTGTGCTTGGCACCCCCTTGCCCCCCCAAAATAAAAAAAACCTGTACAGATTTTTAAATGTTTTCTTTTTTTATTACAATCTGTAAACTTTGCAAAACCACTGTCACCCTCTCCTACAAAACCCTTGTCCTGCCCCGCCCCCTCTTACAAAACCCCTGTCCTGCCCCCTTCTACAAATCCTGTACTACCCCCGTCTACAAAACCCCTGAAACCCCCTTCCACAAATCCCCTGCTTATCCCCCCTTATAAAGACTTCTGTCCCAATACAAAACCCCTGCCCCCTTCTATAAAATCCCTGCAGCCCCACACACACATTTACAGGCAGACAGTCACACACTCAGTTACAGACAGACAGTCACACACTCAGTTACAGGCATACAGTCACACGCACATAGTCACACATGCAGTCACAGACAGTCATGCACGCAGTTACAGGCAGACAGTCACATATACATTGACACACACACACACGACAGCAGCAGACAGTCACATATACATTGACACACACGACAGCAGCAGACAGTGACATGCACATAGTCACAGACAGTCACACATGGTTACAGGCAACATCAAACAGTCACAGGCAGACAGTCACACATACATAGTAACATGCAGTCACACACAGTGTTATAGGCAGACAGTTACACACACACAGTCAGTTACAGGTAGTCACACACAGTCATAGCCAGACAGTCATGCACACAGTTACAGACAGTCACAAATACAGTCACTCACAGGCAGAGAGTTACACACACACATACAGACAGACACACACACACACACACAGTTACAGGCACACAGGCACATGCAGACAGTCATGCACACAGTCATATATATTGACACACACACACGACAGCAGCAGTCACATGCACACAGTCACAGACAGATATTCACAAACGCTTACAGGCAACATCAAACAGTCACAGGCAGACAGTTACACACAAAGTCAGTTACAGTTAGTCACACACAGTCAGAGCCAGACAGTTACACACACAGTTACAGGCAGACCGTCTCACACACACATAAACACAAACACAATTACAGGCATACAGTTACACACACAAACAAAGTTCCAGGCAGACAGTTACAGACAGACAGTCTCACACACACACAGACAGTTACACACACACACACAAAGTTACAGGCAGACAGTCACACACACACAGACAGTTACACACACCCACACACACAAAGTTACAGGCAGACAGTTACACACAGACAGTCTCACACACACACACACACACACACACAGTTACAGCCAGACAGTTTTATACACACACAGTCACACAGACACACACACACAGTTACAGGCAGACAGTTACACACACAGTTACAGCCAGACAGTTTTATACACACACAGTCACACAGACACACAGTCACACACACACACATACACACACTCTTACTTACAGACAGTGGGCTGGAGGAGGACTGGATTCCCTGAAGTCCTTCTCTGAATCCTGTGGAGAAGCAGACATTCCATCTTGCTGCACCTCCTAACAGCAGCGGGTAAGGGCCATAGTAAGCCCCGACCCCACTGACGGTTTGGTGTGTCCCCCCCCGATTTCGCTTAGCTCTGCCCCCACTTTATCTCTGTGCGGCAAGTTCAGCTGCTCTTTGCTTGTGTGAGCTGTTCTGGCCGCACGGCACCCTAACTACCATGGGGGGGGGGGTACTGTGCAGCCATACAGCCCACACAGCCCCCTGCAGCACCCAGAACAGGGTCATGGCACCCCCCATCCTGGTGGCACCCGGGGCAGACCACCCCCTCCGCCCCTCCCCTTAGTACGCCACTGGGGGTAGGCTACGTTCGTTGCCCCGGATGTTGTTTTTATTATGATTATTGGCATTTATAAAGTGCCAACATATTCCACAGTGTTGTACAGTTGAAGAGAAAAAAAGTACAATATGCACAAACCCATAGAAAAGGTACAGAGGGTCCTACCCGTGAGCTGAGACCTAGCAATTGAAGCTCTTTTATCAAAAGTGCTTAGATAGAAAGCCTTGAACTTTTAATCTACATCTCCAATAATGCTGTTATACAGATACAGTCATATTTTTTACGTTACTTTAGCTTGTCTTAAATATAGAACTGTTTAAATAAACTATTTAAATAGTAGGGGATGGAGAGGTAACTTTTAACAAAAACTTATCAAACATTTTGATTTTCATAATCTCATATTATAGCTGTATATATCTGTATATATCTGTATATATGTTTGTGCAAGTGAATAAAATTTATTTCCCCTTATCTTATTTATTTATATAAAATGGCTCATTTGGCCTCAGAATACCTCTGGTAATAATATATAGAACACTCTGAGATTGAAAATGCATATATTTACTTACAGGGCTCAAAATTTCCACTCACTGCTAGCCTTTGGCTGGTGAAAATTTCGCTCTGGCAAGAAATTTATCCCTGGTAAGTGTGACATGGGTCTGCACGCATGTAGTGAGTAGTGGCATAAGACTCAAAATTTGAAGCCCTGTCTGTTTATAACATTAGTGAGTTCCTGTTGATGTTTATATTTTTTGACCCCGCTTGGAAAATATAAAAGATAAGTTAAACTAAAGTAAATCCATTGCCATTAAGGTCTTAGCACTGCAGACAATCCACTTCTGAGTTCGTCCTAACAGATGATCTCAAGTCAATCCAATGCTTCTCAAAGAGAAACACTGGGGCTCTAGGGTATATCTGACACAATTGCAGTGCTCTGCCAATTAATTGCATTTAATTCACAACATTTTGGGGACATTGGACATGAGGAAGTGAAGACAGTCACTAGAGGCATTCTTAGTGAAAATGCTAGTACTTACAAATAACAGTATGAAGGGCCAGGTTTTTTTTTTCCATCAAAGCAACTACTTGTTAAAGAGATACTATCAGCTCATTGAAGTGGTCTTGGTGCAGTGTCCTTTTAACACTTAGTGCAATGTTTACATTGCAGCACTAAGTCTGCCTCCAGTGACTGTCTTTCAGACAGCCACTAGAGGCGCTTCCTGGATCCTAACAGACCTTTGGTCCTGTAACTGATGCTGGACGTCCTTACGCTTTGCATAATGATATCCAGAGTCAGCTATTTCCCCATAGGAAAACATGAATTCAATGCTTTTATATGGGGAGACCTAATGTTTGCGGCACTCGCTGGGCATGCGCATTAATCAAGGCACGTCGGAGAAGTCGGAGCCCCGACTCAGCACAAAGGGAATGCGGCGCTGGGAACAGATAAGTAAATAAAGGGGTCTTATCCCTTTACTTACCGCGGCAGGAGCGTGAGGGAGTGAGGAGGCAGAGGGAGCTCTAGTGCCAGGAATACAGCTTCCCTTTTAATGCTGCTTAGAGCATCTCTTTAATTATATAAATTAGTGATAATTAGTGATAATGAAGTCATAATGAACCCAAATATATATATATATATATGTAAAATGCTTGATGCTAGCATAATTTCCACGTTATTTTTTTAGCTACCTTACAGGTATTTAAATGTTTTCTTACTTGTATTCACTATGTGTGTTACAGTCCACTATGTTTGATGTGTATTTGTGTACTCATATATTCTTCTATTTACAGGGTAAAAGAAGCAAAGGGAAATGCAGTCCAGAGTGTTCATATTATTTTTTGGGATATGTATATATCAGCATATGGATCTATATGAAACACATTATAACTGTGAGTCTTGAAGAATATTGGTTCTCCCACCCATGTAGCTGGCAGTACCCTTGTACTTATTTTTTTTCAGATGCATGTACACTTTCTAATCTCTGTAACACTCCATTTCCTCTGTATCTCTTAAGTACCTCTTATTTTTTGTTCTTCAGAGCACCCTCACACCACGTTCTCAGTCTAACCCTCCTCAACTTAGGAGGAACGTGATTTCACTTGACCTCCAGCGAGTGTCAGTTGATGTCCATTCTCAACTTTCATCCCTCCCTTCCTTCTCCTGTCCCTCTCTGGCTATCTCCTAATATAACACTACTCCCACCTCTGTCCTGGATGCTGCTGTCCCACTCTAAACATACACCTTAAGGAGGATGCACCTCCAAATGTGGCACACTAGGTTGACCTGTTCAGCTGAATGCTGCTGGAGGAAGTCTTGCACCTTGTAATACTTTCTCCATTATAAATTCATCTTGCGTTTGTACAGTGCAACCCTTTCTAAACAATCAGAATTGTCTTCTCTCATTAGTTCATGCTCCCACAATCCCAGACGTCTCTTTGTTACCTTTAACTCTATTCTTTGCCCTTCTGTCTCAATTCCAAATCTCACCTCGACCTTCTTCAATCTGACTTCCGCCCCCTCTACACTACAGAAACTGCTCTGATTAAAATAACTAATTATCTAATCTCAGCTAAATCCAAACCACACTATTCTATACTAATTCTTCTTGACCTCTCTGCTGCCTTTGACACTGTTGACCATATCCTCCTTTTTCAAACCATCCAATCCCTTGGCCTCTTTGACACTTTCTTCTGTTAGTTCTTATCCTGTCTATCCCAACATATCCCAATGTTCATTCAGTGTCTTTCACTTTCTGAAAGTCAATCTCTCTAAAACTGAACTTCTTATAACACTGATCCTCCTCTTCTACTCTCCCTGCAAGTTAATGGTACCCACATCAGCCTGTACTTGGAAGCTCTGCGTATTATCTTTGATTCTGGCCTTAACGTCACACCTCATGTCCAGTCTGTTGCCACATTAAAACGTTACCTGTGTCTGTCCCTTTCTCACGCAAGATGCTACTAAGGAGCTTGTTCATACTCTAGTAATTTCTCTAATTGGCCTCCCCAGAAACTGCTACATTCTGTAATGAATGCTATAACCAGGCTAATTATACTCTCATGGTGCTACTCGTAGACCTTGCCCCTCTGTCAATCCTTACTTTGGCTTTCTGTACCCTATAGGAGTCAATTCAAAATACTAACCCTTACCTATAAAGCTCCAAACAACTCTAGCCCCTGTTGCATTTCTTCACTAATTCACAAGTATGCCCCTTCTCTGTCGCTCCGCTCTGCCGGTGACTTTCTCTTGTTCGCTGCTTGCACCATTACTGCTCACTCGCGCTTTCAAGATTTCTCGAAGGAGCCTCCTTTCCTTTGGAACAGCCTTAATACTCCCAGAGTAACATCTATTTCTCAAAACTGTATCTTGCCCTCTCTTTAAGGGCCACACTCCACGATCACTTTCCAGTTCTGCTACTTTCACACCTTGTTCCTTAGTTGCTAAGCTTGATGCCCTTCTTGTTGTATTTTTATATCTCATTTCCTCTAGATAGTAACCTTGTATGAGCAGGTTCCACATCAACCTATTGTTCCTGTAACATTTTGTAACTGACTCATTTCTTGTAAAATTTCCCAATTATTATATTGCAAAGTGCTGCAGAAAAAGTTGGAGCTATTTAAATGCCAATAATAATAACAATACGTTTGCTTTTCTGGTTTTGAGATTCACTAAACTAGGAATTGTAGAAAATAAATAATGGAATTTCAAGTTTTTAACCAAGTAGTCAAGCTTGAAAAATAACTGAGCTGTAGTTGTTTATTTAATATGGATTTTGTGATCAAAGACATGCAATTCAGTTTTTTCAGATTTATTACTTTAGCAATTTCCCTCTGACACCATTTCCTGGAAAAAAAAATGGACCACATCCTCATGTAGTTCAGTTGACATGATAGGTGAATAATGTTAAAAATAAAAAAGTTAATTATTGTTTTAACACTTCCATTTCTTTCAGTTCATACTCAGATTCTACAACCTACAAATGTGAATGTGCAAATTATCGGAAAAGACATAAACCTGTTTTGGGATTGTACAGGTCAAAATATAAATGTAACTTCTAAGAACAAGTTTGTAATTTTCACACAAGAATCGAATAATCAATATTCATTTACGGTAAGATATTAGGCAATATTTTTCAGGACAATAATAGAATTGTTTTGGGACCAAGATGTACCATGTTATTAGGAGAGATTGTTTAGTGGGCCCGGCACTAGATGAAACGTGAGTTTTGCTGGTAATTTGGGCAGAGAAAATTTGTTGATGAGCATATCAAAACCTTTAAAAACCCAACTAAAATACTTTGTGGTCCATGTAACATCAAGGTACACCACATAATAGTTTACCATTATTGTATCAAAGGCCACCTTCGCTGAAGTTGAATCCTTCCCCTCTGCCATTGGAGATATCATCAACCCAGCAATATTTTTGAATGAGGGCAATTAGGACCAGAGACTTTAGGAATTCCTGGTCATATTCATTATAGTCCATTCTTTAAATCCCCAACCTCCCATTTGCAGAAAGTGAAATTACTCTGGTCCTGCATGTAACACTTCTTACCCCCACACTTAGGTTGATACTTTCCCGTGTAAAACAGTGCAAAAGTACACTTTTTAGTTTGCTGCTTCAGCTTTCATATGTATAGGAGGATTAAACACGGAGTCACTCCACTGACATTGGGTTCACTAGAAATCCTGGGTACCTCACTTATTTTATTAGGACATCCCAATGTTTTTAGTAATTTTTATAAAAAATATATTTTAAACAATAAGGTAGAAACAATCCTGTTAAATGAAAAGAAATGAGTTCTGGTGTTTTCTTATGGGCTTCTTAAAAATAAACTCTCAACTTTGTTTTAATGAAAGTTCCATTTTCACTTACCATGTAAATGCATTTGTGCTGCAACAGCTCGTATAAAAAAATACTTACCTGCACATCATTTAGCTTCTAATGATGACCTGCGCAAACATATTTTCAGCATATCTTGCTTGCAGGATCAATGAACACAATGAACAACCTTTCAATAATGTAAAGTGTATTCATGCACACCGTAGATGTGACATTTCCTCTTTACAATGGAAATAAAAAGTTTAATTCAGATTTTTATTAGATCACTATACTATGCATGTTTGTGCTATTAAGTATGCAGTAACATTTTAATTTAAAAAAATCAGAGCTCATTTTACTTTAGTTAATGTTGAAGTTTATTAATGCATTATCATATTACAAAGGTTATGAGTGTAGAAGCCAAAAAAAAAAAAAAAAGTTGATAACTGTGAGTTGACAACCAACATTCAGTATTCATGCAAAATAGGTCACTTCAAAAAAAATGTTCAATACACCAAAATTAACAGGGTTATTCATTAAAGAGAGAATTCAATGAGAATTCAAAAAATGTAAAATGTAAAGTTAAAACAGCTAAACTGAAAAAAATTCAGCTATCCTTCCATTCTGGATATAATGGCCTTAAATCAGAAATTCACTTAAAAGGACACTCCAGGCACCAGACCACTTCTGCCCATTGGAGTGGTCAGGGTGCCAACTTCCATCACCCTTAACCCTGCAAGTGTAATTATTGCAATTTTTATAAACTGCAATAATTATCTTGCAGGGTTAAGTCCTCCTCTAGTGACTGTCTGTTAGACAGCCACTAGAGTGACTTCCAGGTTCTTAACACGAAAAGTGTTTTAAACGACACTGGATGTCCTCACGCAATGCGTTGTCGGAATCCCAATAGGAAAGCATTTAATGCTTTCCTATGGGGAGGTATAATGCGCGTGCCCGGCCATTGCCAAGCATGCGCATTAGGTCTCCCTCGCCACCAAGAGTGGGTAGAGTCTGACCCAGCGCTTGATTCAGGTAAGGCCTTCAGCAACATGGGATGGGGGATGGAAGGGAGGGGGTCACTGCAGGATTCTGCAGTGCCAGGAAAACGGATTTGTTTTCCTGGCACTAGAGAGTTCCTTTTATATATAACCCTGTTGGTGTCTAGTGAATTAAAATTTTTTATTAAACTGACATAAGTTATGTTTGGTATTTCTTTTGGCAAAGATCTTATAGGAACATTCCAAGCACTACAACTATTTAAAGGAAGTGGTATTGAGAGTTCCTTGAGTGCCCTGGTGCCAGGAGGGGTAAGCACAGGGGGCTGTCAGATTTGACACGGTCTGCTCCCCCTACTAACTCCTCCCCCTTAGCTCTGAAGCCACACACAGCTTCTTTAATACTGCATGCCTCTAATCAGGCGCTGGGAGTTCACTGAAGCCAGGAATGATGGGTAAATTGACCACTGCTTCAGCCTGACTACTCCCCCACGGCTCGCCTCCATATTAACCTCCTGAGAGCCACAGAGGGAGGAAGGGAAGGATTAACAAGCCCTAGTGTCCAAGCATGCGCAAGCTGTGTTGGCTGCCTGTCGCCCCTGTTCCCATTGTGCCACTCGCACACCTCAAAAGCCAGCCCTGATTCCAGATCCTAATATTGGTGCTGAATTAATCCTAAGTGTAGAAATTAACAAAAGCAACCAGTCTGCACTCATAAGGATCTCAAAATAATCCACCAGGTAGATCATGGAAAGTGCATTATTTATTGTAGAAAAATGGTTAACAACATGTCGTAAAAATATGTGTAGACCTCATAAGTGTGAGGCAATCCAAAATCTTCAAGCACATGTCAATTAATGCAGAGTATATCTCCCTCATGGGAGTCCGAAATGAAAAATGCAATGATACCAAAATACAAAAAAGGAAAGGCCTGCACCTGTCAGAAGGGAGGGGGCAGGGGAAAAATATATGAAAAAAAACTTAGAGTCACTCTGTCCTGACTCTATATATATATACATCAGGACCGAGTTACTGTATATATATATCTGTAAAAGTGACTTCACAAATAAATGAACTGTTTCTTTCTAGACAACAAATGATGTCAAAAGGGCAACCCTGAAGCTCAATAAAAATGTAGAATTTAAAGTCAGAAAAATGGGTGACACTGTTTCTAGAAAAAGTAAAACAGTGCTTCTCTTTGAAGAAATTTCTGTCATCCCTAAAGGTAAGAAAATACCATATTGTTGTTATAGGATGCTGTATTTAATTTGCTGATTATTAATGATGCTTTATAAAAGATTAAACATTGAAACATGTTTGGCATTTTCTTCAATTTTTTTTCTAACATTAAGGCATCTATCTACACACGGTCTTTGTAATTTACTGTATTATATAGTGTAAGAGAAACATTACATAGCACACAACAGTGAACTGGTTTGAATATAAATGGTATGGCTGCTAAGAGTTTATTGAGCAGTTACATACATTCTATGTTATGTGTGAAACTGCTTCCGTAAATTTCTGGTATAAAGGTGTCTACAGGACAAGATTAAATTCAATAGACTAAAACAGGGTTTGTACAAGTATTTTGGCTACAAAGGCAAAGACACAATTTTACACCCCCCTCCTAAAATGAATATATGATTGTGTAGGCCTGTATGTCACTTAACCCTTCCTTTGCCCCTTGTAACCATAATTTTGTTCTTTTTGTGTATCTTACGCCCTATGTGTGTCTCTTTTCTTCTTTTTGAGTATTGCACATGTCTTTTGTTGTTCATATTCCCACATATGTGTATTTATCCCTCTTTGTGACCTCTTACCCTCTCATTTGTCTGTTATCCCATTTTTTGATGTCCTTTAGTGTCCCTTATTTCTTTTTGCCCTTCTTGTATATCTTACTCCTCTTTTTGTAACCATTATGCCTCTTTGCATCCCATTCAAACCTGTCACCTGGGCATTGCACACTCTAGGCCTGTGCACACTACGGCAGCCGTCTGTGCCGTTTTATGGGAGTGCTGAAGGTGGAACTTCCTGAATGAGTAAATACCTGTGGGTAGAATATCCAGGAACTCCTTGTACTCTTCACACACAAAAATAGACTTATCTTTCTCTGTAAGACAGATAGAATCTATTTTATTTACATATCAGACTTTACCCATACCTCCCAAGTGACTCTGTTTAGGAGTGACAGTTCCTATTTTGGACCCAAATCCCTCTGTGCCACTTTTCTATCCTAATGTCTCTCTTTTCTAGGAGCTCCACATTGTTGGTATAGCAGTAATACTCAGTAACGTTAATTAAACTACAATAAATGTGTTTGGTAATCAGTGTGCTTAACAAAAATAAAATAAATAAAGCTGTGCCGTTGCCCTTATCCAAAAATCATAGGTCTCACGTGTGTTATTGGGCAACGAGATGTTGGGGGTCAGCAGTCATGTTTCTCTCTGTCCCTGTCCACAAACTGTTTGGCTTAGAGCAGTCAGCTGACACCCTAAGTCAATCTGTAGCTCCCCATTCATAAAACAGTTTGAAAAATGAATATACCTAAAGGTAAGGAAGCACCAGGGTCCTCCTGGCAATATAAAAACATAATTTTGATGAAAATGATATGGTACTCGGAATGTTCCTTTAATGTTCATATTTTGCAAAGTTGTTTACAAGAATACCAGTGATATATCACAGTGCTGCAGTATTAAGGCATATGCCTTGCAAAGGTAAACCAGTAAAGTCTCTGAGCATATTGAATTTGTTGGATTTTCTCCAGATTCATGCCACTGCAAAGCCACTTGTTTTTGTTTTATGAAGATTTTGAAGTTAGTGAAGTGTCTTCAAAAGATGTAAAATAAAAAGTTAAACAATAATTACCAACATAAAAATAAAGTGTATATTTGTTTAATTAAGGGATTTCCAGGACAGCAACGGAAAATGTGTCTATAATGGTTTTCAGTTCTTTGGCGACATGTCATTGGATTTCTTATGTTGGAGAAAACCTGTTCTACTCATTACCATTACAGTAAGTGCACAGAAGAATATGTACAAACATTATTTTATTGACTAGACATCGGGTTTAACCCCTTAATGCTTCAGGGCATTCTATAAAGCTGGGCTTTAACGCTGCAGGGTGGAACACCAACCAGGCCCACCATAGTTACCCTCCTCAACGATCCAGTTCATGGTGACCGCCTGACAGTCTCCATGGTGACTGCCTGACAGTCCAGCCCTTCTTCAGCCCTATACATAAAAACATATATATATATATATATATATATATTTATAAACATATACCAAAAGAGTATATATATATATGTGCATGTGTGTGTGTGTGTATTTGTGTTTAGCAGTGTATTAACTATTCACTTACTTCAGGTGGAAGGTATTTTCATCCACACTTTTTTCCCCAACACAACTCTTTCGGTATATATATATATATATATATATATATATATATATACATATATATATATATAAAACACAAGATCCAGCGCACTCACCTATCCACTAAACAGCAACTTCAATGTTGAAAGATTTTATTAGTTTTTTTAAAAACTCCTAATCTAGGCAAAAATAATGGGGGTTTAGTTACATTATATGATCATACATTGCATAAGCCTGCCACAACGTCAATGTACCCCATCTTTGGCAGGTCCTACACTAACAGCCTAAAGTCTGCTCTTATGAGATTAACCACTTACTTGAGGAAAAAAATTCCAGCTGTGGCTCTCTGCAGTACAAGGCTAAATAGGGCCCTGGGATGAGGCACCTGTGACAGGGAGGGGTGCAAAACCAAGGAGTTGGCTAGACTCCCAAATATATACATATGAGTCCCCAGCAGCACCCCCATTTATGCATGTTCAGGTGAGTGCAGCCAACCCCCCCTTGTTTCATATATATATATATATATATATATACATATATCTAGGTGGGCCATCTTTTTTATAGGCCTAACCTCATGTCGGTTTTGGCACACACCTCAACCGACTTTGTTCTTATCAAGGGGTTCAGGGGATTCTGGGTAGGTGTATGCAAATGAGCTCAACAATGTGGTTCTTTGTTGAGCTAATTTGCATATGCTTACCCAGAATCTCTTGCAGTAGCGAGAACACTGTTAAAGTGAGATTTCTGTGGGAAAAGCAAGTCTTATGGCTTGAATGGTGTGTGTATTTTTGTTTAGCAATATATATATATATATATGTGTATATATATATTTATTTATGTATGTGATAATAGTGGAACGTATGGTTAAAATGAATGTAGTTTGCTAAGAACAAAGTCGGTTGAGGTGTGTGCCAAAACCAACGTGAGGTTAGACCTGTAAAAAAAAGGCCCCTCCTAGATAAATTAATTTGAAATAATAAAGGGTGAGGTGGGAGGGGAACTTCCGAAATCAGTGATGACAGGTAAGCAGTGGTTACTGGGTTTAAATGGGACCAATAATCCCTCCCACAATTTCAGGTTTCTGTTGTATGCAGAGGATTTCCAGCGTCCCATATTCTTAATGATATGTATAGCATGAATTGTTTGGTGGTAATAGGTTTTTCTTGAAGAAATAATAGAAGGTAATCAGGGTTTTTGTTATCTAATTCTTAATTAAGTTTTCCAATGCTAGTACTGGACACCATTTGGAAAAGGTAGGATAATACTTAATTTCTACTGGGGAGCCTGTCTGGCTAGTTTTGGCATGAGGGATTGCCAGAATGGCCGTTCACTTTTGTCAAGCGTTTTTGCTTAAGGCATGACTTAAGGTCAGATGCTTTTTCCACAGAAAATTCTTTGGGTCTCAAGAAACCGTAAAATGCCAAATATGCCACTGACTTGATTACCACATTAGTGGGATTGTCGAAAGGGTTATTATATAAAAATTCATAGATCTTCCTAAAGATGTTACCGTCTATGGAAAGTCTTTTAAGAGGATTCTGATACTTTGATCTCTGAATATCTTTCAGGACACTTTTGACTGTATACGTAGATAAGATTGGAGTTTTGTTTGGGTATATAGTTAACATGTAATGTTGTTGCCTGTCAAGTAAAGTTTAATGGTGTTGTATGCTAGTCTCAAAGAGATCTGGCAAAAAGTTGTGAATGCAACCATAGTTTCTAATGAAAAAACATTTATTACATGAAAATCACGCACAAATTTTTAAACAGATCGTAGGTTCTCGCGTAAGCTTTTTCGTATTAATTGACAAACCAGCTTGTGCGAGTGATCTACTGTGCTGTAACAGTGTATTTGAAGCATAATTAGGTCTTTGGACTGTGGAGGTTCTTTGGGCTGAACATTCGCTGTAGGATGTATTCTGAAATATTCCTGTTAATTAGAATGTGACAGAGCATCAGCTGCGTTGTTAAGAATACCTGGTACGTGGATACAATATACACAGAACTGTAGATTAGCTGCTAACCAAGGAAGTTTCCTTACTAGATTCATTATGGTAAGGTATTTAGAGCGGCTTTTGTTAATAATGTTACAAGCCGCTAAGTTGTCTGAAAAGCACCTAACTGCTTTACCTTTCAATTCCTTTTCCCATATGTGTCCTGCAGCTACTATTGGGAAGATTTCAAACTGTGCTGAGGTCTTGTTGAAATTCTCAAGGTTGGAGGTTTCTGGTGGCCAAGTATCATATACCCAGTCGTTGCTGAATATAGAAGCGTAACCTATGGCTCCTGCTGCGTCAGTCCATATTACAGGGGAATCGCCAGAGATGGGGGGAACGAATAAGGACCTGCCATTCCAAGATTATAAAAATAGATGCCACATTCTTAGGTCGGCCCTAGCTAGTTAGTCTAAAATAGTTCTAGAGTCGTCGTCAGGGAGACCATGTAGAAGAAAGAGAATTGTAGAGATGAAAGACCTTCCTTGAGGAATAATCCTCATAGCGAATTTAAGTGAACCTAAAAGTGACTGTAATTCCTTTCTGGTAAAGGACCCATGAGTGGTGCAGACTTCAATATAGGTTAAAATGCTGTCTATATTTTCCTGAGGCAGGCTAGCTTGCATGGATACTGAATTTAGCGTGATACCCAGAAAAATCAGTGCTGGGACCTCGTGTTTTGTCTGGGGCTAGCGGAACTCCCAAATCCTTAAATAGAGAAAGCGTTTGTTGTAGACTGTACGGTGTGTAGTAGAGTAGTTCAATGTAGATAAAATTGTCAAGGTAGTGAATCACTACTGGACATCTGCTTTTGTTAAGTAAGAGTCAGGTCAAGGTCTCTGCAAAAATATTGAATATTTGTGGGCTACTTTTGGAGCCAAAAGTCAGTCTAGTCGTGAAATAGTATTTGTTTTCCCACTTACGCCATGCAGATGCCCGAGTGATTGATAAATTGGTAGTAGTTTAAAAGCATTTGTGATGTCTGTTTTGCTTAAGCAAGCTGCCTTGCCGAAGTTAATAATAGCTTGTATTGCCTCGTCAATTTTTGCATATTGTAAAGAGAAATCCTCTTTTGGTATTAGTGCATTTAAACTAGGGGTAGTGGAAGAGTGAGGTGATGAGAAATCGATGATGAGTCTCTTTTTATTATTAAACTTACCTGTAGCTATGCCTAGAGAGTTCATTCTCCAAGAAGTGAATGGTAGGGTAGTGAAGGACCCTATCATAAAAACATTCTCAACTTTTTTATTGAGGAGTTCCTGCAGACTAGTCGGGTCTATGAGTGCGAATTGTAGGTTGGGGCATTCTAGAATACCTGTGGGAAGTGCAACAAAGCCAGTGTGAAACCCATTGGAGAAACCAGAGGTGAGAAAGTCAACAAGATTTGAACAAGGATAATCAGTCAGGTAACGTTGCAAATTGGGTATGTTTATTGGAGTTAATGATTTTTTGGGGAACAATTTATTCAGACACATTGTTTTTGCGTGTGCTCTGAAACAAATTGAGCAAACGTGAAGAAAACTGCAAGCACTGTAACTACATCCCCCTGCATTAAATTATTACATACTTGAGCTTTCCCAAGAAAAATGATAGGCCTGCCTAATTTATCTTTCCACTCTCTTTGACCCATATTTGGTTGAAACTCTGAGTTGGCATTGCTAGTGGAGGGTAAAGCAATGGAACAGAAGTTAATAGGATGTGAAGCTGAAGAACATATTGCACAAACTGGTGTTTGAAGTCCTGCAAAATGTCTGCAAAACAATTCTGTGTCTAATTGGCCTCAGTCAGTAGGAGTATTGAATTGAGCCAGTGACGCAGCGGATCTAGCCGAAAAGGACTTATGGTAATTATAGAACGCGTAGCCTCCGTATTTATAAGCTAGGTCCACCAGCTTGCGTAAGTATAAATCTAGTTCCTCTCTATGGTGGAGAACAAGAAGAGCAAATAACGTTCCTATATAATCTAAAGGCTAAGACAAACTCTGGAATATTTAACTTCCTGTTAAGTCTGGGATCTCTAGACTTCATTACCACAGATATATCATCAAACGTGTATGACCTGTTTTCAATTATATCTTGTGATGAGGAGAGAAGCCAGATTAATATCTTTGCCTTCCAATATCACGTTTAAGGTTTGTGGAATGAGATGTACTGGATTAATGATGTTAGTACTTTTAGCGGGTAGAGGATTAGAGTTACCTCCTGTGTTTGGTTCTGGCTGAGCTACAGGAATTTTGACATCCGGGATGATTGGTTGGTTATCGGATTCCAGATTATCCAGTCGGTTGTTAATAGTGACTGTAGTTCTGTAGTGAATGTAGTTCTGAAAAACTGTTTTGGATATTACATTCAGAACTAGGGCCAGGCCTTTCATTATCATTATGCATGTTTAACAAGCGAAATAGTTCGGCTTTCCTGGCTGTAGCAGGAAAGGGAATGTTCTTCCTTTTAAGTTCGGCCATAATTTTTGGAATTGTCCAAGATCTGTAGCTGGACGTTGGGCTGGCTACAATGGTTTGCCTCATCTGGGAAGTAGATCTGGTCAGGGTGCTGGTAAGCGACAGGTCATCTCGTTGTAGTGAAGCGTTAGACATGCTATGGGTGTGAGGTAGATGACTTGGTTAATATGAAGTAACCCAGCTCCCTAGATTTAATGCCGAAGGCAACATTATATTATTTTAACTAATTAGCTGACAGGTGATGCCCTCACTACTTGCCAAGTGGCTTTGAGAGGCTCTACCTATGATTTGGCTCGTGGGGCTTTTGGTGCCACTGACGTAAGCGGCGGGGTGTTGGCCTCTCTGTGACATTTACGAGATTTAAGATAGATTGGCCGTGACAGGTTAGGCCCTGACTATGACACAATGCAAGGCACTAACTAGGAGTTGGGCCATTGGGCTTGTACATCCGAGCATGAGGATGGGAGTTGGCCATGCGGCACCGCTCAACTTAAGGCAAGGCGGCCTATGAAGAAATTTTTCTTAATTGGCACGGACTTCTTAAAGGTTACTTCATATATATATATCTATATCTCCTCCCCTCGCCCTGTCTCGGTTGGAGTTCCCCAAGGCTCTGTCCTTGGTCCCCTTCTATTTTCTCTTTGTACTGCCTCTCTTTGGAAACGTATTGCCTCTTTAGGTGCCACTACCACCTGTACGCTTATGACACCCAAATATATCTCTCCTCCCAAGACCTCTCGCCTGCCATCCTGCAACGTGTCACTGCTTGCCTTTCTTCCATCTCTGACTGGATGTCCTCCCGCTTTCTGAAACTCAATCTCTCTAAAACTGAACTCCTTGTCTTTCCTCCTCCTAATACTGATCCTCCTCTCTCGCCCTCCCTTCAAGTCAGTGGTATCCACATAAGTCCATCCTTGCAAGCACGCTGTCTTGGCGTCATACTTGACTCAGGCCTCACCTTTGAGCCTCACATCCAGTTTGTTGCCAAATCCTGAAGATTCCAACTTAAAAACATAGCCCGCATCCGTCCCTTTCTTACAAAAGATGCTACCAAGGAGCTTGTCCATGCTCTAGTAATTTCCTGCATGGATTATTGTAACCCTCTCCTGATTGGTCTTCCCAAAAGCCGTATCGCCTGTCATTCTAATGAATGCCGCCGCCAGACGGATTTTCCTCTCTAGTCAATCCTGTCACACCTCAACCCTCTGTCAGTCCTTACATTGGCTTCCTGTATCCTATAGGAGTAAATTCAAAGTGCTAACCCATACATATAAAGCACTGAACAATTCTAGCCCCTCTTATATCTCTTCACAGATCCATAGGTATGCCCCTCCTCGGTCCCTCCGCTCTGCCCGTGACCTTCTCCTGACCGCTGCTCACACCCGTACGGCCAACTCGGGCTTGCAGGACTTCTTGCGGGTTGCTCCCTTGCTATGGAATAGCCTGCCCATCAGACTCTCCCCTAGTCTTCAATCCTTTAAGAAGTGCCTTAAAACCCATCTCTTTAGGAAAGCTTATGGCCTCCCTCTACCTTACGCACCTGTCTCTTGCTCTCTCCTAAAGGGCAGCACTTTACTCTCTCCTCCAGCTCTGCTTCACTCCCACCTTATTTCATTGCTATTTCCTGTCCTAATGTTTTTTATACCCACCTCCTATAGACTGTAAGCTCATTTGAGCAGGGTCCTCTTCAACCTATTGTTCTTGTACGCTTTCTTGTAATTGTCCTATTTATAGTTAAATCCCCCCTCTCATAATATTGTAAAGTGCTACGGAATCTGTTGGTGCTATATAAATGGCAATAATAAAAATAAGAAGAAGAAGGGGAATGACTTAACCCCCGTTAAAATAGGCATATACAGAAAATATTACCAGATTTCGTTGGTTAGCTAATCCCTCCATTTTTACTTTTAATTCCATAATTTTCCCCTGCTGTTCGTTGGTGGTTTTGTGGTGATTGATGGAGGTGCAACCTACTATCTCTGTGGCTGGCAGAAGTGATGTCATGGCTTCCTCCTCTTGCCACATTCTCTTCTTTAGATGGTGCCCTTGTGTGGCCCCTCTCGTCCTCCATACAGGGGAAGGAGTGGCCCCACAGGAAGTTGGAGATGGGAGTGCGGCAGCCTGAGTTGGTGTGTCGAATGTGGCAAGCCACGACGTCCCTTCAGCCAACCACGGAGGTAATAGGTTTCAATCCCATCAATCACCACTAAACCATCAAAGAATATAAAGGCAAAATAGACGGAAGTGTGGCCAACCAATGGAATTAAAGGTGCAAAGGGTGGGATTTTCGTTAACCAACCAGGAATCTTAATTTGGGGAAGTGCCATCCCCTCTAAGCACTATACCTGCATCCCTTAGAGCCGGGAGTTTAAGCTCTAAATATGGTGAGCTCAATACCTACCCGATACTTTTAATTTATTTTATTGAGAATAATACACATTATTGGTTTCTCTCAATTTGCCGAAAGATACATCTCTATGAAGGAGTGGTGTGATGCTGCCCTAAGACCATAGCGGCCCTATATATGGAACCAATATATGTAGGCTCCACTACATGTGAGTGGCTTGATTTTATAGAGTTTAAAAATTGAGAAATTATTACCATCGGCACTATATTTTGTATTCTCTCTTGTGTTTTCCATGTACTGTACTATTTTCTGTATATGTCTATTTTGACGGGGGTAAGTAATTCCCCTTATTCTTGCACTTTAGCACTCCACTATAGGTACAAGTATATATTGTACCATTATAAGGTGTGTGTATATATATATATATATACATACATATCTATATTTAAATTCTAAATGTATATTTATGTAATATTAAAATATTACAATTTGAGGGGGCTGCCTATATTTGACCCCTTAACTTTCAAAAACACCATAAAACCTGTACTTTACTGTTGTACTTGGGAGACTTCGCTAAACACAAATATGAGTGTTTCAAAGCAGTAAAACTTATCACGATGATTATATATGTGTGAAAAAACCAAAACAAAAAAAACCAAATATGAATGCCAGATCTGGCCAGGGTGACTACGTGGCTACTAAAAAAAGACTGGACATATCCTATTTTGAATACCCTGGGTTGTCTACTTTTGCAAATGGTATGCCCTGATGGGGGTAATTCTCATTCCTGGGCTGCCATACTGTCTAAAAGGCAACATAACCAATTCGGCAAATTTCAATGTGTAAAAACTGAAAGTCCTATATTTGTACCTTTCCAAAGACCCAAAAAACCTGTACATGATGGGTACTGTTGTACTCATGAGACATCGCTGAACACAAATATATGTACTTCATTATAGTAAAAGTAACATTATTATGACATTCACAGTTAAAATGCCATGCAGAACTTGGAAAATAACAATATTAATAAATATGTCACTCTTTTTAGATTGTATTCATATACAATTATATTTCATATATAAATATTAGATGTGAAATGAAAGCCATATTTCTCCTGAACAATATGACAGGTGCACTTAACATGAAAGAGTTAAATTATGGTTGAACAGACATATAGTTAAATTCCAGGTTTTGTTTTGATCAGAATTTGTACAATTGCTTCTGTCCTTAAGAGGCTAAAAAGATTGTCTCTTTATTGTTATTTTTGTAGAAGAAGACAACACGCAGAATCACAATATCGTTATTGTGAAAATAATTTTCAAGGAAGAACTGATGAGAATTGTACATTGTATGATTTACAAAGGGATTTCTCAAACAAGACGACCATCTTTGCAGAAGGATATGATGATCAAATAAAACCAATATTTTTAAATTGGTTTGAACCGTCACAAAATGGTACAATTATATTATTTGGTGTTTAGAATTTGAAATCATAGATGGAAGGTGATATTTTGAAATGCATTTAAATGATCTAATTTATCTACAACTTTGTTAATGTAGAGAGGTTTTCTTTCCAGGCTACATTTTGCAAGTTTTTTTTTTTTCTACAATTCATTTTATAGCAAGAAGACCTATTAGGAAAAAAAAAAAAACGAAAAAAAAACCAAGCAGCTCAAAGAAAAAAAGACACAAGACACAGTCATGGATAGTGAGTAGAGAGACCATGATCACAAGGACTACAATGCAGAATGGAAAAAAAGGTATAAGGAATAGTAGGGAACACAAGCCAGTGAAGAGAGGGAGGGAAATATCAGCTAAGGTATTGCTATATAATCAATGGAGAGAGAAGAAGTGAAAAGGTATAATCAATGACAATAAGGGGGGAGGGGGAGTTTATGTGGGCTAGCGGCTGACTGGGGGAGATTGAAGGCGGGCCAGCAGCTAGATGTGCAGAATAGAGTCTACTTGTAATCTTCTTGATCAGCACCCTTACGCCTGCAATGATACCAAGACCCAGGATATGACGTCACTCAGGGCCTGGCATCACATAACAGTGCACAAGTGATTTCAGCACAGCCCAACATTGGACCCCGGGGAAAGCTGATCCATGCCAGCTCTCCTAAAGGTATGGAGGCCGGGTGGCATTAAAACAAATCTTTCAGTGAGTGTTTGTGTGTCTGTCAGTGAGTGTGTGTCTGTGTGTATGTGTGTATACTTGTTGGAGATCCAGCATTCTTCATTTACAGCATAGGTGCCGGCTTCCAAGGTTACTCTCCAAACACCTTCACAAAGTAAAAAGAATAACGGAGCCGCAGCACTACAACACAACCAAATTAAGATTTATTCCACCATTAAGGGGACCAAGCAAATTTTCGTCATATGCTGTGTCTTTGTCAAGCTGAGCATCCAACTAACATTACAATGTTTAAATACCCTCTTATTACATTAATTGATGCACAAGGAACCACCCCACATGGAATAAGTAATCAAATGTCAAAATAACTTTTTACATGAAAAGCATAATACAAATAAAATTAGACACTATAAATAACATAGGATATGTTAACCAAAGAAGAAAAATGATATTATTCAAAGGCATGCCTAAATTCTCACATTTAATTAATTTAACAAAATTGCAATGCAACTTAATTGCTACATCTCAAAAAGCTTTGATAATGAAGAAAACTACATCTCCCTTAAATGTACATTTACAGGTACAATAATATATAAAAACATATATCTATATATAAGAAACCTAGATACAGTGGGAACAATGAGATCACAAGAATAGGGATAAATTAAAGTCTCGATTGAGACCTCTTGGTTCCAGACAATCTAGTCGGTGGATCCAAAATGTCTCATGCTTTTTAAGGGATTTTTTGTCTAACAATACACCGGGATCGTATGTTCACAAAGTCAATCACGTGCTATTTAATTTGAGAAATTGCATAATTGTGGGATCAAAAATGGACAGTGACAGGTTTGTCAGTTCTCTTCTAACGAATATCAGATCTGTGTTTGGACATGTGCTCTCTGATTTTATTAGATCTTCCCCTGGAAATGGGAATTGTGTTTTTACTCACCTTTTTTCCCACACCATGCCAGTCTTAGCATGGCGGGTCCCGCCTCCATGGCTGAGATAATCAAGCTTGATGATCTCAGCGTATCCAATGCTTTCCACTAGGAAAGCATTGGAAGGCTATTGCGCATGTGTGGCAAAACGGTGCACCAATCAGCATCTTCTCATAGAGCTGCATTGAATTAATTCATCTCTATGTGGAATATTCAGCACCTCCATGCATGGAGACACAGATTGTAGGTGCTTCACACTGTGTAGCCCTGTGATAGGAAGAGCTTTAGTGGCCATCTGAATAACTGTCAGTGGAGGTGTTACTAGGCAGCAATGTAAACAGTTAGTGTAAGTATAGGGTAGGTGTAAAGTTAAGAGTTAGTGTAAGCATAGGCTTGCAATAGAGTTGACGTAGAGTTAGAAGTAAAAAAAGTTTTTGTTTTTTTCATATTTTCTCATTTTTAACATTGTATCCATACCTAGACCGCAATTTAATAAACTTTCAAAATGATGCAACACTGTTAGAAAAACTTCACAACCTGATTTATCTACAGAAGTCATCATTAAAGTCTACAGGAATTTTAGTAGATAAATCAAATGGATATTTTTCACATATTGAATTTGGAAACCTTATTAAATTGGAAATGTAATGTTGTGTTAGGGATACGTGCAGGATATTAAAAGAAAGTCATGTCTGTCCTTAAAAAACAATATATAATATGTATGGGTGCACATAAAGAGAAACATTGGAACAATCACATAGCACGAATTCAAGGTTTTGGTTCAGAAGATGAATAACTGCCTCCATCCTTTAAGGGGTTTTAACTACAAGGAAGTTTGCAAGAGAAGGGTACATTTATTATTTTCTACTAACACACAGGGTGATTAAAGTGACAATTTCCAGGAATTCAAGTGAATTTCAAAATATATGACAGATCTATTTTTCAGTTTGGATGTTTTGGTCTTTTGAAATTTTTTTTTTTACTTTGACTTCCGTTCAAGTTCCCGGAAGAAACACAAGAAATCAATTATTTGTTATAGGTAATATAATTTATTCAAAGGACTAGGCATCGGACTATGCTTCAGAGCAAACAGAAATACAAATATATATTTCATTCATTACATTTTATTTAATTTTGTTTTATATTATTATTTTAGGTTATATTATAAACAGTTTAAGATATGTATAGTTAAAATAAGATAAACCAAACACAAATTACTAGCAACTTTTATTTATTTTAGTCTTTGAATAAAAATCTGCAAATTACAAGATTTTATTTTTCTATCTCTACTTTTTTTTTTTTTACAGAATTATTATATCTAACAAATCTAACTTGGAAAATTATTCAACGTAAATTGCACGTGTCCTGGGAATGTAATATACCAAAGGAAATACAACAAAACATTTCTTTCTCTGTAACAATGGATAATTCTGTTCTTCCTACTAAGAGATCGGTAAAGTATTATGGAGTTAAACTATATATTTAATTAGTTTTGGAATATATTACAAAGTAATAGTCCATAGAAATATATTCCATTGTTACGCATACATTGACAAAGAAAATGCATTTGAGAAAGTTTACAAAAAAGCTCTAAATACAGCTTTTAACTTATTTTATCTTGATCTTCAAGTTTGCATCTAACATTTTTTTGGCTTTTCCCTTTTTTGTCATAAAAGGTATTTTTTTCTAACATGTGCTAGCCACTGAAAAATGATAATATAGCTCAGTTATTTCCTCCGATTGTGGATAAATATTAGAGCAATGTGTTTTGACAACAAAGCACCTGGCACTGCTGACACCATAACCACTACCATGAGTGTTTATATAAATAGAAATTAATTAAAAGGGATTTTGAGTTCTACATTCAATTATTATTATTATTATTGCCATTTATATAGCACCAACAGATTCCGTAGCGCTTTACAATATTATGAGAGGGGGGGATTTAACTATAAAAAGGACAATTACAACAAAACTTACAGGAACGATAGGTTGAAGAGGACCCTGCTCAAACGAGCTTACAGTCTATAGGAGTTGGGGTATAAGACACGTTAGGACAGGAAATATCAATCAAATAAGGTGGGAGTGAAGCAGAGCTGGAGGAGAGAGTAAAGTGCTGCCCTTTAGGAGAGAGAAAGAGACAGGTGTGTAAGGTAGAGGTTACTCTGGGAGGCCATAAGCTTTCCTAAAGAGATGGGTTTTAAGGCACTTCTTAAATGATTGAAGACTAGGGGAGAGTCTGATGGTGGTAGGCAGGCTATTCCATATGAAAGGAGCCACCCGCGAGAGGTCCTGCAAGCGCGAGTTGGCCGTACGGGTGCGAGCAGCGGTCAGGAGGTGGTCACGGGCAGAGCAGAGGGAACCAGGAGGAGCATACCTATGGAGGGGCAGTTACCATTCTGTCCATGATTATGCCATCACAAACAAATTGATGGGATACATTTAGGTGTCTCATTGTATCATTCAGCATTTAACAATGTTATAGCAGTGGTGGTTATTTAAAAAAATGTTCTGAAATAGCCAATCCTCCTTTGATTTGAAAAAAAAAATCATTATCTTTTATGTCTTTTGCAGACCAAAAATAAACATGAAACCTTTCCCTTATATCCCGATACAAAACTTATGGTGACAACGTACATTAATGGCAGAGAAACACTAATTAAATCAAATGAAGTTTCTGTAATTTTTGAAGGTAAGACAGGATCATTACATTCGATCATAATAACATTAACTTCACCTCCTAACTAGCATCTATTCTATGTATGTTAAACAATTCCTTCTGTCAAATAAAAAGAAGCCATGTGGTTTTTATTGTGTATACACAAACACGCACGCATGCACACACACACACGTAAATATTATAGATTATTTAGCCACATATTACATATTGTTAAGGAGTCATTCTGGTAAAAAGAGATTAAATGTAAAAAGAAATAATTAATAAAATGAATAAATAATTAAGCAGGTGACTGTGAGAGATTGAATCCTTTTAGCTCCATAACTCCTAGCACTATAAGTCTAGGCCTTGCCCAATGAGTTTTGGGGGTTAACCCCTTCAATGCACCTGTGGATGAGGTTATGCCCAGTCTCAATGTCTCACCAAGAGGTTAACCCCTTAATGTATTTAAAGGGACACTGTAGTCACCAGAAGAACTACAGCTTAGTGTTGTTATTCTGGTAAATATTGTCAGTCCCTGCAGGATTTTCAATATAAACACTGCCTTTTCAGGGAGTTCACTCTCCGCTAGAACCACCATGGCTTCACAAGCAGTGTCCTCCCAACAAAGCAAAAGGTAGGAACGGAGGAGGGAAAAACGCATATTATTTTAATTAAAAAAAATTAATATAATACATATATATTTGCCTTAATCCCCTACCCACACACAATATCTCCCAACACACACATACACACTGCAACCCTCACACACATTGCACCCCTCACACATGCTGTACACCTCATCCACACTCAGCACCCACACACACACTGCAACCCCTCACACACACTGCACCCCTCACACACTGCACCACTTGCACACACACTGCACACAGTTCCTTTGGTTTGTGCTGCCACCAGCACCGACTGTACAGCCGGCGGGATCAGTTTTCAGTTTTCCATATCCCCAGAAAAGGACATGGTTAGGCTGGTATCTCCATGTGGGACAATCCGCGTGACATCCCCGCCCCAGTGGTATCTCACGGAATGTCCATGCAGTCATCCAGTGATCGATGCCAATAGTTGTTTTTCCAGCAGGACAGCAAATGGTAGCTCACTGTAGATTGCCACTGTGCAACCTTCAAATTGGATCTTTCCCATTTCTCTGGAACTGGCCAGGATTGCAGAACAAACACAACGTCCTTGGTGACTGCAATCATGTCGCTGAGTGCCCCTGCCGGTGCTGTTGTGGCTTTGCAAACTCTGAATACAGTTGACAGCAGTTTGGGGTCAGCACCCCTCTTGAGACCAAGTGAATGAAGGGCAGCAGTGCATCTCCACCAATCTTCTCTGGTATTCTGCACAGGTGGCTATTCTGATGCCCGTATTGGGACTCCATCGCGGGCACTGCCCGGTTGAGCCTCTGAACTTGTTGAACCAGGCAATCTAACTGACATTTGGTGTCTTGCAGCCAAGTGTCGCACTCTCCCTGGACTCCACTACTTGTATATTCTGACAGAGGATATCCAGCATCTGCTGAGACTTTCAGACCTCCCTCTAGTCTTTCAATAGCTTTTTGATATCTCTTTTTTTGGAAGGAGAGGAGCCCTTGTCTGATTCAGCCTCCCGATAAACTTCACCCAGGTCCTGGAGAGGTGAGTACATCCCCATCCTCATAGGATTCCTCTGAGGTCTCCTATTCCTCATGAGGCTTGAGTGCCATCTTAGCAGGTGCTGGTGGGGTAGGTCTCTTGAAAAAAAAAGCCTGATGTTGGACAATCTAGGGCTCACTGGGCACCGGAAATTTCTGTGCTTGCACCCCATAATGTCATCTGGTAGGGGGTGTCAAGTAGATGTCTCTTTGGAGCTCGAAAGGTAGGTAAAAGTCCTAATTTTGCGAATGTGGTAAAGAGCTCAGTAGATACCTTACTGAGATCTCTCGGGTCTAGACAAACCCATAATTTGCCTGTATCTGACTTCCTAGCAATAACCATGGAGTAAACCCAATCAGTATGCTCTGTAACTTTAACCTGCCTCTCCCTGCTTTTAAATTCTTCTTTAAGGTGGCTGCGTAATGCGAGAGGGATGCATCTCGGCGGGAGCCCTATTGGGGTTACCTGTGGGTTTAAGTGTATGGTACACTCATCAGGGAAGAAACCGATTCCTTTGAAGACGTCTGCGAATTTCTGTGGACTCTGATTGTTTTGGTTCACAGAGTCTATGAAAATGTCATCACGCTCTTCTGGGTCAGTGTCATGTTTGTTTACAGCAAGGACACTTTTCCCGCAGCTGGAACAGCACACTTTGGTGAAGTGGTTAAGTTTTCCACATGATTCGCATATTTTTCCCCTTGCAAGACATTGATAGCGGGCTTATCTTGTACAGTAATCACACTATGTGTCAAAACCACAAGATTGTAAACATTGTTCATGCTTCTGTTTGCGAGGGATGTAATGTTGCTTCTAGTCTGCATTATTGGCAGGAAACTTCCTAAATAATGTCGCCATCTGAGGCTTGGCCCTTCCCTGGGCCAATTCATGTTATCTAGCAGTATCAACCGCTTTCTTTAGCGTTAACTCAGACCCGACATTTAATAATTTTTCTCTCACCCTTGGAGAGTGTATGTGTAAGACAATGCAGTCTGAGCATAATTGCAGTCTTGAGCAAGGAGCTGCAAGTCTATCACAAACTGTTTTAATGGGTTCCTGCACCTGCAAAACATTGCAATGGAACTTTAGGCTTGACATATGCTAAAAAAATGGTCATAATATGACTTTAATGACATAGCATCATCTGCAGGTAAGGCAGATGTATTGAAATGTCTTTGCCCTTTTCACCCACTCATAGTAGAAGGTAATTGCATTTGTCATGCTCACCCTTACATTTCAGGGTGAACATAAAATGTATGTGTTTTCTGAGCTTCCGCCATGCATCAGGCAAGCTACTTGCTTTCCACTTCATTCTAGGGGTAGGGACTCAAGCTGCATCCATGTCAATTGAAGATATCCATTTCTTGTTGTCGTGTTAATGAAGCATATGCACCAGTAAAGCTGTGATACCAGCTGTAGGTAAACAGGTGTCGGTTTATTAAATACAGCAAAGAGGTAAAATTACTGTTACTCATAGAGAAGCTTCACAATTCAAACTGACGCAACTGAAACTAAATATGGGAAACAGTTATTCCGCAATTTGAATGTTGCTATGTGATTGGTTGGAACTTACATATGCTTTTTTTCCCTTAGGAAGAAAATCTTAGTGTTTTTAATCTATTCTCACAATCAAAAAAACTGGTGGGATGTTGCCCCAGGTGCCCCTGTGGATGAGCCTCCACTGTTAGATGGCTGATTTTATTTAATGTTCCTTGCTAAAGCTTTTTCAATTAGTCTCTTACAATGAAATTGTGAATCTCTGTAAGTTCTATGTCTGGTTTGCACAGTCTATTACACTGATTCCCTGAGATAAACGTGCATTGGCAAGACTGTCTCTTATATACAGCATACTCTCATATACACATTGTCCCTTAGCGTGTCTGTGTATAAGTCATTGTTTGTATAGGAGGAGAGATAGTGTGTCTTTGTCTATTATGTAGAGGTAAAGCTATTTATCAGATAGCAGAAGCAGCAGGTTTGAGAGTCGTTGAACATAATCCAATCCACATTAAAGGATCACTCCACACCAACAGAGCACTTCCACACCAACAGATCACTTCCACTTGCTGAATTGCTATATGGCTGTGGAGTATCCCTTTAAAGCTCCCCACCACCCAGCCTGACTCTAGTCTAACTTGCCACCCGCATATAATGCTGACATAGCCAGACGTAATTCTTAACAGCACTGTGTGCATCTCTTCCCACACAAAGTGGTCTAGTGGTAATGTGCCCTTGCATATCAGACCAGCAACACTCACCTAGACGGTAGCTCAAATCAGGATGTAACACACTTAATCCTATGTTTGTTTTCCTTATGTTCTTTTATTTTATTTCTCTAAGTGCATCGCCCTCATACTACTTGCTCATATATATAGATTAGCATACATCCGTGCAAGCTGTATCTTCAAGTTTTCCCAAACACCTTGTGTAAGAAAGTATGGCATTGCTAGTCTAGACCAGGACCTCCCCTCCATGTTTCACTGACTTCCTCCCCCCCCCCAGTGTCACTGTCCCACCTCCTCTCCATGTGTCACTGTCCCCTACCCACCCTCCCACCTCTTGTGCTTGCCAACCTTGTATTGTACCAATCCGCGGGTAGAGGATATTTCGTTTCCTCCACCTGGACTGACAGGAAGTTTTCTCAGTGAGGTGTGACTAGGAGCTGCATAAACAGAAACAAAAGTGATTTAACTCCTAAATGGCAGAGAATTGAGCAGTGAAACTTCAGAGGCATGATCTGTACATAAAAACTGCTTTATTACGCTTACGTTGTTTTGGTGGCTATAGTGTCCCTTTTAAAAGAGTATTAAGTTTTGACTTTGTTCTTCCATTACCAATAAATGTTGTAGACTAAGATTTACAATGAAGCAAAAAAATAAATTACCTCTTTTGTTTTGATTGCTCAGATCTCCCTTGGTACCCATGTCTCCTCCTGCCGTTAGTCCCCCACTCCCTATGTCTCCAGCCTTCCCAATAATCTATCAGTACATCATGATTTGTTTAACTATGGACAAAATCACAATAATTAACAAAATCACAATAATTAAATGTATGTAAAATAGTATTCTTAATATATAATATGCCCCAAGTCCTTGCACTCTGCCCAACTGTTTTGTTTTTTTTGCCCATGCACTTAAGGCCACCTGATGGCAATGTGTCTTCAGGGGCCCGGCGAGTGCTGCAGTCCTTTAACAGTGCAACTGGGCTCCTTTAATTATATTAGGGCTGGGTGTAAGCGAGTGCCAGTCATTTCCTCTCAGCTTACAGACATGGAGCCACATGGGAGAGTCAGACAGGAGGGTCATGGTCCAGGAGAGCCTCTAACTCCCAACAGCCTCAGTCAACTGGACAAGATACCAGGGAAGCCACCCTTCTACACCCAGTAGGTAGGAAACAGTACATTTTTCATGGGTGTGTATCTTTGTGTGTGTCTCTGTATGTGTGCTAGTGTGTGTGTGCATCCGCATGTGTGTCAGTGTGTCTGTATGTGTGTCCATCCTTGTATCTGTATCATTGTGTGCATCTGTGTGTCTGTGTATCTGCATGAGTGTCTGTGTGTCTGTTTATCTGTATGTTTGTTGGTGTGTGTATGTGTGTCTTCACGTGTGTCAGTGTGCGTATCTGTGCATCTGTGTATCTGTATGAGTTTCAGTGTGTCTGCATGTGCGTTAGTGTGTGCACCTGTGTGTCTGCATGTGTCTATGTATCTGCATGCCTGAACCTGTGTATGTGTGTATCTGTGTTTGTGTCACTGTGTGTGTCGGTGTGTCTGTATGTGCATGTGTATCTGTATGTGTATGTGTATGTGTATCAGAGTGTGTATGGCAGTGTATATGTATATGTGAATAATCTCAGCATTCAAACGCCAACACAACACAAAAATACACTTAGCATTCAAATGTCAACACTTCATACAGATACACCTACATTCAATGGCAAACACCACACACAAATAAACTACTGCTTTCATCTGATATCTGAAAAATGGCAACAGTACATAAAAACACATAACACTACACACTCCTACATTCAACCACACACTGACTCCATACAAACACATGCTTACATTCAAACACACAAATAATGTTCAGTGCTAAATACAACCATGCAAGGATGGGCAAACGGTAGATCCCCATCTAGCAAAGCATGTAGGAGTTGTACAAGAGATGGGGATCTACCTTTTGCCATGCTTGCAATAGGGCAGCCCAAATTTTTTTGCACTAGGGCTCTCTTCTTTAGTTCCACCATTGGCTCTTGGCAATGTTCCGCTGAGAAACCTTGGGTGCTGGCATTAATGTGGATGTAACTTTGACAGGTACCACCTCCCTAGAGATTGTTGCAGACTGTTCAGCAGGAACAGGCACCCTACCACACTGCAAAAATTATTCAGGAATGCTTTGAAGAACATGACAAAGAGTTTAAGGCGTTGCCTCGGTCTCCAAATTCCCCAGCTCGATGCCTCGATGCTTCAGAGCTGTTTCGGCAGCACAAGAGGGATCTACATGATATTAGGCAGCTGGTTTTAATGTTGCGACTGATCAGTGTAGCTTCCTTGGAAAGCAAGCCAAAGGCATGTAAACAAGTTATACATGTGGAGATTGGTCTACTTTGAAGAGAAATCTGGGTTCTTTGATGTACTAAGGCATAGAAGACCTGTGAAATTCATCACTAGATGTCTATATGTATTTGAAAAAAATTAAATTAACTGCTATATATGGCAGCACATATATTGCAGGTTATGAACTATCCAAGTTAAATGACTTAACCCCTTAACGCCGTTACGGCGTTCTATGCCGTTGCGGCTTTAAAGGGCTTTAAAGCCGTTGCGGCGGCATAGAACGCCGTAACGGCTTAAGCCCAGTGGAGGTGAGATCTACTTACCTCCGCCGTGATCCTCTTCTGGAGGGCTGCCTGACAGCCCAGGCAGCCCTCCCCCGGCAAATGAGGCCCCCGGGGGCCATGTGATCGCTCTATAGCTGGCTGTGGATCTGACAGCAGGGGGACTGTCTGAAAAATCAGACAGTCCCCCTGCTGGTGGAAAGTGTAAAAAAAAATTAAACAGGTTTAAAATTAAATTAAAAGTATTTATATATATACATAATATATGTATATATATTATACATATAATATATATACATATTATATATATGTAACGTCATACAAAGTGTATTTTAATACTAATATTAGTATATATATTAATATTAAAATACACTTAGAATAACGTTACATATATATAATATGTATATATATATTATATTATATAAATAGCGGGGGCTTGCACTCCTGGTGTAATCCTGTGGTGCCCGGTGCTGGTCTGGCAAGGATCATGTAGACATAGCAGAAATGACCGCACTCCAAGGACTTTATAGAGGTTTTCAAATAAAATTTAGCTTTTATTCAATCCATTTAAAAAGTCAACGTTTCAGCTCCCACATGGAGCTTTCATCAGGACAAAACATAACTTACAAGTGCAGACACAAAGAAATATATACCCCCAATCCCTCAAAATAATTTACCTTAATTGTGTACTCACCTAGCCATGAGACAGCTTGCCCTGCATTAGAGAGTAATGCAACTCTGAGTGTGGTGGCCATGTGTGCAAGGCCCAGAAAATTATATTATATTATATATATATTATATTATATATATATACGTATAATTACAATAATATATAAATAAAATAATAAAATAAATAAATAAAATATTGAAACAAAATTTAATATAAATTCATATGTCATTTCATTCTAACTGTATTTTGTTATTAATATATATATATTGGTAACAAAATATACTTAGAATGACATTCTATATATATATATCTATCTATATATAAAATACAAATAACCGCAAATATATATATATAGATAAATACATATAATTACATAAAAGATTACATTAGTATACACTTAGAATTTAAATACCTATAAATGCATATATATTAAAATTCTACATGTATATTTAAGTAATCTTTTAACATAATTATGTGATTTGTTCAATTAAAATTTGATTGACATGCCTGACAACACAGGGAAAAAGTGCAGAGAATTTAATTCACAAGCACTATATTTGACCCTGAAACTCTCCAAGACACCATAAAACCTGTACATAGGGGGTACTGTTTTACTCGGGTGACTTTGCTGAACTCAAATATTAGTGTTTAAAACTGGTAAATTGAATTACAACGATGATATTTTAAGTAAAAGTTACTTTTTTTTCATTTTTTTACAAACGAACTGCACTTTTATGGACTATATTATTGTTTTAAAACAGTAATATTTGTGTTTAGTGAAGTCTCCCGAGAATAACAGTAGCCCTCGTGTACAGGTTTTTTTATGGTGTTTTGGAAAGTTAGAGAAAGTTAATAACCCCAATATTAAATAGCGGACAGTCACACGGTGAATGGCATGGTGAAAACTGGAAATGTGTAAACTGAAATTGACATGTCTGTAATTTGACCCTATAACATCTAAACAAATCTGGCAAACAACCACATTGAGAATGTTTGGGAGCAGCAGCAGAATACAAACATTGAATCTTTAGACACGCACAGTCTGTGAAATTTCCCACAAAAAGGAAATGTGTGTAACAAACAGAAAACAATTAATTATAACCATCAGATTTGACTGGTGATAAAATTGTTTAAAGAAAAGTGTTCAATTGTTCTTTGTTGAATAATCTGGAGGGGTTTAATCCCTGCAAACATATACTTTTGTAGTATTTTGGATTGTGTGACTGCCATTAATGTTGTAATCAAACCATATTTTTTAAGGGTTTGGATTTAAAACTGTTATTCTATTATTTAAAAATTTGTCCTATAACTTCGGAAAAATTACTTGGAATTCTAGTTGCATGAGACAACTTTTAACTATCAAGACTAGCTGATCTATTATGATTTATTTAACAGGTTATATACAAAATATTTTAAATAAAACAGTGATTTAAAAAAAAAATTTTTCTTTTTCTTTTTTTTTTAATGTAATGTATTCATGTGTATTGTTGTACTAAGCATATATATAGGGTACCAGAAGAAAATCCTATTGGTATTTAAAAAAATATGTACATCATGTTGGCGCACATAAAGAGAAAGTGTTAAATTACAAATTTGGGAATTACCACTTATTTTGGTGAGATTCCATGGTTTGTTTACTTGTAAATGATATGCCCTCCTGGGATTAATTTGAACTGGCTAACTGATAAAGTGCCTCAAAATTAAATATAAGACAAGCAACAATATGATAATATAACAAACTACATGTATATATCTAAACACATGTTTTACAGTATCCCTCAGCAAAGATGCAGTGCAAACCAACAAAATATAACAAATACCCCAAATACCCAAGGGAGTCTATATATATATATATATATAAAATGTATTAAATTTATGACCCATCATAGCAAACTTTAAATCCAATGCCAGTAGCTTAGGAACATGAACATATTTCTCAGAAAATATATGGCATGTTATCAAAATAGATAAAATTCCTAGTCGTATGAGGCATTCTCAGAATTAGATTAAATAGATGAGAATATTTTGGTTTATTTTTGTTTAGCTGAAATAGTTGTGTACAAGTTATTGTATTGAAACCTGTCTTGTGAACTTTTCACAAACCTTCGTGAGAGGTTTTATGTATTTATAGAATATCATATGAAATCCCTTTCCGTCATTTATGAAGCAACAGGTAACATGTCTACGTGCATAAAATAAAAAAATTCAGGTGAACAAAGTGTATCTAGTTCTTAAAGGACCACTATAGTGCCAGGAAAACATACTCGTTTTCCTGGCACTATAGTGCCCTGAGGGTGCCCCCACCCTCAGGGACCCCCTCCCGCCTGGCTCTGGAAGGGGGAAAGGGTTAAAAACTTACCTTTTTCCAGCGCTGGGCGGAGAGCTCTCCTCCTTCTCTCCTCCTCCGTTCCTCCTCCTGGGCTGAATGCGCACGCGCGGCAAGAGCTGCGCGCGCATTCAGCCCGTCGCATAGGAAAGCATTTACAATGCTTTCCTATGGACGCTTGCGTGCTCTCACTGTGAAAATCACAGTGAGAAGCACGCAAGCGCCTCTAGTGGCTGCCAATGAGACAGCCACTAGAGGATTAGGGGGAAGGCTTAACCCATTCATAATTATAGCAGTTTCTCTGAAACTGCTATAATTATGAAAAAATGGGTTAACCCTAGAAGGACCTGGCACCCAGACCACTTCATTAAGCTGAAGTGGTCTGGGTGCCTAGAGTGGTCCTTTAACGTATAACATAGAGCAATAATAAATGGCTCTGGCCCTAAGGGGAGAGAATAAAATGTCTGCTGGGAAAGTTGGATAGGGTCATGAATTATAAATAATGTAATTTGGGGTTTAGCTAATACCTTTCATCAAACATTAACATTTACCAGTCCAGTACCATATTTAGCTTGGGACTGTTCAAATTCCATTTTACATACTTTCTTAGAATTCATCTTTTTCATTTACCCAGAATGTTTAATAGACAATTATTTAATCTATGTGTCCCTTATTACTGCATGTTTAAACTGTCTGTAAATTGTACATGTATGTACGTAGTGGGCATTGGATGGGATGACCTTTTACCAAACCATAGCTTCCCCCCAAATAAAGACAGACACCGAATCTTGGAAGTTAGAGGCCACAGCATTTATTAAAACACAAATACTGCATGACTCCTTCAATGTATAATTTTGCATAATATTCTCATAAATAAATAAATAACATGTAAATACCTGCATGATGTCATACAGTACTTGTCCAACACGTCCTTGCCAATCTCATTCCTTCTTCCCAAAGGCTCTCACCTCCCCCTCGGCATAATAAACTCCTCTTGCCTTTTTGGCACCCCACCAGCAGGCTTTTAGCTCGGTGGGGCACGACCATAATGCTCCCCACCAGCTGGCTTTAGCTCGGTGGGGACATGCCCAACTTGGTACCCCTTAAGGTTCACCAAAGAGACAGGGGAGGATAACACCTGGCCATTACCCCCCACCTTCATCTAATCTGCAAAACAACACCACCCCTTACTTGGCAAGGACACCCCCCCCCCTGCTGTGACAACACCCCGGACCCAAAAACAAAAGGGAGGGTGGGTGGGAAACCTGTTGCTGGCCTGGCTCCTAAGTGGCACTGAGGTCAGTCCCAATTGTCACCACCCACTTCCTCTCATACAACACTCCCCCAACATAAACACAGCCCATCCTGTTTCATCCATTCCCACACTCATACATGTGCCTTGTTCCTGGGGCCTGTACAGTTTCCCAAATTACATTTCACAGTACAGTACAGTTTTCCACTTTACATTTTAATTTACAAACACTGGGATAACAATATTTTATTCACTGCATTTTTTACTATAGGGATGAAAGGAACAGCTGCAGAAAATGTCTCTTGTGTGGTTTTGAGCACTTACATAACTTGCTCTTGGAATTATGGGAAAAATGCACCCAATGATACTGTCTACACACTTTTTATGAGGTATGTACTGTCCCTTTGTTACCTGTGTACAAATATGCTTGTGTATTGTTTTTATAACTGATGCTATTTATGTTAAAGGGTCAATTTAAGCACTCCACCCTCTATAGCATGCCTGATGGTATTCTGTCAAACCATTTTGGTAATCTGTCAAACCTTGCAATTTTTAGCACCAACAACCTTTTTGGTCTGAGTTGCTATTATAAATCAAAAGTTCAACCTTCCACATTATCATTCCAACTCATACCAAGTATAGATATTATTCTAGTCGTTGTGTTGTTTGGTGTATCCATGAAATATTATTATTGCTAATATTTTGTCTCATTGTGGTTACAGACAACATCATATGGAGTTAATGTATAACATGTCTACATTTGAATATGATGCACAAAAGAGAAAGGTTAATTGCAGAATTTCTGATTTAAAAGATTATTTTGCACATGTCTGCATTACAATAGAAGGATCAAGCAAAGAAAACATACAAATGTTCGTAATGTGTTTTACACCTGCTGAAAAAGGTATGTTTTATATATATATATATATATATATATATATATATATATATATATATATATATATATGTGAATAAGGTTGAACTAGAAAGACCATGAGTGCTGCCATAACTTCTATGAACTGTAAATATATGAGCTATGAACTGTATGTATACTGAGGACTGAAACGTTGATCGTCGGATATTTAAATATTACCTAGCCAAAACAATATTAAAAGCCTGAGTGCAAGGATTTACTGCTAGAAGGACAGATAGCTAGGATAGATAGATAGATAGATAGATAGATAGATAGATAGATAGATTTTTCCAATGTTATTATTCTTTTTTTATTGAACTAACAGGCTCAGACCTGAGAAAGATAATAAAACTCTTGAAAGATTGTCTATAAAATATTATGTTAGTCCAATAAAAAAGGTATCATTGCACACTGCAATACTCTGGTATTTTGGCATCAGATAGATAGATAGATAGATAGAAACCAATTAAAGCCATAAACCCATACATGTAAAGTAAAAAATGAAAAACACCAACATTATCACAATCAACAGTGAGCCACAAATTTTAACTTCTACCACCTGCAATTGGTAATAATCACGGTGTGTATTAAATAGTGAGCAGCTGCCCCCACTACCCCCACTGTTGGGCTATAATTAATACATTTTAAAGCGGGGGGGGGGGGGCATTGCTTCAATGAGCGAGGGGCTGGAATATTTGGCAGCAGGTGGAGACTCTAAATACAGTAATAACCTGAGGGGAACCTATGGTTAGCTACAGTTAAGCTTAGCTAGGGTAAATATAAATTACATCAGGGTTAGCTATGGTTAAGTTTAGCTAGGGTTAGCTAAAGTTAGGGCTTCTTTGTTAGTGTTAGAAATAACATCACAGTGTTAAACTGGTCAGTATGTTGGCACAGATAGTCTATTTTTACTAAATTGCATCTCTAGAAAGAAGACAAAGAGACAAGTCAACATTAGAAAATGTATTTAATTTGATCCTATAGGTTCTTCCAAAACCAGAAGTAGCTTACCCAGTGAGATTATTACCACATTCCTTCCTAATAGCATTAGTCAACCAAGTGCTAGTGATTAAGACTAGTAGATTATGCTGAAGCAAAGCAAAGTTTGCCATTACTTTGACAGCCTCCATGAAAAGCAAATTGCAAAGTGCAAATTGTGTGGAGAGAGTGAATAGGGGGAGAGTGAAGGTTAATCTCACTAGTCTGAACCAACATATGCAAAGACCACAAATCTGTATTAGCGAAGGCAGAAACATAAAGAGAAAGCAATAGCACCATCAGTGTCTCCTCCACTACTACCACCCTTAGACAGTGAGATATGTTGTCTATCCTAGTATGCCTAGACGACAGTGATATACAGACTCCCAGTCCACATTATACATAAGGAATGCCTGCCAGCCTACTCTTGAACATTTTGTTGGTTTTCATACTAAGGTCATGTTAAAACAGTAGGCTAATAAAATAATACACTTGACAGTCCAACTGATCATTGTAGGGGGAGCTTCCTTTTTCATGTTAGAAGGAAACCCCTTTAAGCAGTTGTTAAAGGCCCTTGCTCATTTACTTTCACCAGGAAGATAGCCCAATCACTGTAATGTTCTTGCATGCTTATAGTCAAGAAAAAGTTGATTAAGGCTCAGTAGGTGCACTTCACCAAAGATTTATGCCTTCCTCTCCTTGATGGCACCCTTGAGGTAGCCCCTGGTGCATGACCAGTTTGGCGGAAGTAGTGGAGGTCCAACCTTAGCAGAATGTCAGGCTGAGAGCAGATCTGTAGAGCACATACTTGTACGTGCACACTTCAACACACTTCAACAAACAAATTACAGGCAACCAGAAGAATGGTAGAAAGACTGTTCAGGAAAGCAAGCATTGAGTTCGTGTTCACCAATGGAGCTGCTAACATTGTCAAACCTCTTAGAGATGTAGGTGTTTGCTGTTCTGCACACATCATACAGTGTGTAGTGAAGATTGCAATTCAGGTAGCCAATACAAAGGGGCAAACCATACTTGAGCATTGCAGAAGGATTGCTGAACATAACGTAATGTGAGGGCTACCCAAGCAAGATGAGTGCAATAGAAAAGAGGATGTCAGCATACAGTGGAACTCCACTTTAGAGATGCTGGAAAGAATTTTGGAACAGCAGAAGGCAATCCATAGTCAACCTTTCCACTACTCAGATGGCATTGACTCCCCAAAGGGGATTGAGGATTGGACAATAACAGTGTAGCTTGTGACAGTTTTTATTCCATTTAAAGACATAACAGACAGTTTGAGCCACAGTCACACAAAATTAAGCTCTGTGCTCAACCATTACTCAAATCACATCTGACACAACAGTCCCAATATAAAAACCAAAGAAAAATGTTACTTGCACTCCATACCAAATCCTATGCAGATTTAAATAACTGGAGAGTTTTTTAGTATCACTCCCATAGCCATTCAAGTGTAAGCTCACCTGCCATGTCAAGACAAAACCTCTTAGGTGAGTCCTACGCTGCAATTCACTTTGCTGCTTCTAGCTAAAAGGTAAAATCTACAATGAGACAGAGAGGGGTATTTTTCTAAACCCATAGACACAAAAAAAGCAATGACATTACTGCCGAATGTGGATTGGGAAACAGGACCCCTTCTTCTACCATCCCTCAAATTCTTCTTGGATTAGCATGTGACAATGATTATGGTGGGTTTGTTAAATAAATTGTGGACATGAATGATTGTGTATTGTGTTAACAAACACAACTTTATTCAGCATTAATAGGTACCTGTGTTGCTAAATGGATTGGTGCTTGGTAGATGTTCTGTAACGTTATTGTGTTTGACTTTAAGAAACACTTGTCACAGCACCTTTTGTTGTCCAGGCTGTTAAACAGCATGGGGACATTCATATGGTGGAAAGGGACACTTCCCACAGTCACTCTCCTTTCCTCAGCGGTTCAGACGCCGGCCGCTGTTGCCCAGTCCCCTTTTATGATGCAGCGCGCGCCAACATCATGACACTAATGACGTCACGGCCCTCCAAAACATTTGAATTTAAATGCTTTGAAGGCGTGGCTATGGAATTAAAGTCACAGACTATAAAAAGGCTTCATAGGGTAAGGATCATTGCCCTGTTGTGGTTCTAGTTTTGGTTACCAATAGTGCTTGTATTTTCTGTATATTTCTGGTTTATTGATATCGACTATTCTGACTTTTCTTAGTTTCTGGTTTTTGCTTCCCTGGTTTCCTTGACTCGGCTTGTCCCTGACCATTCTCTATCCAGCAAATGTAAAGCCTGGTTACTCTAGGGACCGGTATACATTGTTAAATCTATTATCATTTACTCTCTGCGTGTTGGATCACTAGATATCGTGACAACACTGCACACTGCTTGAATACTTGCACAGCATACACTAAACTGATCACATTCAGAAAAAATTAAGATAGGATTTTAGTCAAGACAAAAAAAAGTTTCACAACATATTGGTAACCTAGTCAAAATGTCAGTCTCCTATCATCCACTGAAACATGTTTCAAGTGCCGACAGCAGTAACTAGCTAGCTATAGAGTTAAGCTAAACGTAGTTTTACACTAGAATCAATGACTCAACTAGTCCAGATAAACATATTTTTTCTTCTCTTTCACTGAACCTCACACTCAAAAAAAAGGGGGGGCGGGGGATTTTCTTTTAACAACTATATACAGGTGGTTCCCGACTTTAAAAACTAATTGGTTCCGAAGCCTAGCTCATAAAGTGAGAGTTCATAAAGTGTGAACTAATTTCCCATAGACCACAATGTAATAAACATGGGTTTCGTTCCTGACCAAGAAGTTTTACCATTGAAAACCTTTATAATTAAGTACAAATACAAAATGAAAGCATTGCAAATATTTTTTGGCTTTCATTTCTCAATTTCTGTTTCCAACTCTGTGTCTATCTGCACTAATAAAGGTTCAGGTGTACCCTGAGATGGCTGTTTCAGTTCACAGCACCTTCAGGTGAGTACACCATAATACAAAGCAGCCCTAACTATACAAACTGTTCCTAAAACTGCATCACAAAGTACACTTCTGTAGCCTAGGTCATTATAGCACCAGGTACAGCAAAAATTAAGTACAAAATAATAAAAAAAAAACTAATATTGTATTCCATTCACTGCCAGTGATGAATATAAACCCCAGGTCTTCTGAAATGCAGAGGACAGCAAAGTCTCATCATCCTGATTAATGAATAATCCTGAAGAACCCATAATGCTCCTCATTATAGTAAATAATGACACCCCCTGCATAGTCTGAGATCAATATTCAACAGTCAGGGGGGGAAAGATTGTTCAAACAATCATGTCGCTTGAAGGCATGAGTAGAACATGGAAATAATAACCAAACTTTGCTCTGAGTCACAATTTTTTGCATTAATAGCCATGGTGGTTTTTTTTGATGATAGAAAAAATGTAAGTCCTTTAAATTACTGTATAATTCCAGACCCGTTTGGGGCCTCTCTGCCATCCACAAACACAGACAGACATCAATCTCAGCCACACACACAAACCCGTTATTTACACTAACCTTTCTCTCTTCTTGTCTTCTCCTGGCCACAAATTCATCTTTTATATGCTCCCAAGCATGCTCCTCCGTCAGCATCTACGGAGCGCTGAAAGAAAATATTGGCAAAACAAAATGGCGGCACGTCCGGAAAGCGTTCATAAAGGCGGGAAAACGTAAAGCAGGAGTTCGTAAACCGGGAAATGCCTGTATTGGTAACCTAGTCTCACCGTAGGATCAATGACAAAATGTTAATCTCCATCCACTCAAAAAATGTTTCAAGTGACTTGGCAGTAGCCACTAGCTAGATACAGCAACAAGCTAAACCTGGTCTCATGTTAGAATCAATTTATCTCCCACTCCCACACTGCCACAGCAAGAGTAAACATACAATATCACTGCTGGTATCCCTCCCTCAGGAGCTGCAGTTGAAGCGTCTGGAGAAGCCTGCTTAAAAATATAGATTGTTACACTGTTTCTCCATTTTTCCCTCTATTGGTCGGTTGTCATTTGATCTTTGCATAAGATTCACAGTTTGTTTCCTAACCACCAATCATCTTTTTTTTTTATCTGCTACCTCTTGAGTGAACAGGTGATACAGCCCACATAATTTGGCAGACCTCTTATCAGCCATGGAAAACTAAGCTACTTATTGGCCCCCACAAAAAAATAAATAAACACATAGCAGCCTCTTTTATATTCTTTTAAGTACTGGCCCCAGAAGCAAGAAGTGACGCAAGCATGTGTGGGCTTGCGAGAGTCAATTCTCCCAAAATTCTGCCATGTGGCAGCCTGCAAATAAGAATTTTGTCACAACACCCAATCAGTTTGAAATCGATCAAATAGCAGTTTGACCCAAAATGACTCTCCAAGTCTATTATCTTCTTTTACAAATGGTGTGCCATGATGGGGGTAAAGAAAACTTGTGAGCTAATATCTTGACTTAAAAGAAACATAAATATACTGTTTCTAGCTTAGGCAGTTTAAGGAAATATGAATGTGACTTAAATGTGTACATACATCTCTTATGTTACAAATCTTTTCTTTCTTTTTTCTTTTTTTAAAGAAATGTTAAATCCTCCAGGGAATATCAGTTTGGAGCGTTCTTCTCAGAGTATAACAATACGATGGGTGAGACCCTACAGTTTGAGTGAACAAGAGGCTGTTGGGAATAACTGCTATGAATATAACATTCAGATAGACGAAAAAATTAAGGTGTGTTAAATTAAAAAGAAAACATTTTGGTACGTCACAGAATTTCTGGTAATGCTTTGTTCACAACCATATATTTAAATATATTTATTTGTTAAACAGTAATTTGTTAAGGAAAAAGTAGCAAGTAGCAAAAGTAGCAAATATTGTAATAGAGCGAGGAAAAAGACCCGCAGGGTAAATCTAAGTATAGATGCTTGCTTCCCTACTCTGCCGTGCCTTCGAGGGCACTCCTTAAAAAATGCTACTCCCCCACCTCTCTGGTGTATAACCAAGTATCGTTGAACAGATAGGCTGTAAAAAGATCTCGTAAATATAATCGGCCATAATGGATAGTAACCAGGTGAAAAAAGTATGGGTGGTATTGTCGCTTTGGTATTAGTACATATCGTCCCTCATCTCTATATATAATAATTGATTTTCTCACCCCCTCCTGGGTGGTATGTTTATTCCTCATTCTCGGGTCCTCTACCAGAAGCCTGGGAGTTTGAGGGTTCTGTGCAGTATCTTTTTTAGAGTTTAGAGTTAGAGATTAGAGTTAGTGTAAGTAAGACAGAGCTTGCCTTTAGTTGCACCTGTTGAGTTTTAATTACTATAGTATACAAAAATATTTTTTCCCATTGTGTGGATGTGTATAATGATCTGTTATGTATGCATATTGATGATCAATAAATCTCTATATCTATATATAGTGCAGTTTGTTTTTTGCCTGTTCAGAAACGTTAAATTTGATGTATTCTATCTTGGTACGTTGGTACAATTTTTTATGTTCCTAGTCTCCCAGCTGTCTTTAACAAGTAGGTTTATCTATTATAGGATGTCATTTCTACTGCAAATTATACAGTACACACAAGCCTTCTTAAAGAGGATTCTTGGTTTAAAATCAGAGCAAGAGGAATGCACAGTTGTGGATTAACCAAAGAATGGGGTGAATGGAGTAAACAAGTACCCTGTGGTAAGCTCATAAACCAAAACATATTTGAACCAAACCATATATATTTAAAGACAAAACTGCCACTGTGGGGATACTTAGTGCTGCAGTGTAAACATTGCAGTATCTCTGGAACGGCAATGTTTAACATTGCAGCACTAGGTGCAAAAGGGACATTAATTAGCGGAAGTGGTCTGGGTGCCTACAGTGTCCCTTTATAGCCAATAACAATGTATTACTGACATGCAATTACTTACAAGCCCTAGCAAGTGTGAGTGGTGAATTATGTACAAAAGGCTTTAAAGCCAGTTAATTGCAGTATGAAGAAGTGATACCCACATTTTTGTTATTATTTATATTTTAACACTTAGCTTAAATTTTAAGTTATTTTCTTTTATATATTTTGACAAGCTATAATAATTAAGGGGTTCATTGACATTGCTTAATAGAGTGCTAGGATGTTTTTTTTAATTTGTATTTATTTTTATTCATATGCATATAGGTTATAGCACATACAAATTTACAAACATAAAGTGTCTTTACAACACTGGTTAAAAGTATTATTATAATACACATATACATAAACCCAAAGACTTCACATTAATGGTGTCATGCTTAGCTCCATGGTGACTAGCTCTACAAGCAGATTGATCCTGTATTATATTATTTTAAATACCTTACATTTTAGGGGTCTCTGCTACCCAGGGGTTCTATATTGCACCAAATTTAGTTAGTTAAAGGACCACTATAAGCACCCAGACCACTTCAGGTTAATAGACGTGTAGTCACACCTACTAACCCCAGAGTTGAGAAACCTGAGAGTGTTAAAGTATCCGAGGAGGAACCCATGCAATTAGGGGTTGCCAAACTCTCAGATACTGAAAAACTACTTAGAAGAAGGAACGGACTCTGCCTATACTGTGGTAGGCGAGATCATATGGTAAAGGAATGCCATTTGCTTCCGGAAAACTCTCGCACCTAAGACCTTATAGGGGACTGGCCTTGGGTGTGATATCTAAGTCTCCTAAATTGCCTCCTAACCGTTTGCTTCTCCCTGTTTCCCTTCATACGGGAGAGAGTTGTATAGCTGAAAGCATACTAGCCTTGGTTGATTCCGGGGCTGCTGAGAACTTCATTGACTCTGAGTTTGTTACGAAAAATAACATTCCCGTCAGAGAGAGGCAGATACCCTTGGCCATTGAGGCCATAGGTGGTAGACCTTTAAATACTCCAGTAGTTACCCATGAAACTGTACCATTATTCATGTACACAGGGGTTTTACACTTTGAGACCATTCGGTTTCAGGTTATCACCTCTCCCTCTTCTCATATCGTGTTAGGGTACCCATGGTTATGTTCTCACAATCCCATCTTTGACTGGGAATTGGGGCAATTAAAATCATGGGGTAAAACCTGCCACGACTCTTGTATGAGTAAAGTTACCCCTTTAAATACCATTAATGTTCCTACTACTCCTCCTTTATCTACTGTTATACCTCCTCAGTACTTGTTTCTCAAAACTGTATTCGATAAAAGGGAAGCTGATAAATTACCGCCTCACAGATCCTATGATTGTGCTATCGATTTATTGCCTGGCACTATACCTCCTAAGGGCAGGGTGTACCCTTTATCTATTCAAGAAAACCGTATCATGGAGGAGTATGTTAAAGAATCACTAGAAAAAGGGTTCATTAGGAGATCCTCTTCTCCGGCTGGAGCAGGGTTTTTCTTCGTATCTAAGAAAGAGGGTGATTTAAGACCGTGCATTGACTATAGAGGGCTAAACAAAATCACTATCAAAAATGCATACCCTATACCTTTAATTACAGAGTTATTTGACAGGCTGAAACATGCTACTGTGTTCACCAAATTGGACCTTAGAGGTGCATACAATTTAATACGCATAAAGGAAGGTCACGAATGGAAGACTGCATTCAACACTAGGTCCGGTCATTACGAGTACACTGTTATGCCATTTGGTCTTTGCAATGCCCCAGCAGTATTTCAGGAATTTATTAATGACGTCCTAAGAGACTTTATTCACACATTTGTAATTGTATGCTTGGACGACATATTGATATATTCTACAGATTTACACACTCATCACAGACATGTCACAACGGTCCTGAAGACCCTTCTTACTAATGGTCTTTATTGTAAACTAGAGAAATGTTTATTTGACCAATCCGAAGTCCAGTTCTTGGGGTATTTGATTTCCGCCAAAGGGTTTCGTATGGATCCCCAGAAGCTTTCTGCTGTCATAGAGTGGCCTCTACCACAGGGCTTGAAAGCAATTCAACGTTTTCTTGGTTTCTCTAACTATTATAGACGCTTTATTAAGGGTTTTTCATCTATTCTAGCACCTATCACCCATATGACAAAAAAGGGTGGTAATACTCGTGTCTGGTCTCCCGAGGCACTTCAGGCTTTCGACTTTCTTAAAATTACATTTGCCTCTGCACCTATTTTACAGCACCCTATCCCCTCACTGCCTTATATTCTTGAAGTTGATGCTTCTGAAATCGGGGTAGGTGCTGTTTTGTCCCAAAGAGAATCGCCTGAAAGGCCATTGCATCCTTGTGGCTTCTTTTCTAGACAAATGTCCAAAGCTGAAAGGAATTATGATGTGGGTAATCGTGAACTCCTTGCTATTATCTTAGCTCTTAAAGAATGGAGACACTTGTTAGAAGGAACTAAGGATCCTATCCTCATTTTTACAGATCACAAGAATCTATCCTACCTTGGTGAAGCTAAAAGATTATCTTCTAGGCAGGCTAGATGGTCACTATTTTTGTCCCGTTTCAATTATATTATCACCTATAGGCCAGGTGATCGCAACATTAAAGCAGATGCTCTGTCCAGACAGTTCGAAACTACTGACAAACAGGAGGTTGATGTTACTCCTGTCATTCCCCCAGACAGGATAATAGCCACTACTATGTTGTCTATTTCTTCATCCCTCTTGCAGACCATACAGGCGAAACAAAGTATGGCACCTAACGAGAGGCCTATTGATAAATTGTTTGTCGATGTTCCAGAGAGACGGGAGATTCTATCATTATATCATGATACTAAGACTGCTGGACATCCTGGCATTACCAAAACGATGTCAGCAGTTTCTCGATATTTTTGGTGGGGTTCTTTACGCAAAGATGTCACTGACTATATAAGTGCTTGTACTACTTGTGCATGTATGAAAACATCTCGTAGAGTTCCTTGTGGGCTTCTGCATCCCTTACCAGTTCCCAAAAGACCTTGGTCTAACCTATCCATGGATTTTATTGTTGAATTACCCCCTTCGAATGGTAACACAGTCATCCTGATGATAGTAGATCGGTTTTCCAAGATGGCTCACTTTGTGTCTCTTCGCAAGTTGCCCACATCCAAGGAACTGGCTCTTGTCTTTGCTAGAGAAGTATTTCGGTTACATGGTATTCCTGTATCTATCGTGTCCGATAGGGGTAGCCAAATTATTTCCAGGTTCTGGAAAGCCTTTTGCTCAGAAATGGGTATTTCTCTCTAATTTTCTTCCGCTTACCATCCCCAGTCTAATGGAGCTGCTGAACGTGCCAACCAGTCTCTGGAGCAGTACCTTCGTTATTTTGTGTCTCACCATCAGGACAATTGGTCTGACCTGCTTCCTTGGGCTGAGTTTGCTCGGAACAATGCCACTCATGATTCTTCCGGCAAAAGCCCTTTTTACGTTGTCTATGGCCAGCATCCCGTTGTTCTTCCGGCTGCATTCTCCTCACAGGGCATGCCAGTTCTGGATGAGCATTTGGCTGGTTTGCGTAATACTTGGGAGCAGGTTCAGCGTTCTTTGGTGGATTCCGCTGCTCGCCAGAAGGCTCAGGCTGACAAGCATCGCAGGGCAGCTCCTACTTATGTTGTGGGGGACAGGGTTTTGCTTTCCACGCGGAATATTCGCCTGCGGGTGCCTTCTATGAAATTGGCTCCCCGTTTCATAGGTCCTTATCGTGTACTGCATAAGGTTAATCCTGTTTCATACGCCTTGGGTCTTCCTAGGAATCTGCGTATTCCTAATGTATTTCACACCTCGTTGTTGAAGCCTTACGTACGCAACCGCTATACCCGGCATTCCCCGCCTCCACCTCCTGTCTCTGTGGAGGGTCATGAGGAATTCGAAGTCTCTGCTGTTCTTGACTCTCATTTCCTTAGGGGTCGACTTCAGTACTTGGTGCATTGGAAGGGTTATGGGCCTGAGGAGTGCAGTTGGATTTCAGCTGATGCTGTTCACGCTCCCCGCCTTGTGCGTTCTTACCATTCTCGTTTTCCTGCCAGGCCTGGCCCTACCCGCCCGGAGGGCGTGTCCTCAGGGGGGGGTACTGTAGCATTACTCACCTTCTCCAGGGGCCGGCCACGGTCCTCTCTTCAAGCCGCGCGCCGTCCTGCTGCTGCACGAGCCGCGCGCGGCTCATCCGACGGCCTCAGCAGGAAGGCGGGCAGTGACCGCGAGAAGCGGTCACGTGTCCCGCCTGAATCTAAGAGCGCGCCGCGAGTCTCGGGCGCGCTCTTAAAGAGACAGTGGGAGCCTAAATTGTTAAAAGGCTCCCATTGGCCCCTGTCATGCCACACTCCCCATACACTTACCTTTTGGGGGTGTGGATATGACAGGAGCCAATCACATTAGTTTAGAAGCTATATATACTTACCTCTCCCTTTACTCCCTGCCCTATCGTGGTTTCTGTATCAGTTCCCTTTAGCGCTTGTTGTGTTCAGTTGTGTTTCTCCGTCTTGACTTTGGCTTTGTTTCTGACTACGTTTTCTCTTTATCCTTATCTGTTCTGGTTGTCGGCTTCCTGTTCACTGTGTACCAGACCCCGGCTAGTCCTAGTTTACGCTGTCTCTCTGTGCCCTTGACTTCAGATCGTTCCTGACTCTGCCTCCTCTCATATACGTCGAGTCCGGCCATTCTAAGGTCCGGTAGACGTATTTCTCCTCTGTGTTGTCTTCTGTTTAGCCGAATCCTGCGTGTTGGGGTATATTCTCGTTACATCTTGTCACTCATGCGCATTCAGCCGATGACGTCAGAAGAGGGAGGAGAGTCTCCAGCACCGAGGGAGCACGGCGCTGGAGAAAGGTGAGTGTTTAACCCCCTTCCTCCCCCTTCAGCCTGGCGGGAGTGGGATCCTGAGGGTGGGGGCACCCTCAGAACACTATAGTACCAGGAAAACTAGTATGTTTTCCTGGCACTATAGTGGTCCTTTAGTAATTTGCAATAGAGTAGCTATTTTCCATCACTGCTTGAGTGAAACTATCTGAAATTTTCAGAAATTATCTGAAACTTTCAAATTATCTAATTTCTAACTTCCTTCCACTAAATTATGTTATTTTTTTTCCAATTCCTGGCTATAATTATTTCTTTGTGAGGAAAACCTGAAATAATAATGCTTTGAGGTTAGCTGGTAGGATACCAAGGTTAAAATGAAGCAGAACCCTCTCAGGCTTAGGTTCACACTTAGAGTTCAAAAATTTCAAAATAAATTTAAATATCTTCTCCCCTGTTATATTGATCTTTTTACCAAATATGGATAAAATAACCAAAAAAAAGTACCTTGAATGTAATTTTGAAAATATTTCAAGAATCTGTTAATAACATGTAGTTGCTTCATATTAGGGGAGTATATGTTTAATAATAAACCAATAGCCAAAAGCTATGAGCAATACACCAGAACACATAAAAAAATCCATCATACAAACATACATACAATAAGGCTTTTTTTTTTTTTTTTCATAAAAATACTCACACAGATGGCTTCCCATAAGACATATCTGTTAAAAATCTAACTCACAAACATCCATTCAATATCCCCCTAACCCCCAGTGAAACTTTCAAATATACTCGCACATATGACTTCCCATAGACATATATGCAATACTTTAACCCCTTAAGGACCAAACTTCTGGAATAAAATGGAATCATGACATGTCACACATGTCGTGTGTCCTTAAGGGGTTAATCCACAAATACAGAGAGACTACCGCGGGTATATTACGTCCTTTCCTTTCAGATAGGGAAGAGAAAACACACACACACAATTTAAATCTAATCCCTAAATATTGTAATATATTGTAAAATTATCATAATAAACAAAATAAACATTAAGTGTTAATTTTTAACTTTGTGACAGTCCTCACCTATTCAAACCACATTCCAGTAAATATCACTACTTAGGTATTATTTTATTTAAGTGGTTCCACATGAATGGAGATATCCACTTATTATGATATCCCCAAAATCTAGATAAGTGCATTAGATGTTAAATTATTAGGTTCGTAACAATCTTTATGGGTTTCAACCCATTCTTTGATAAGCATCTGTGTTTTATTTAACAAGTGTTCACTATTTGAACCTTTACCAAAACTTAACATTAAATATTATATTAATCAAAATAATAAAGTAGATACATTAAAGATATTTTTTTAAATTTGTGGCATTTCCCACTTGTTCCAATCTACTCTTAATCTGGTATCAATATACACTGCTCAAAAAAATAAAGGGAACACTTAAACAACACAATGTAACTCCAAGTCAATCACACTTCTGTGAAATCAAACTGTCCACTTAGGAAGCAACACTGAGTGACAATCAATTTCACATGCTGTTGTGCAAATGGGATAGACAACAGGTGGAAATTACAGGCAATTCGCAAGACACCCCCAATAAAGGAGTGGTTCTGCAGGTGGTGACCACAGACCACTTCTCAGTTCCTATGCTTCCTGTCTGATGTTTTGGTCACTTTTGAATGCTGGCAGTGCTTTCACTCTAGTGGTAGCATGAGACAGAGTCTACAACCCACACAAGTGGCTCAGGTAGTGCAGCTCATCCAGGATGGCACATCAATGCGAGCTGTGGCAAGAAGGTTTGCTGTGTCTGTCAGCGGAGTGTCCAGAGCAAGGAGACATGCCAGTACATCAGGAGACGTGGAGGAGGCCGTAGGAGGGCAACAACCCAGCAACAGGACCGCTACGTCCGCCTTTGTGCAAGGAGGAACAGGAGGAGCACTGCCAGAGCCCTGCAAAATGACCTCCAGAAGGCCACAAACGTGCATGTGTCTGCTCAAATGGTCAGAAACAGACCCCATGAGGGTGGTGTGAGGGCCCGACGTCCACAGGTGAGGGTTGTGCTTACAGCCCAACACCGTGCAGGACGTTTGGCATTTGCCAGAGAACACCAAGATTGGCAAATTCGCCACTGGCGCCCTGTGCCCTTTACAGATTAAAGCAGGTTCACACTGAGCACATGTGACAGACGTGACAGAGTCTGGAGACGCCATGGAGAACATTCTGCTGCCTGCAACATTCTCCAGCATGACCGGTTTGGCAGTGGGTCAGTGATGGTGTGGGGTGGAATTTCTTTGGGGGCCACACAACCCTCCATGTGCTCGCCAGAGGTAGCCTGACTGCCATTAGGTACCGAGATAAGTTCCTCAGACCCCTTGTGAGACCACTTGCTGGTGCGGTTGGCCCTGGGTTCCTCCAAATGCAAGACAATGCTAGACCTCATGTGGCTGGAGTGTGTCAGCAGTTCCTGCAAGATGAAGGCATTGATGCTATGGACTGGCCCGACCGTTCCCCAGACCTGAATCCAATTGAGCACATCTGGGACATCATGTCTCACTCCATCCACCAATGTCACGTTGCTCCACAGACTGTCCAGGAGTTGGCAGATGCCTTAGTCCAGGTCTGGGAGGAGCTCCCTCAGGAGACCATCCGCCACCTCATCAGGAGTTTGCACAGGCGTTGTAGGGAGATTATACAGGCACGTGGAGGCCACACACACTACTGAGCCTTTTGACTTGTTTTAAGGACATTACATCAAAGTTGGATCAGCCTGTAGTGTTTTTTTCCACTTTAATTTTGAGTGTGACTTCAAATCCAGACCTCCATGGGTTAAAAAATTTGATTTCCTTTTTTTATTTTTGTGTGATTTTGTTATCAGCACATTCAACTATGTAAAGAACAATGTATTTCAGAAGAATATTTAATTCATTCAGATCTAGGATGTGTTATTTTTGTGTTCCCTTTTTTTTTTTTTTTTTTTTTAGCAGTGTATCATTATAAATTATTCAGAATTTAAGTGCTTCCCTTTAACAAGAGAGGGAAAAAAAGTCCAGTCACTGAAACAACCAAGTTATTATGAGTCATGCAAAAAATAAACATAGTTATTAAAAAAAGTATTACAATACCAAAAATATTCATTTAAGTAAATTAACTATACTTATTTAGAATTTTTCAGCCTTAAAATATTTCAAACTACCTTGTAAAAAAACATCAATAATTTAGTTTGACTTGTTCAAATATTTCACTGCTTCCCTCCATCAAAGAAGGATATAGCATATTGTATAAAAGACAAAAAAGGAACATTATCGTCACCAGAAGTGCAGCTTAATGCAGTGTGCTTCTCTGGCGTTCAGCATCTCCATGCTCTTCGTGGAGATGCTGAACATTCCCTATAGAGATGCATTGAATCCAACGTGTTTAAACCTTTTCAATAAAACTTACACAGTAAATAAAACTAAATAGAATTGAACGTTAACAAAACAAAATCTTGAATGAGTATACGTTATGCTGGAGCCCATATTATCCCTTTAACTCAAACTTTTCAGGAACAGATATATTATTGCATCAAACTGTAGTAGTCATGGTGTCAACTTTGGGTTTATATATTGTTGCTTCTCTTCTTAAAATAGTAGACTGAACAATTTTTATCTGAAACAATTTAGTTATTGATTGTTTTTTTCCCATTTTCCCAAGGGTATTCAAACATTAATATGGACAATGTACTCATTCCCTCATTTGTTGCTGCTGGTGTATTGTTAACAATCATAATTCTACTTTTAATATGCACATGGTAGGTTTTTTGTTTTTTTTCTTTCATAGTTAATATTGTATAAATGGCACTAAGCGAAATATTTCTATTGCATACATATCAGCAAGACAGATTCAGACAGATTTGTTTTTCTCACTTTAGCAGGATATTTCACTGAGTATTTAAAAATGTATGCCAAAATATAAAAAAATGTGAATTTCTTCAACTACACTATTTTTCTAGTACTTTCACCTAAACTGTCCTTGTTAATTCCTGACTGTTCGTGGTTTAGTGAATAACAATGTGAGGTCGCAGTCACAATCTACAACAAAGTCTTTCATATTTTTTACAGATGTTTATTCAGTAAAGTGCTTATTCAAAGTCACGTTATAAAATGCCAACTTTTCAGTTTTTAAAAGTTAATAATAACATCTAATGAAACTATCACAGAGGCAGCCAACTTAGCTTGAGTGACAGTTGATCAGATAACAGTAGAGTCTTACCCAACATGGCTGATTAGTCAAATAAAAAGTGAATTTTTCTAAAAAAATAAATTAAAAATTTTTATGCATCATTAAAAAAGACATCATTAAGTTTTAATAAATGTAGTAAACATTTTTTTTTTTAAATGATAAGTTGACCTTTAAGGCCAGAGTAGTAGAAGTAAAAGCATAGCTGTCTTAGAGAACTTTTCCAGTTTAACATTACAGATCTTAGATTCACTTTGAAATCTTACATTATTAAATAATCCTGTAAATGTTGAAAATTCACATATGTCCAGCACTACTGCACTGTGTCGCAGGTAATCCCTTTATTTGCTGCCAAACCAGACGAATAATGTTTTGACAGAGGTTGTGTGTTTTTAAAATCTCCAGAAGGGAGAGCCATAATAAGTATAAATGAATTCTCACCAAGGTTCCAATTTAATATATCTATAATTCAACATTTACATAGGCTTTTTAAAAGTCCATTGTATAATATATAACAGACTGAAATATCCAGATAGGGACCAGTATATAGAAAGTAAAAATAGATAACATTTAGGGATATTTTTTGTGAACTAAGGATAAGTATTATAAATCTTAGCTTGTTGTTGTCTGTTTTTGGAATCACTAATTTAACTAGGAAAGAGTATTATAGGCAGAGAAATACACCAGATATTTTTACCAAATGTTTTATAACCATGAATTGCAAAATAACATGCAAGATAGCATGAGTGATAACTCGGTTATTGGTTTCTTTCAGGCAGTGGGACAAGTGTTTTCCTACAATTCCAAAGCCAAAGATATATCTTGATATTCAACATACCAATGAACAGAACATGGTAACCTGGTTATTTACATATGTGTTTTTATTAATGGTGAATCAAGATATGATATGCCCAAGGTTATTCTATATATCATTTTATAATCCAGGGTAAGAGTGTAATATGAAACTAGGTACTATGTCTGAAATTGTAATACACAAAATTAGCTGTAAAATGTCCATTAATTTTGAAGATATATAATTTTAGGAAAAATCTTTTTTTTTTTTAATTCTTTATTTTTGTCATGCACAAATTAACAAGTAGCCACAGTACGCCACAACAGTGGTGCAATCGGTATCAAGGTACATAGGAATTCAAGCGGTATCAAGGTACATAGGAATTCAATATGTAATACAAAGTTGGTAGATAGGCACAATTTTTATGTTAATATAAGAGATAGGTATGTCAGAGTAGTGAGTTCAAAACTGGTAAGTGAGTTGAGCCAGCGTGTTAGTGTACTTAGATAAGACATGTCTAGTTAAATATGTGTTATGGAACTTGCACAGGAATTATACGAACAGCGAACCCCATTTAACACATTTGCTAGGCAAGGACAGGTTACTGTACCACTGGTTGCCTACATTGCCCTTCCAGGGCTAAGGAGGGAAAGGTGAGTATGGTGTAGTGAAAAAAGAGTAACATATATGTAAACAGAAAAATCAGGCGTTGAGGTATGTAACCATATGCATTGCCTTGTATGGTGTCAGTTATGTGTGTATAAAGTTGATTGTAACGCCTCACTTGTCTAGTAAGTGCTGAGAGCTAGGAAGTAGTATACGTAGGCAGGGAGTGGGGGGGAGTAAACAGGTGTATGTATTGGTCGGTATATTGCCTGGGGGAGTTATCAAAGAGAAAAGGCTATGATCAGCTAAAATTATAAAATAATACAAGAGAAAACAAGACTTATGCTTTTAAAGTATGTGACTGCTCTCAAGTCGTGGCATTCACATACGAGTCCGACCAGGGCTGTTCGCCGGGTTCCACATATGTGGAGGTTTTGGAGCGGTGGTGGGGGCTTTACTGGTCAGATTTTACTGGTCACGCAGCAACGCTGTTGCACCTTGAAGATCTTGTAGTGAGAAAGTGGAGTCTCCGTGTATGATCAGGAGTGTGCAGGACAGGCACCAGCAGTAGCGTATATATTTCTTTGCTGCAAGAGTGAGGTAAAGGCTTGAGGGACCTCCGCCAGGCCAGGATGCTGTTTGACAGGTCCTGGTAGAAAGCCAGGGTCATGTTCTCAAACTGGTATTGGGATGTCCTCTAGAGGGCTGCAAGGACTGCTGCTTTGTCCGTTCCATTCCGGAAGTGGACCACCAGGGCCGTTGCTTTAGCCGGTTTGGGGATGCGGAAGAGGCCATCCAGAGCTACTGCTTTAGCCTGCCGCGGTGGCAGTAAGGCGACCATAAGTCTCCTCATTAAGTGTGGTAATTTGGCTTCTTGAATGTCCTCTGAGATCCCTCAACATGCGAACAGCTGCTTCAGTAGCTTCGCTCTGCCCAGGAAAAATCTTTTAAAAATGCAAAATTACTTTTCATATAACTTAAGAGTAATTTTGTTACATTAGGAACATAAAACATAGTGTTTATAAAAGTATTATGATATAAAAGTAATTCAGTTTATTCAGTAAATAATAAAATAAATGTGCTTTATGAAACTATTTTTTTTCTTCTTGCAAATGGAACTACAAGGTGAACACATGAACTATAAGCAGGGTGACCAGATTTTGAAAATAAAAAACCGGGACACCCATTAGCGATACAAAAATTGCTAAAAAAAAATAATGTATTCACATAGACTTCTTTAACCTATTCCTGGCCAGAAGTGGCTGTTACAGCTCATCCCCTTCCTGCTACTCAAATTAGTGTCTTTTCATTTACATTTTGTTGGAGCATGATCAGAGCACACACATACCCTAGATCTGGGCCATCTTAACAGCATAATAGGCCCGCGGGGAAAGCTTATATTTATTGGTACCTCCAACAAAAACAATACATACACACAGACTGCTGAGTACACACACAGACAGACTGCTGAATACACAAACAAACACAGAGACAACTGAATACACACACGGACATTAGAATACACACAGACTGCTGGATACACACACACACAGACTGCTGAATACACACACAGACTGCTGAATATATATACACAGAGATTGCTGAATACATACACACAGGCTGCTGAATACATACATACAGACTGCTGAATACACAGACTGTTACACACAGACCGCTAAAAACATACACACAGACTGCTGAATACACAGACACACTGCTGAATAGACACACATAGGCTGCTTAATGCACACATGCAGACTGCTGAATACACACACACAAACACTGCTGAATACACACACACAGACTGTTAAATACACACAAATCCCCAGCTCCCTTCCTCCCTGTACAGCGGCAAACTGCCTTGGGGCCGGTGAGGGAGATCTTTGATCTCCCCACCGGCCCGTGAAGGCAGATAGCAAAGCCTGCTCTGCATGAGGCCAGCAGTGGGGATGAAAGGATCTCCCCTGTCGGCCTCAATATGGGGAAAGGAGCCGGCTCTACAAAACCGGGACACCAAGACAAACAGGGGAAAACCAGGATGATCCCGGTAAAACCGGGACGTCTGGTCACCCTGACTATAAGATATCTCTTTTGACAGTACATGAAATAGGCAGCAATCCTGGCCCTCCCACAGGGCTTGACTGGCCCACCGGGATACTTTAAAATGTCCTGGTTGGCTCCAGAATCTGTCTGAGAGAAATAAGGAGGCAGGTGCTAGGGGCTTGTGCATTAAGGCTGCTGGTGGCAGGAGGAAACAATGTAAGTTTCATTTCACAAATCCCAGCAGCTTTTCTGGGCCTCTTCTGCTCCATCCACACATCTAACCTCCACCCCCAGTCTCAGTCAACTGACCTTGCAGGCAGGAAGAGGCCAGAAAATGGCGACTTCACCTCCCAGTGCTCCCACAGCCTTCAGTGCCAGGTAGGTTTCAAATACTCAGCATGAAGAGTGATTGTGTGTGTTTGCTAGTGTGTGAGCTTGTATGTTTGTGTTAGTGAGCTTGTCTGTAGTGAGCATGTGTATGTGTCAGTCAGTTTGTCTGTTGTGAGCATATCTGTTTGTGTCAGTAAGTTTGTCTGTAGTGAGCATGTGTAAGTGTGTCTGTAGTGAGCATGTCTCTGTCAGTGAGCTTGTCTCTTGTGAGCTTGTGTGTGTTTGTGTTAAATTCTGTTTTATTGGATTATCATTCAAAGTTTCAGAAAGAGTTAACACTTTGCAGCATATTAAAACAACAATAAAGTAAAACATACAGCAGTATTAAACATATGCGGTAATGAAAAGTATAGCACTATACAACATGCGAAAACAGAGCCTAAGTAAGTAATAAAAAACACTTAAACTTTGATGGTATGCGTGAATACTCTCCTGCCTTCAATATGTGCGTAATTCTATCTTACCCCTGAATTTAGTATAATGAAAATAAAGTGTGAGCTAATGTGAATATGTGTAGTAGTATAATGCCATAGGTTGTTGCCGCCTTCTACAATAAGTACATATGTTGTCAAGCAAATATAACAAATTACGATGATTAGTGTCTTAGAACAAAGCCTGGATTCTCATAAGTGGCACAAATGTAAAATGGCATTGTAGGGGTCATTGTTGACACATGTCTCAAAAAAGGGATATATTGGTGTAAAGCATAAAGCAACACAATAAATGAGAACCTGATTGTGCATAATTCGCCTACATACGCCTACAGTACATGGAATAACACAGCATTAGGTAGGTAAGAACAGACGTGTGTTGAAAATGCATCCTGACACTGAGTTAAAAGCAAATTTTTAAAACAGGCAACTAATTATCATAATGACGATGTGGTGAGATCTAGATAAATAGTAAATATAATATGCTGTGGGACATAGGGGCTGAAACATCCACTTATATGTTATTTCAGGGGCATGTTATTGAAATCAATCCATAAACAGGACTAAAAATTATATTATATATGTGGGGCAATCCCACACAAATGGGATCAGAAAAAATGAATACAGCCTACGTGGAGACCCCTAAGGGGAATATATCCTAGTGCCCCCAAGGGTCTTTTACAGAGCAAATACTGCTAGGCAAGCAGAGGAGGTGTCTCTGAATTTCAGGATTGGTTGATGCCCCCAAGGGCGCAGGTCATTTTCCCGCACTTCTCCAGGCCAGACCAAGCCCCCAAATGAGAGTTCCACAGTACAACGGGCAATCGAATATCAGTCTGCAGTCTGCACCCCCCACCTAGAGTCCCTATACCAGCTGCCTCCTGCACCCCTACCGCACCACCTGAGCTCCAGTAGGTCAGGGTGGATGTTGTTGCTTGTCTCTTGCTTCTCCGGCCACTCAGGGTAGGTACCGCCTATCCACTTCCGCAGCCCTACCCCTCAGGGCTCATAGTAATGTAATGTAATATTCTGTAGGCTCCACAGCACAGCAGGGCACTGTCCCAGAGCTGCTACATCGGACATCAGTCCCCAAGGGCATCATATGCGCGCCTTCTCTCTTCTGGCTGTCAGCAGATGAGAGGGGGCGGGCAAAGACCGCGAGCTGTCAGTCAGCTCAGCTCGCGGCCTCGCACACCGCGCTCATGCACGGTAGTGCGCTCAGAACTTCAGAGGGCGGCATTCATGTATGTGCGCATATGTGGCGAAGTCATGCATGCGCACAAGGGAGCAATGACGCTTCCAAATGGAAGCGTCTGATTGCTCCCTGCTCGCGCCCGCCTATTTCATCGAAATTGGGGGCGCGGCTTCACAAGGCTCCCAGCGCTGGAACAAGGTGAGTAAAATTATTTGCTGTCCACTAGGTGGGTTCAGTAGCTGCTCTGATTTGTCTGCTACCTGATTCCTTTATCTGTATTCCCTGCCACTCCGCAGCAGTGTGCAGAAGTGTCCTCGCAAACCTCTCCTGTCCGCTGGTGTGTTGCTCCTCCGGAGTACGGATCAGGTGACATGTGTACCATGACCCCCATGCTGCTCCAGGATTCTATTTAAACTCTTAGAATCCTGTGCACCCTTGTATAAGTTACCTGGAGGCAGTGTGGAGGTCAGTGAGTATACAAACGGACATAGCATCCCGCCCACATAGGGGATTTGTCTCACCTGACCACTGGTTACCCTGTTTCCTTATATACGTCCTTAGACCCCTCCTCTTGGGAGGGCCCTTACTCCCTTTCCCCTATGAAAGCACAGAACACCCTTGGTTCTGTGCTCAGTTGTTTTGTTCATCCCTAGAAGTCAAGCGCCATCTCCGAAGGCATATTGCCTACCTTTGTTTATGGAAAACCCTTGCTGTGTATCCTATATTCCTGTTTCCTGCTGATTCCCTTTTAAAATAACTTTTGTATATTTGACTTTGCATTAGATTAACCCTTGCAATGCTGATTCCCCTTTAAGGGTCTTTTGCATATTTGACCTTGCATTAGATTAACCCTTGCTACACTTATTCTCCTTTGGACTGCCTTACCTAGTGAAATAACTCTGGTAAAGGACTCTGTTTTCTTTAAGAACATTTATTTGCACATTGAAACAATTACTTTACTGTTCCTTTATTTTCTACATATGAAACCTGCATTTACGTTACAAATAAAAGACCTGTTAATTTGGTGACTGTGCTCGCCTCCATCTTTGCATCCTGAGCCCATTCACCCAACCCGTGACATGAGCTTTTCTGTAGTGAACATATATGTGTGTGTCAGTGAGCTTGTCTGTAGTGAGCTTGTGTGTGTTAAGGAGCTTGTCTGCAGTGTGCATGTGTGCCAGTAAACTTGTCTGAAATGAGCATGTGTGAATCAGTGAGCTAGGCACATTTGTGAGTTTTAGAGCAAGGGGCATTGTACTACCCAGATTAGTAATCACAGCCTTAATATAAGCATGTCGCTGAAAGATTTTCCCATGACAAGAAGCCCAAACCCTTTCCCCAAGAATACCCATTCAAATTCTCAAAGAAGACACTGAAAGAACTTCACCTATTGTCACTAAGACAGTGAAGGAAAGCCACGAAAGGCAGGATGAAAGTAAGTCCTCTAGGAAACCATTTCCAACCCCATGAACTCCTTGGGCAAACCCTGAACCATATAGAACAAAACCAAATAAATATTTCTTCAGTCAGAGCTTCAATTAATCCACTTTCTTCCTGGAAGGCAAAAACAGAATTGAGACTTCAGGTGGGGGGCTAACAATAGAAGAGCATGGCATTTGAAGTGTTATTGTCTCCTTTGTTTGAGATAAATGTCATCCCTTATGCCATTACTTATGGGTTTTCACCATCTTAGGAACAAAACAAATATCCTAGACGTTACATTTTTGTTATCCATATGTACTAATTGAGTTATTTCCATGCACTTGCGAGTGTTTTGAATTGTAAGTTTCATTAATAATTTCAATCGGTTTTTTTCTTGTAGAATTTGTTGGTTAAGAAAACCTATTTTTTCCTTATCACGTCACTGAATATAGCCTTGGTACATTTATCTTCAATCTTTTTCTCTGCTCTGTCAAAGTTTATTTAGGAGATTCCAACACTTCTCAATATCGAGTCATACCCTTTTTTATAGATTATTGGTATTCTGAAACAATATACATGAATCATTTATCAAATGTTTTATATTTTTTTCCCTAGGCAAACGAAGGTGAGAACCATATATTAAGTGATGGATCAGTCACCACCCTAATTGAAGATATCAACTGATGGAGCTCTTTCAAGCCATTATTATATATTCTATTATATATAGATATATAGATATATACACACACACACACACCAACAACAAACTGATCTTATGCTGCCTGTGGTGACAATGAGCAAAATTATGCACAAACAAATTGTTTAGCAAAAAAAATAAAAATAAATTACATTTAGTGGTAGGATGTGATGAGAGATACATTATCTATGGGAACTTATCCTAGAATTGGACTTGGAAAGCTGGCACCCCAGTTTAGGTGACCATTTAAATTTGTGGCATTAGGGGGACACTGTCATAGCCTTAAGCGATTGTTCATGTTTACACGGGACAGGTTCAGTGACTACATTTTCCAGTCTGAATCCATGAGGTACTCATGTAAGCCACTAGTTCACTTATGTGATAATATTTGCTCCCTACTCTCCTTATTTATGTGAAATCACGCTAGAGATTACATATGTGCTCAACTTGATGTTTCACTGATTTGTTTGCATTATTTATTTCTTTCATTTGCTTAAATGTACTTACTTACATGGTATATATTATCTGCTCTCATGCCTGGCCCTGCGTGGATCCATTTTATTGTCTCTGGTCATGGGACCTGTGTGTCTGCTGCCTTGTATGTGCTCTTTCTATACTTGCCAATGCCTCAATAAACACTTTGATTAGAAAAAAGAAAAAGTCTCAAAACACTAATAAGTATACCGTAACAAAGAGTTACTCCAACACTTATATTTGTATTTTAAATGAATAATGCCCTGTTGGGCTTTTAATTGGACTGTTTAGCTGGCAAGTGGAGAGGGAGAGTGAGTGAAGAGGATAAAAATAGAATTTAAATAAACTGTAGGGATAGGGAGTGAAGACACAAGCTTTGTGTGCCTGTAAGGGGAGGATCAGATTACATATGGTGCAAGAGAGCAGTGTGCACTGATGACAAATGTTGTACCTTATCAAGCATCCCCATTTAGGGTAACTGTATTTTAGTCAAATGACAGTTTAGTGAATCTCTCATTTGATGCAATTCTTAATCAGAGACCAGACTCCATGTAACTAGAAGGATGGCTAATTAGTTATCTATCCTTACATATTTTCTGTGTAAGGATTACTGGGCTCCACTTTAACCTTAAAAGCTACCCATAATCTAATGAGCCAATAATCTGTTTCAGTGTTCATTTTGGCAATGAAAAAATAAAGCCTGTAAACCACTGAATAAGTAACAGAAGTAAGATTACCCTGTTGCTAAATTGTACCCCTTTCCCCACATCTGACTGCTGTCAGTCTACCTCAGGATGGATACATACACCCTGTTCAAAATTATTATGCAAATTCTATTTAAGTGTCACAAAGATTAAATATTTCGTTTTTCAGTTTAACCCCTTCAGGACGGAGTAAATAGTACATGTTCTGATCAAAACAAAACGTAAACAAAAACTGGAATTTGCGCTATATGTCTGTTCAACCGTAATTCACCGCTGTCACATTAAGTGCACCCACACTTATTATATATCATTTTGTTCAGGAGAAACAGGGCTTTAATTTATCATTAACTATTCATATATGGAACATAATTTATTATGAATACAATTTAAAAAAATATGAGAAAATAAGATTTTTTTTAAATTTGTATTTCCGTCTGACATTTTAGCTGTGAATGTCATAATACTGTTAGGTTTTACTGCAAAAAAATGCACATATTTGTAATCAGCGATGTCTCACGAGTACAACAATACCCCCCATTAACAGGTTTTATGGTGTTTTGGAAAGTTACAGGGTCAAATATAGAACATTCCATTTTCAAATTGAAATTTGCCTGATTAGTAATGTTACCTTTGAGATGGTGTGGTAGCCCAGGAATGAGAATTACCCCCATAATGGCATACCATTTGAAAAAGTAGACAACCCAAGGTATTGAAAGTGGGGTATGTTTAGTCTTTTTTAGTAGCCACTTAGTCACAAACACTGGCCAAAGTTAGCGTTCATATTTGTTTTTGTGTGAAAAAAGCAAAAAACAAATATTTGGCCAGTGTTTGTGACTAAGTGGCTACTAAGAAAGACTGGACATACCCCACTTGCAATACCTTGGGTTGTCTTCTTTTGCAAGTGGTATGCCATCATGGGGGTAATTCTCATTCCTGGGCTACCATACGCTCTCAAAGGCAACATAACCAATCTGGCAAATTTCAATGTCAAAAAAATGAAATGCATGCCTTATATGTGACTCTCTAACTTTCCAAAACACCATAAAACCTGTACATGGGGGTACTGTTATTCTCGGGGGACTTCACTAAACACAAATATTAGTGTTTTAAAACAGTAAAATATATTACAACAATAATATAGTCCATAAAAGTGCCGTTCGTTTGTAAAAAATGCAAAAAACATCACTTTTACTTAAAATATCATCGTTGTAATACAATTTACCAGTTTGAAACACTAATATTTGAGTTCAGCGAAGTTTCCTGAGTAAAACAGTACCCCCTATGTACAGGTTTTATGGTGTCTTGGAGAGTTACAGGGTCAAATATAGTGCTTGCGAATTAAATTCTCTGCACTTTCTCCCTGTGTTGTCAGGCATGTCAATCAAATTTTAATTAATCAAATCACATAATTATGTTAAAAGATTACTTAAATATACATGTAGAATTTTAATATACAGTTGCAAGAAAAAGTATGTGAACCCTTTGGAATGATATGGATTTCTGCACAAATTGGTCATAAAATGTGATCTGATCATCATCTAAGTCACAACAATAGACAATCACAGTCTGCTTAAACTAATATCACACAAAGAATGAAATGTTGCCATGTTTTTATTGAACACACCATGTAAACATTCACAGTGCAGGTGGAAAAAGTATGTGAACCCTTGGATTTAATAACTGGTTGAACCTCCTTTGGCAGCAATAACTTCAACCAAACGTTTCCTGTAGTTGCAGATCAGACGTGCACAACGGTCAGGAGTAATTCTTGACCATTCCTCTTTACAGAACTGTTTCAGTTCAGCAATATTCTTGGGATGTCTGGTGTGAATCGCTTTCTTGAGGTCATGCCACAGCATCTCAATCGGGTTGAGGTCAGGACTCTGACTGGGCCACTTCAGAAGGCGTATTTTCTTATGTTTAAGCCATTCTGTTGTTGATTTACTTCTATGCTTTGGGTCATTGTCCTGTTGCAAAACCCTTCTTCTGTTAAGCTTCAGCTGGTAGACAGATGGCCTTAAGTTCTCCTGCAAAATGTCTTGATAAACTTGGGAATTCATTTTTCCTTCGATGATAGCAATCCGTCCAGGCCCTGGCGCAGCAAAGCAGCCCCAAACCATGATGCCCCCACCACCATACTTCACAGTTGGGATGAGGTTTTGATGTTGGTGTGCTGTGCCTTTTTTTCGCCACACATAGTGTTGTGTGTTTCTTCCAAACAACTCAACTTTGGTTTCATCTGTCCACAGACTATTTTGCCAGTACTGCTGTGGAACATCCAGGTGCTCTTGTGCAAACTGTAAACGTGCAGCAATGTTTTGTTTGGACAGCAGTGGCTTCCTCTGTGGTATCCTCCCATGAAATCCATTCTTGTTTAGTGTTTTACATATTGTAGATTCGCTAACAGGGATGTTAGCATTTGCCAGTGAATTTTGTAAGTCTTTAAGTGACACTCTAGGAGTCTTCTTCACCTCACTGAGCAGTCCGCACTGTGCTCTTGCAGTCATCTTTACAGTATGGCCAATCCTAGGGAGAATAGCAGCAGTGCTGAACTTTCTCCATTTATAGAAAATTTGTCTTACCGTGGACTGATAAACAGCAAGGCTTTTGGAGATACTTTTATAACCCTTTCCAGCATTATGCAAGTCAACAATTCTTAATCGTTGGTCTTCTGAGAGCTCTTTTGTGCTTGGCATCATTCACATCAGGCAATGCTTCTTGTGAAAAGCAAACCCAGGACTGGTGTGTGTTTTTTATAGGGCAGGGCAGCTGTAACCAACACCTCCAATCTCATCTCATTGACTGGACTCCAGTTGGCTGACATCTCACTCCAAATAGCTCTTGGAGATGTCATTAGTCTAAGGGTTCACATACTTTTTCCACCTGCACTGTGAATGTTTACATGGTGTGTTCAATAAAAACATGGCACCATTTCATTCTTTGTGTGTTATCAGTTTAAGCAGACTGTGATTGTCTATTGTTGTGACTTAGATGATGATCAGATCACATTTTATGACCAATTTGTGCAGAAATCCATATCATTCCAAAGGGTTCACATACTTTTTCTTGCAACTGTGTATATATATATATATATATATATATATATATATATATATATATATATATATATGTATATATATATACACACACACATCTACAGATTTATATATATATATATAAAGATAAATAGGGGCTGAACCACAGGGAGTAATGGAATTTAGTCAATGGCAGGAAGTCAAGAGGTATAAAAGAAAACCTTTAGGTTCACACCAGATGGTGTCTTTATGGTATATTCAACGGGAGATGTGAATTCTTAAAGCTTGGGAATGATGTCCTTAATCAGTCTCTCCAATATTCAGTCATATGAAACGGAGAGAAGAGAGAAAGGACCTAGTAGTGCAATATGGATCATATAAAGTGGTTATGGTGGAATAATAATAATAATGCACTCACATTTGTCGGAGCTATAACTAGCTCTAACATCTAGCGCTTGTAGTGGTAGAATCCCAACTTCGGGATATACTGTAGGAATCCTCAGTCTTTGGGTGAGCTCAAGCTCAAACGACAACAAATTTTGGGGGGCAACAATAGTGCTCTCAATAAGATATAAACCAAGTGTAAAAAGATATATAAATTATACTCACACACAACGTAGAGCAGGCTGACTTTTCTGTGGTATCGGCTCTGGTGATATGATCCCCACCTCGGATTTCTTTAGAGTGGTGGTTAAAAAGCCATGTAACAAAAATTTTCTTTTTAAATTGCTTTTGAATAATTAAAGGAAATTGGCACAAACCTAGGTATATTTGTCCAAAATAATTCCTTTATTTAAATACAAAATAAAACATTCAATAACGCGTTTTGCCGTTGTGGCTTTTTCAAATGGGGTAAAAAAACATGCATCCTGGCTGCAAATAGAGATATGGTAATTTAAAATTGGTGCCAAAAATCAGTCATTGGCTGTTGTCTAATAAAATACAATCTCTTTTTGTAAGGTAAAAGTCTGAAAATAATACATATAATATGATACACCATTTGACGGGAGGTGAAGGTATATGACTATATTGTATAAACCAAGTGTATTAAGTATAATAGCGGCTTCTAAAGCCGGGACATGTGACCCGCATCATAGTATTGGCCGCTAAGCCTTCATGGAGTTGTAGTTTTCAATATGATGTATGCGATGTTGGCAAAATTATCGTACTGCCCGACCTCAAAATAGAGCTGTCAGCATTTGATTAGTGTATTGTTTAGGAAGATGACAGGATGAGAATAAAAGATCATAAAAAATAATAAAGTTATAAGAAAAAATTAAAAAGGTCAAACTCTGTGTTAAGACCATAGGGTGTCAGGGTTTGTAAATTAAACACCCACTCCATCTCTGATTTCCCAAAGATATTTTTTTATGTTGTCCCCTCTCCAGGGGATGGTAAAAAAAAAATTATTCCGATACATTTTAAAAAGTTGGGATCCTTATTGTGAATGAGGAAATGTTTGGATACAGAGTGGTTTGGATATCTTTTACTAATATTCCTGCAGTGCTCACCTAATCTAATTTTTAGGCTCCTTGTGGTCATTCCGACATACTGTTGACCACAGGGGCACTCAAGTAAATAAATCACGTTTTTTTGTATTACAGCTAATAAAATCATTTATAATGTATGTTTTATTGGTTCTTTTTTAAATAAAATGGGTAGTTTTGGACAGTACAGCGGGGTCAGTGTTTTTACAAACAGTGCAGCATTTACACTTGCCTACTGTATTGTCTCTAGTATAATTTTTTAGTTAAAATAGATTTGAGATTTGGGGCTCCTCTAAAAACAATCTTAGGTCGGATGGGTATAACATCTTTATTAATGTTTATTAATTGTTCTCTTTATATGACCATATTTGTTATTAAAATTGAAAATAATAGAAAAGGTCCGGAAACCTGACTTCTGTTTATCCTTGTATGTTAAAAGGTCTTCTCTTTTTTTGTTTTGTAGTTATCTCAATTGTGTTGTCAAGGTTGGTTAGTGAGTAGTTTTTCTCAATTAATTTCTGTTTAATAAAATTAGCTTGTTCTTTAAAATCATCTATACCAGTACAGTTCCTGCGTAAATGTAGAACTGACTTTTTAGGGCACTTTGTAGCCAATGGCAGCTAGACTGGTCAATAGCAGTATTAGTGCACACTTTCTTAAAGAAAGTTTTTGTGTTGACTTTACCATTTTTAATAAAAATGTTTAAATCTGGGGGTGGGGCCTGACAGCTGAGCTGAGCAGACGCAGACAGCAAGAGTTCCCGTGGCAAATGACGTGTTTAAGCGACATTTACACGGATCCACGCTGCACCCGGACACCCACGGGCTGTCATACAACGAAGTCGTGACAAACCACAAGATACCAAACATGGGGATACTTCACCCAAATCTGACTCCAACATGTAGCCTACACTCCCAGACTGCGCGGGAGAGACGGCCGCTCTCCCGCCGTCTCCATACTCAGCTAACATCAACCAATGCCCACGTTCCCCCTCTCCCCCTGGACTGAAGGGGGTTATCCCGGTCCACACCGAGCTGGCTCACAATCAGCTGCAGACCTCGCGGCCTCCTGCAACCAGAGTCCCACATACAAGATGGCGGACAATGGCCACACAGACTTGCATGAGCGGCTGGACGCTCTTTTCCGCCGCTTCTGGGAACAGCTGGAGCAACGTGCCGCCCAACTACCTCCTACACAGAGCAGAGATGCGGAGGGGCGCGGGATCACAGGGCGAAGCGACACATCAAGCCACCACCACGTGCACTAAGAGCCCATCCAGGCCAAAGGTCATGAGGAAACCTCCTTCGAGGCATCGACCACAACGCTGGAAGGCCACACGCCGCTGGCGGCAGACGTCCACCAGGCCTTATCGCAGAGCACAAAATGGGAGTGACCGGGCCTCATTGAGTCCCCGAGTCAGTGGCCCGAAGGATGCTGACCTTACATGGAGCCTGGAGCTGGGGCAGGACCTCCCGCCAAGCGCGACTCCTATCACCACACCGAAGCCCTCAGGTACCTACCACCACGATGCCCAGCAGAGGAATCGGCTGACACATGGCTCGAAGCCTAAGCTCCTCACGCCATACAAGAGGGCCCACACGATGGAGGAGGTGTACCATCCCGCTCCCTGAGCACCCGACCACTTATGGACGATGAGCTGCTACTTTGCCTGCCAAGAGACTTGTCAGTTCGGACTCACTGTCGCAAGTAATCTTACAGTTAAATTGCATAGCTCAGCACGGTTCATCGAAAGACTGTCCAATTAGTGGGCCTAACAGCAGCATATTATGCACTACTCCTATCTCCCATCTCAAGATAACCACTTATGCCTATTGTGGGGATATTTATGGGATGATAATTTTAAGCAGTCGAGAATTGCCCACTATTTCAATTCTCTTAGATCTTAGAGATCGTTTATCATGTAAGTGAAAAGTATTCCATAAATAATTCACAATCTGTTATAAAAATAGATTTATTTTTATTGTAGCAAATTAATTAACAATATTATTAGGCAACATGCATGATAATAATCAGTGAATATTTAGTATAACATAGTATACAATACAATGGAATGGCTATACACGGTTCCAAAGGCTAAACAGCACCAGCTGTCACTTACACGATTTATGAGGTATCCTTACAGACACAGAAAGAAGAGCCATAAAACCCTGGCTAACAGTTAGATCAACTGAATAACCCTTTCAATGCTGGCTAGATCCTCCTAGGCATATAGTATCCTATTCTCCTGTGATTTTCAATTGAAATAACATTTGTACCAACTCATTAGTCATTTCCTGTAACCATCCAATATGAATAATCTACCAGATTTTTACAAAAACAAAACCGAATTTTAATTTGGTTAAACAGATATCTTATCTTATATTAGAGCAAATCAATACACCTGGATAAAAACAGTGGTATGCTAACACGTGATACTATCACATTAATATATAATTATTCTTAAGTCCACCTGCAGAATGGAATGTTTATAACTATATATTCTTTAGTTAACTAAGATTTCTAAATATGGAAATCTGAACGTGACTTATCCAGTCATATATCATGCTATTAGTAAATTTAAATTAATTTAAATTAAATAAACCAGCATAGTTACCAGTTATGTAGATATTCTCATCAGATGAGTAGGTAGTCCCAGAAACTTGATTGGTTGTATGGAGGTGCGTGAGTGATAGAAAAAGTATTAAAGAGTTTAAGAGTTTATGTCCAAGAGAGTTTAAGGGTAGAGTGTTAGTCCCAGATATTGTCCTGGATTTCTCTGCATGTCCGACTTGGATTCCCCAAACTTCAATTCATCTCTCTCTGTCTCCAACTCCAACCACCCTGTCTTCCCTTTGGCCTAACTTTTAAAGGGCCAGACTCTCTGTACGTCATTAGTTGATAAACCAATAGGCAGCCGTAGGTGTGTCCAATCGATGGATCGCAATTTAGGTATTTGATCCATAGATGGCAGTCTCGTCTAACGAAACCTTCCTATCCAGGAAAGAGTTCACTTTTCCTGATGACGATTTTGACGTCATTTGGCTTATCTAAAATGACTACCATAATTTAGATTTGCTGTCAGTTCAAAGCGTTTGTGCCAGTCTTTATGGCATCTACTTTGATCATAACTTGTAAAATTGACAGTTCTAAACTCAATTTCACCTCTTATTTTACAATGGAACCTTGTAAAATTTAGAAAGTAAAATTAATTACTTAATCTTCTCTGTCACTAGTGTCTGTGTTTAGATAATGCATCTATTCCATTAACATTTTAGACAGTGCGTTCCATCCCCCTTGTTTCATTGCTTATCTTGGTTTGTTTATGTAATACATTCCTCAGCTCAAGCAAGTGGCTAGTTACAGAAGTAAGAAGAAATCAAGGAAATTATGTGTTTTTGTTATCGTGAAGATAGCAAAATGGAGTCCGCTTTGTTCTGAGTGGCTGTGGCAATATTTTTAATAGCAGTATTAGTGCACACTTTCTTAAAGAAAGTTTTTGTGTTGACTTTACCATTTTTAATAAAAATGTTTAAATCTGGGGGTGGGGCCTGACAGCTGAGCTGAGCAGACGCAGACAGCAAGAGTTCCCGTGGCAAATGACGTGTTTAAGCGACATTTACACGGATCCACGCTGCACCCGGACACCCACGGGCTGTCATACAACGAAGTCGTGACAAACCACAAGATACCAAACATGGGGATACTTCACCCAAATCTGACTCCAACATGTAGCCTACACTCCCAGACTGCGCGGGAGAGACGGCCGCTCTCCCGCCGTCTCCATACTCAGCTAACATCAACCAATGCCCACGTTCCCCCTCCCCCCCTGGACTGAAGGGGGTTATCCCGGTCCACACCGAGCTGGCTCACAATCAGCTGCAGACCTCGCGGCCTCCTGCAACCAGAGTCCCACATACAAGATGGCGGACAATGGCCACACAGACTTGCATGAGCGGCTGGACGCTCTTTTCCGCCGCTTCTGGGAACAGCTGGAGCAACGTGCCGCCCAACTACCTCCTACACAGAGCAGAGATGCGGAGGGGCGCGGGATCACAGGGCGAAGCGACACATCAAGCCACCACCACGTGCACTAAGAGCCCATCCAGGCCAAAGGTCATGAGGAAACCTCCTTCGAGGCATCGACCACAACGCTGGAAGGCCACACGCCGCTGGCGGCAGACGTCCACCAGGCCTTATCGCAGAGCACAAAATGGGAGTGACCGGGCCTCATTGAGTCCCCGAGTCAGTGGCCCGAAGGATGCTGACCTTACATGGAGCCTGGAGCTGGGGCAGGACCTCCCGCCAAGCGCGACTCCTATCACCACACCGAAGCCCTCAGGTACCTACCACCACGATGCCCAGCAGAGGAATCGGCTGACACATGGCTCGAAGCCTAAGCTCCTCACGCCATACAAGAGGGCCCACACGATGGAGGAGGTGTACCATCCCGCTCCCTGAGCACCCGACCACTTATGGACGATGAGCTGCTACTTTGCCTGCCAAGAGACTTGTCAGTTCGGACTCACTGTCGCAAGTAATCTTACAGTTAAATTGCATAGCTCAGCACGGTTCATCGAAAGACTGTCCAATTAGTGGGCCTAACAGCAGCATATTATGCACTACTCCTATCTCCCATCTCAAGATAACCACTTATGCCTATTGTGGGGATATTTATGGGATGATAATTTTAAGCAGTCGAGAATTGCCCACTATTTCAATTCTCTTAGATCTTAGAGATCGTTTATCATGTAAGTGAAAAGTATTCCATAAATAATTCACAATCTGTTATAAAAATAGATTTATTTTTATTGTAGCAAATTAATTAACAATATTATTAGGCAACATGCATGATAATAATCAGTGAATATTTAGTATAACATAGTATACAATACAATGGAATGGCTATACACGGTTCCAAAGGCTAAACAGCACCAGCTGTCACTTACACGATTTATGAGGTATCCTTACAGACACAGAAAGAAGAGCCATAAAACCCTGGCTAACAGTTAGATCAACTGAATAACCCTTTCAATGCTGGCTAGATCCTCCTAGGCATATAGTATCCTATTCTCCTGTGATTTTCAATTGAAATAACATTTGTACCAACTCATTAGTCATTTCCTGTAACCATCCAATATGAATAATCTACCAGATTTTTACAAAAACAAAACCGAATTTTAATTTGGTTAAACAGATATCTTATCTTATATTAGAGCAAATCAATACACCTGGATAAAAACAGTGGTATGCTAACACGTGATACTATCACATTAATATATAATTATTCTTAAGTCCACCTGCAGAATGGAATGTTTATAACTATATATTCTTTAGTTAACTAAGATTTCTAAATATGGAAATCTGAACGTGACTTATCCAGTCATATATCATGCTATTAGTAAATTTAAATTAATTTAAATTAAATAAACCAGCATAGTTACCAGTTATGTAGATATTCTCATCAGATGAGTAGGTAGTCCCAGAAACTTGATTGGTTGTATGGAGGTGCGTGAGTGATAGAAAAAGTATTAAAGAGTTTAAGAGTTTATGTCCAAGAGAGTTTAAGGGTAGAGTGTTAGTCCCAGATATTGTCCTGGATTTCTCTGCATGTCCGACTTGGATTCCCCAAACTTCAATTCATCTCTCTCTGTCTCCAACTCCAACCACCCTGTCTTCCCTTTGGCCTAACTTTTAAAGGGCCAGACTCTCTGTACGTCATTAGTTGATAAACCAATAGGCAGCCGTAGGTGTGTCCAATCGATGGATCGCAATTTAGGTATTTGATCCATAGATGGCAGTCTCGTCTAACGAAACCTTACTATCCAGGAAAGAGTTCACTTTTCCTGATGACGATTTTGACGTCATTTGGCTTATCTAAAATGACTACCATAATTTAGATTTGCTGTCAGTTCAAAGCGTTTGTGCCAGTCTTTATGGCATCTACTTTGATCATAACTTGTAAAATTGACAGTTCTAAACTCAATTTCACCTCTTATTTTACAATGGAACCTTGTAAAATTTAGAAAGTAAAATTAATTACTTAATCTTCTCTGTCACTAGTGTCTGTGTTTAGATAATGCATCTATTCCATTAACATTTTAGACAGTGCGTTCCATCCCCCTTGTTTCATTGCTTATCTTGGTTTGTTTATGTAATACATTCCTCAGCTCAAGCAAGTGGCTAGTTACAGAAGTAAGAAGAAATCAAGGAAATTATGTGTTTTTGTTATCGTGAAGATAGCAAAATGGAGTCCGCTTTGTTCTGAGTGGCTGTGGCAATATTTTTAATATATTTAATTTCTTTTTGGCACAAAATGTCTGTTGATATAAATATTCTGACACTATACCTGGAGTAGCTCCACGGGGGAGGGAGGTGGCGGGGACTGTGGCAGTATATATAGCTAACTAGTCTTACTACCAGTTCGGTTTTCCTTGTTTGTTTCACTCATGTATATTCAGCCTGAGATACTTTCATTTCTGTGTATGCTGGCTCTAAGACACGCTCAGGCATAGCAGGCTCAATTTAGCCATTACTTTTTGTTTCATTAATCGTTATGTTTATGCAACTTCACATATGATGAGACAGATAATATCGAAGTACACATGCCTACTTTGATCTCACCTTGATAACGCATACACTGAATTATTAACACACTAGAGAGTTCAGACGCATCACCAAAGAATGTTACAAGTTTGTTTACTTAATATAAAATGAAGCAGCCATTTCTAAGAAATGTTGAACTTTGTTATGATGTCCCTACCTTGTATGTTTATTGCCTTTCACCCTCTCTTTATTCTGTCCCACCATAAACAAATGCATCAATAAAAGAAAGATTGAAAAAAAAAAAAAAAAATGTAAATCTCAAAAATGAATAGACCCGCTACTGTACTCACATGTTAAAAAAATTCCTGTTATTGTTATTCAGATGATTAATAACAGCATTTGGAGAATCGTCTGAGTATCCCCATATAGATCATCTATGTATCTAAAGTACGAAACCAGATTTGCCCACCAGGTATGTCCACCCCAAATGGCTTGGGATTCCCAATCTGACATAAAAAGGTTTTCATTGCTAGGGCAAACCTGGTCCCCATTATCGCGCCCCTTTTTTGAAAGTAAAAATAATCTAAAAACCAAAAGTAATTATTTGTTAAAATAATGTTAATACCCTGTAAGATAAAATCAATCTGGGCGCTTGGGATTCTTTTTTTATTTATATAAAATCTATTTTACAGCTTGACAACCTATGTTATGCGGGATTATGGTGTATAGCGATGTTACAGGTTACTAAAATATAATTTGGCTGCCATTTAAAATTATTTAAAAATCTTAAAAGTGACATGGAGTCTTTCAGGATCTCATTTCCTTAATAGATGGTTGTAAAAGTATGTCTATATACTGTGAAATGTTACATAACAGGAAATCCCTGACACAATGGGTCTGCCGGAGGCAGCAAATAAATAACTGGAGTTTTGGGGAATTTTACGTTAAGATAATTAAATTCTAGTTTTGTTAAAATCTTGGATTCTAGACCTTTATTTAAAAAAGTAGATAAAATATTTTGCATTTTTTAAAATGGGGTCTGAGGAGAGTTTTTCATATACTTCAGTATAATTAAGTTGCCTATTAGCTTCTTCTATATACATCTCACTGGATAGTATAACTATCCCTCTGCCCTTGTCTGCTGGTTTAATGACTATATTTCTATCTTCTTTTAGTGGTTTAATTGCCTTTCTGCTTGTGATAGGTTCTGGGAGAGGGGGGGGTTATATTTCATGTGTTGAATTTTTTATGTTCAAAGGATGAGAGGAATCTCCTATGTTGTGGTTGCTGTCTACCCTGATCCATTTCTTGTGTACATATATATATGTATTTTAATGCCATGGGGCTCTGAAGTGTGATATTCATTGCATATGACTCCGTAACACAACGTGCACAGGATGGCAAGAATGTATAAACTATGCCCAATATGCTGTACTGTGGGAAATTAACTTGGGTGTTATATAAATATTTGCAAGGTGGATACATTTTTAGAATATATACTTATGCATAGTATAGGCACATGTCAAACTTGCACCTTTTTTTTTTTAGATTTAGTTGTATTGTTTTATCTGTATTAAAAGGTGGAAAAGGGTTAGGATATGGAATGAATAAGACATTCTACTTGCACTAGACCAGACTATAGAAGGACAGATTAAATCACATGACTAAATGGGCAGTATAAAAGTTAAAGAAACACAGCAGGCATCATGACAACTATCACATGCTATACTAGTTGTAGAGCCAGGAGTGCCCTAACACAATCGCAAAATGAAATGAAAGCTGCTCTTAGCCAGTTAGAGTAGTCTTGCATGGCCCTGCTTTGGTCTACAGCTTCTTCTGCTGGAGAAGGACGGATGCAAAAGATGCATTCATAGGTGCCTGAATGGGACACATAAGTTGTCAGATCGTGCACATGGCACTATAACCACTATGGTAGGCTGTACTGGTTATAGTCCTTTTAGCGTTTTTGTGTAAAAATATAGCACAATAAATAGTTACTCATGAACCATGTTACCTTTATATTCACACCTTAAAAGGAAGAAAAAAAAAAGACCTTTTATTTAAAATACTTATTTTGTGGAAATGGGTTTAATTTACATGCACCTCATATTTGTTGTTACAAATATTCATCACAAAAAGAAAGCTTGTGAATTAAAAGCTTTATTTTAATGTTGGTTCCTTATTATTCTGAAAAAAATAAAAAATTAATTATCTCTTCGTAGCCAAAATGGTATCCAACAGGTTCTCTGTAATTTTTATTTGCACGCTATTAAATCCAAAATTTTCAAGGAGTTTGCAGTATTCCATGCTACTTCTCTCCTTTCCTTCATTCATTGAGAGAGACTGCAATAAAGCTCTTGGTTTCTTTTTTTCTTCATCAAGAACAATTTCAGCCACCAGTAAAGCACCCCGCCCTGCAATGACCAAAGACAACAGACACATTGTTATTTAAAACAATTATGAACAAGCTATATACACACATACACACACACACACACAAACATACATACATATATATAAAACTTACATGGAGTCACTCGCTAAGTATGAATTATCAGGAATTCAAATTGTATTTCAAATTTTAGGTCAAAATAATCAAATGAAAACCAGAGATATACAGTTTGTCTGTTTTGGGCTATAATTTCAACTTCATTTAGAATTTCATTAAAAAAAAATATATAAGTTTGTGAATAATCCTGAAAGTGTAACTGAGGGTCATTTAGGGGGATATATCAAAACATTTACGTTCCTTTAAGTTAGCACTCTATAAAAAGTTTCTTAAACATCCAGTAGATTATACATTGAATATTTTTTCTGGAGTATGAACTCATTTCTGCAACTGTAAACCATCCCCTTTATGTTCAGCACAGACTTTCCTATCTGTGCTGGACAATATTCATTCGACTTTTCACTGAGAAATCTTGCACACAAATTGCCTGCAAATTATACAGCTCATGTTTTATAGCAAATGTTTGAAAAGGCAAGTGCGGACATTGGTACAGTCCCTACCTTCCACTTTGAACTACAAATCGGAGCAACGGATGCAGGAAACCCTCTCTGAGGGAGGGAGTTGCATACCGTGCACAGAGTGAGGAACATTTACACAAAAAAGTTAGGAGCTGCAAAACAAAACTGTGTGCATTTATTTTTTACTGAACGATAACTAAATGCATAATGCTAATAATCATTTAGCCGATCTATGAAACAACCACAAAACAGTATTTCCGGTAAATAAGCCACTAAAAGAATAGTGATAAATAATATTAAATCCTTAAGGACCAAATATCTCGAGATGCAACAAGTTTATGACCAAAGCCTTTTTGGCACATCTGCAATCCATCCTTTCATTCTACCACAATTAAACTATCTGTTTAAGTGCACCAATAAATATTATACATTAACATGTAAAGGAGATATAGGGCTTTTTTTGATCATCTATATGCATACATAACTACAAAACACATTTTTTGCCCAATATGTCAAGGATTTCAATACATTTTTGGAAGTTGTAGAACAAAAATTTCAAGGAGTGAATTACAGTTTTAAAGGTAAACCTTTGCAAGATGTGACATGCTGAGATTACAAGTTTAATAGTAGTCTCCAAACCATTCACCCACTAAATAGAAATTCACCCAGAAATATGCAAAACCAGTGTTGTCGCAAGCATACCTGATGCAACTAATCAAGGGCTTCATTAGTTGCATCAGGTGTGCTTGAACCGGAACACTTGAAATAACTGAACTGGCTAGGGGTTTGTTGAGTGTCACATTTGACTGAATGTTAGAAATATGACTAAGTCAAAGGAATGGTTCACAACGTTAACAGAAGGGATCATCGTCTTTCACAAACAAGGAAAAGGTTACAAAAAGATGCGAAGGCACTGAATGTTCCTGGAGATACCGATGGAAGCATAGTTTGCAAGTTCAAAGTTGAAGGAACAGTGGATACCCTACCTGAATGGGGAAGGAAAAAATAAGCTATCAATGGACCATATTTCTGAGAAGGTAGATTGAGAAAAACCTTTGAGTGACTGCAAAAGACCTGCAACAAGAATTGGTGGCAACAGGTATTGAGATTTCAGTGAGTACAGTAAGGGCATACTAAACGCAAAAGGTTTTAATGCCAGAACTCCAAGAAGTACACCAAGTGTACAAGAAAAGTCAGCTCCAATATGCTCAAAATCCTATCAATAAGCCAAAGAAGATTTGGGATTTTATTCTGTGGCGCGATGAAACAAAACTGGAACTTTTCTGCCCAATGGATCAGCGTTATGTCTGGAGGAAGAAAAATGAAGCGTGCTCTGAAAAGAACATTTTGCCTACAGTTAAGTATGGTGGTGGCTCTGTGATGCTCTCGGGCTACCATGCATTCATTCATTGTGTTGAACTAATTCAATTACTTTTGTTTGATTTGTTGATTGCAAACAGCTGAAAATCTAATTTTTGGCAATAAATCGAATTTTCAATAGGGTTGAATATTTTTTATATCAACTGTATATTTTTTAGAAATTAGATCCCTCAGGCTATTTTTTAACCAAGAGCATTTTTCTTGCAGGGCACAAATTTGTACCCATTTTTTATTTACTCAGGAAGTCCAAAATTATAGACCTTTTACATGGTGTGTTGATCCCCCGGGCATTTACTGAGGTCAACTCAATTGTGTTTTCTTATCTGTTCTCAAGGCTCTCTCTCAAAAAAAGTCACCAATGTTTTATAAAAAAAAATAAAAAAATAATAATACATCTTATTAACCATTTTATCAATCAACCGTGGTCAAATCTGCTGGATATTTTTGACTTTTTGTGTTTCACACATTTTATTTTACTGTGAATTTCACAGACCACTTATGTCCATCTACTATAAAGACCCAATATTTGTTTTCTGCTACTATTCTTGAGTACACTGCATGCATACCTTTGCCAGGAGTTTGAGGGATCTGTAGGATCAATAAATAGACATTCCCTTACTTTGACAACCTTTTTTGCTCACTTACTAGGGATGCAATTTGGTGAAGTGACACAGTCACTGTACTGAACAGAATCAAGCTCTGGCATTTTTTTATTTTTTTTTTTAAAGAGAACCCTACCACCAATTCTTCCTCTGACCCCGACACCAACCCTATAACTAACACCAACTCTAAGCCTACTTTAAAGGAATTCTCTCTGCTGCTGTTAATGCCAACATTAGCAGAGGGACTTCCCAGCTGAGATGAGATGGAGATCTCGCTTTAATGCTGCAAGACCTGCATGCTAGCACTGCCAATACACTATGATTGGTGCTGTCCAATGGCACAGCCAAAGCCACTGTTGCAGGGGGGCATGCAGGGAGACCCAACCAGATTCTTTTCAGACACTAGGGGGTCTTACTCTTTGCCCTGATCATGATCACTAAGCAGCAGAAATTTAAAGGGCCGTGTGAGGCATTTACTTTAAATGCCGCAGACTATTCATCTATGAGTTTACTTTGGTCTGGCAGATGAGAGTATTAGGTAGTGAATGATACTGGGGCTTCCTGGTACCAGCAGGTAACTAGCCCTAAAGCACTGCAATGTATGCAAGTTAAATAATACCAATAAAGAATTTTTTTAAATTTTTTTTTATAAACATAGCAGTTTCAGAGAAACTGCTATGTTTATAAATGGGTTAATTCAGCCCTCAAATCCTCTAGTGGCTGTCTCATTGACAGCCGCTAGAGGCGCTTGCGTGATTCTCACTGTGAAAATCACAGTGA